TCATTTCATGCAAGTATCAGAACCATCTCCCTTCAGCATTAGTCAGCACACTGGAGAAATAAGGACATCACGTGTCTTTGAACAGAAAGATGTTTTTAAATATAAGCTGGTAGTTATGGTGAAAGACAATGGAGTCCCCTCACTGACAGCAACAGCAACTCTAAGTTTTATTATTGCAGATTCTTTCCAACAAGTGGCTCCCAAATTTACTAGTAAATTCAATGATGAAGACTCTCCACCTAATTTACAAATGTATTTAGTAATTGCTTTAGCACTGATTTCATTTTTATTTATTATAACTATTATGTTGCTTATAATATCCAAATGTAAGCAATCAAAATCCCCTCCAGCCTTTGGATCTTTCAATACCAATCTTTATTCTCAAGTTGACCCTAGAATGCTTTCTCAATATAACAATGGAACTTTGCCTTATCCATATCCATATAATGTGTGTGTGGCTTGGGATTCAAGTGAAAGTGAATTTACTTTTACAAAACCAAAACAGAATGTCCCTACAGATAACCTTATTGACGCTGATGACTCTGGACTAGGAAATGAAAAATTGACTGAACCATTACCTTCTAATAGTCTTGAGAAGGTGAGTGATTATTATTGGACCTAATGCAATAGAGATTGATATTATACCTATCAGGATTTCTCAACCTGTTGTTTATATTCTACATATAATATTTCTAATATTTTAAGATAACTAAAATACATAAGGTACATGCTTAGTGCCCATGGAAAATGTATGGATTGTTAAGATCAGAGGCAGGTAACCTTTGGCATTTAAGATCTTATGAACTACACCTCCTGTGATGCTTTGCCAGCATTATGACTAAGATCATAAAATGGAGACATAGTCCATAACAAGTGGATTGACAAAGGTTGCCTATGTCCTGGTCCAGATCATAGTTCTAACGATTGGTAAGGAATCTCCATTTAGTAATACCTTGTAGAGTAAGAATGGATCTGCCTAGTAAAAGCCAGGAGGCTTCAATATGGCAAAAGGTTGGCAAGATTGTGGCTTAACTATCAACTTTCTTATATAAACAAATATCAAGATAAGGGTTATAATTATGCTTTCAATCAAAGTATTAAACATATTTTGAAAGATCTTTTCCAAAAACGATATTAATGCTTAAAATTTGAGTTGTAAGGTGATTTATTTTGTGATAAGAGATTGCGCCATATTCAGGTAGCGCCTTGTAAAGACTGTGGATGGAGTTGAGAATCAATGTAACCATTACAATAATATCCTGGTCTCCTAGATGTGGCAATCACATTCCTTTACTATCCATCAATGCTTTAATTACAGCTGTTAAGGGTTCCAACGCAAAGGTGTATAACATGAAACGCTTACCTTGTGCTGTTTAAAATTGGGAATAATCATGAAAATCTTGAAGCTTGAAATGCTTTTCATTTGTCATTGATTCACTTTGCAACCAATAATGTAACAATATTTTATTTTTACTTTAATGCTTTTTAACTTTCAAAATCATAAAATGTACTTTTGCTTTTTTTTTTTTTTTTTTTAGAACTTACTGTTATTTTCATTGGGCAGAATGTATTAAGTCTGTGTTTTCTTTTATATTTTGTATAATAAATGGACTTACTGTCAACTTCTTAACTAAATATCCCCAAAACCCTTACTGGATATATGGGATCTGATCAATAACCCAAAGAAAACAGTTGGAAGGACACAACTGGTTGCAACATCTAGCATTGCTATTAGGCTGAGGTAAAATAGGATAGAATTGAGCATGGAGGGAAAATTTGAACAATTATTTTTATGTGACAGTTTAGCTCAAACTGAATATCATCCATGCAAACTACTCAGGGAAAGGATTCTGACAAAATGATTCAGACGAAGAGCGTGAAAATGCCACATCTATAAGTGTACTGACAAATATATTTAGAAAAAAAAATATATATATATATATCTCAGTTCTATATTTACAAAATTTTACCATTCAAAATAGGTTCCTATAAATACTTAAAAAGAATAAGTGGCGCTAAAATTAAATAAGATGTATCAAAACAATAAATATATCCCAGTGTGTCTGAACACACCCCGGTGTTTAGTAACCAAAAAACACTTATGTACATATAGCTGAGTCAAAAGAAAAAGGGTAGTTGCGCACACAACCAGAGTATGGAGTATAAAATAACAATTTATTGTATTAAAAAGCAAGCACAACGTGTTTCGACCAATTCCTTTAGGTCTTCCTCAGGTGCAATTATTTTATACTCCATACTCTGGTTCCTGCACTTTATCCAGAAAAATACGATCTTATCTCTGGGGGACCTGCACTGTCTACCATGTTCCAAGTGGAGATTATTACATGCTGCTTAAGTTTAGAGCCGACTGATATGGCTCTAAAAATTGTGAGTTTTCCGTGTTAACTCCTTTTTGTATTATTATAGAATTTCATATTACGCTATGATGGTCTCTTATGCTTATACCTTTTAGATACCATTTATTGTATCTACAATATACCATTGTGTGCGCAACTACACTTTTTCTTTTGACTCAAAATAGGTTCCTATTCGATCAGTATTCTAAAAGACATTTTTTGTGTTTATGTACTTTTGAGCATTCTGTTGCAAATTTTAAGCTTTTGGTCCAGCTGATTCCCGTTTTTTTTCTTTACTTGATTTGGTAGCTGTCCCCTAAAAATTAATTGTGATTGTTTTGGTGCCATGGGCAGTACATCAAATCACAAACAACTGAATTGGCCCGTCCATCATCTGTTTCATCTTATGGCTATTCTCGGTTACAAAATTTCAGACTATTCACAGATAACCAAAAATACAAACAAATTACAATTCATCTGAAAAACAAAATGCACAAGTTTAATATAGGAGTCGATTCACACAAAATGTATCAATAGTCCAGGGACCTGACCATTTAAGCATCTGCCCTATGTTAAAGGTATCATGCAAATCTAAGAATAAGGTCTGAAATAGATGTTCTTTTGTAACATCATATGGATTTTATAGAATCCAGAGATGCACATTCTTGTAATGTGAGTATATTACTATTCATGTATTGAGGGGAATTTGTTCCATCATTGCATCTTTACTAAATTAACTTCTTTATTTTATTTATTTGTTTTGTATGATATCCATTTTGTAAATGTGCAGTCCAATCTTTTGTAAGTTATGCAATACCCATATTTGAATAGTTTTCTAGATGTCTTCCTCTACTAAACAGTACTACTAAGATGATGATAGAACAAGTTAGACTTTTATCAGGTAGTTTAATCTCCTGGACATATATTCAATTTATGTCTATTGACTTTGCATTGTATTTCTCACCTGTTATTGCTGTCTAAATTTCAATGGCTGATATTGAAGTTAATGTCTGCAGTATGTGTGCTATAGAAGAGTGGACTAAAAGGAGAACTGTTACTTCCCAAGATTTTTAATATTATGTTTACCTATCCCTATACTGAACACATATATTTGTGAGGTGTGAAAAATTAGATTGAATGTGGGAAGCCACACCTCTTTATCCTGCAACTGGGCATCCCCATCTTAGCTCCCTGTCAATCATTGTTATAAGCTCTGTCATTTGCACCTGGCAGTCAGCATGGAGAAAGTATACAGAGAACACAAGAAGTTAAACAATGTTTTGATTTTTCTTATCTTTATTTGCAGTGTTTGTCTAACCTGGATTATGATGTTACTTGCTAAATCTTTAATATCAATTTAAAGTAAAATAGAGCTTCTCATGAAAAAAAAAAAACACATCATAAATGACAATTCCTCTTTAATGTGCTGGGAGGTTTTTGTCAAATCGCTAAAATCACTTTATCATTACTAGCACTGCTACAATGAGCTGCAGTGGTTACAGTACTTCCCCTTCAATATGTTAGACAATCTTTACAAATCATTTACATATCGGCAACCTTCTTAGCTTTTGACCTTTCTGACCATAGTTCCTGATTTACTGCTGACCTTTTTGTTTGGCAGGTCTGTTATCTATTTCAATATACATATATATACATAATATACATATACATAAATATACATATATATTCCAATACATATCTACTTTATAATATATATATTACTTTATATTTAGTGAAACTGGTAACTGACTAAGAAAAACTCTTGAAGCTCGCTTGCTTTCCAGATTATAACATCTGACCCCTCCACCTTCTTTTGATGCATAATTAGATGTGTTGGGATTGAGAACATGCTTAAAAGAACCATTTGTGATTATTAAGATTTTATATGTAAAATTTCAACTGACAACGCGTTAATTTGGATCAAATAAAGAGCCACAAGAGCCACATTAAATAAAGAGCCACATTAAATGTGAATATAAAATAAATTGACAAAACAGTTGAATATCAATACCTGGCTCAGTATCTAGGTACAAAGTAAAAAAAACTGATCATTTTGATATGTTATCTAGAGACAGAACTGTTATTGTTCGCAATTTTACTAATATATTGTTTATTAGTCGATAGTTTCTTCTGTGTTTGTCACGTTGTAATGTTTAACTTTATAGCATGTGCTACATTACTGAATACAATTATATCAATATAGCATTTATAACTGAATTATATTAATAAAATATACAAAAATTAAGTCTAGTTACACAGAAAAATTCTTGGTCATGCAATTCCACATTTATACCTCTGAGCGCCGCTGTTTGACCAATAAGGAGAAGAATACAGAGCTGGAGATCCACTGATATTTTCATCACTAACACACATTGCAGATCTGCAAGAAGAAACACAGCCATTTTTAGATTCTCTCACAAACAGCACAGAAGATCTGGCTGTATTCTTCTACACAGGTGGATTCAGCACTGATTTGGAATACAAGTAACTTACAATAAAATAATTACTTTGAGAAAAGCAGAGATGAAAACACAAGATTCATGGAAAAACAAAGGAATCAGATGGCAAGTAATATTTTCCTTCTTATTTTCATGGCTTTGTCATTCAGTTTCTGGTCAGCTCCATTATTCTATTGCTGAAGAAATGAGAAAAGACTCTGTTATTGCTAATATTGCAAACGATCTTGAATTAGATATTAAGCAGCTATCATTTAGAAAATTTTGCATTGTTTCTCATGTGTCTGAGAAATATTTTTTAGTGAATTTACAAAATGGGAATTTATGCATTAAAAACAGAATTGATAGAGAGTCACTGTGTGGAAGAGCAGCTCCCTGCTTACTAACCTTTGATGCAGTGGTTGAAAACCCTTTAAAGGTTGTTCCTGTCACCATTGAAATTCAGGATATTAATGATAATTCTCCACAATTTTATCATGAAACTATTGCTTTAGAAATTATTGAATTTACTTTACCAGGAACACATTTTATTTTACAAAATGCAGAAGATCCAGATATTGGGATTAATTCTGTTCAAACATACAAACTCAGTGATAATCAACATTTTACACTGAGTGAAAAGACCAGCAATGATGGCAGTAAAATTCCAGAACTTGTTTTAGTGAAACCTTTGGATCGGGAGACACAAAACATTCATGAATTAATTCTAACAGCACTGGATGGAGGAAATCCTATTAGATCTGGAACTGCTCTCATCAAGCTTATAATTACTGATGCCAATGATAATTTTCCAATATTTACCCAGGAAGTATATGAAGTAAGCATAAATGAAAATGCTCCAATCAACACAACACTGCTCCATGTTACTGCAACTGATCAAGATGAAGGTCCTAATGCACATATCACATTTTCTTTTAGAAAAACATCTGATAATGACATTTCTACTGCTATGTTTAATATTAATGCTACAAGTGGAGAAATAAAAACAAATAGAAAATTGGACTTTGAAGAAGTACAAAAATATGAATTGTTTGTACAAGCTAAGGATGGCGGGGGGTTTGTGGCCCGTACTAAGGTCTTAATAGAAATAATAGATGAAAATGATAATGCCCCAGAGATATCCATTTCCTCATTATCTTCTTCTATACCTGAGGATTCCCCACCAGGAGCACTTATAGCACTTATTATAGTTCATGATAAAGATTCAGGAGAAAATGGAGAAGTTGAATGCCATATCACTGAGAAACTTCCTTTTCAGTTAATATTGTCATCTAGCAAATATTACAAAATTGTTACAACTAAAGCTATGGACAGAGAGAAAGAATCATTTTATAATATCACAGTTCAGGCTTCAGATAGGGGATCTCCTCCACTTTCCACTACAAAAACTATCAGGTTGGATATATCAGATATTAATGACAATCCTCCGGTATTCGCAAAGTCTGCTTATGTTGTTTATGTTCCAGAAAACAATTTACCAGGAGCCTCTATTTACAGTATACATGCTTTAGATTTTGACATTGAAGAGAATGCCAAAATTATTTATTCAATTTCAAGCACAAATACAGAAGATATCCCAGTGTCCTCTTATCTCTCCATTAATATAGAGACTGGAGTTCTCTACGCTCAGCGATCATTTGATTATGAACAGCACAAGGAGTTTCAAATCCAATTAACTGCTAAAGACAAAGGAACCCCATCTCTCAGTAGCAATACAACATTAATTATACACATAGTTGATCAGAATGATAATTCACCAACGATCTTGTATCCATCACCAGAAAATGATGGCACTGCTTTATTTGAGTTGGTTCCCTTTGCCTCTATAAAAGGCTCTTTAATAACAAAGGTGGTGGCAGTAGATGCTGACTCAGGACATAATGCTTGGCTCTCTTATAATTTGCAAATGTCAGAACCTTCTCCCTTCAACATAAATCGGAAAACAGGAGAAATAAGAACATCACATGTCTTTGAACAGAAAGATATTTTGAAATATAAGCTGGTGGTTTTGGTGAAAGACAATGGTGTCCCATCTCTGACAGCAACAACAACCTTAAGTATAATTATTGCAGATTCTTTCCAACAGGTGGTTCCCAAATTCACTAATCAACTCAATGATGAAGACTCTCCACCTAACTTACAAATGTATTTAGTAATAGCTTTAGCTCTGATTTCATTTTTATTTATTATAACTATTATGTTGCTTATAATATCCAAATGTAAGCAATCAAAATCCCCTCCAGCTTTTGGATCTTTCAGTACCAATCTTTATTCTCAAGTTGACCCTAGAATGCTTTCTCAATATGACAATGGGACTTTACCTTATCCATATCCATATAATGTATGTGTGGCTTGGGATTCAAGTGAAAGTGAATTTACTTTTACAAAACCAAAGAAGGATGTCCCTACAGATAACCTCATTGACGCTGATGACTCTGGACTAGGAAATGAAAAATTGCCCGAGCCATTACCTTCTAATAGTCTTGAGAAGGTGAGTGATTATTATTGGACCTAATGCAATAGAGATTGATATTATACCTATCAGGTTTTTTTCAACCTGTTGTTTATATTCTACATACCAAATAATATTTCTAATAGATTCAGATAGTAACTCTTAAATACATAAGATGAGTAATTGACTAATCTACATGGTTAGTGCCCAGGTAAATTTCAAGAAATTGTCAAGATGAGAGGCAGGCAACCTCTCCCATGATGCTTTGCGAGCATTATGACTAAGATCATAAAAGGGAGACATAGTCCACAAAATGTGGTGTGCCAAAGGTTGCCTATGGCCTGGTCCAGATCACAGTTCTAATGAGTGGTAAGGAATTTCCATTGAGTAATACCTTGTAGACTAAGAATAGAACAGCCTAGCAAGAGCCAAGAGGCTTACAAATTAAGTGTTTACCTTTTTAAGTATTTGGAGGAATACGTTAGAGAAATGTAGTGCAGCAGTCCAAAATGTATATGAGTTTAGGGAGGGATACATTTTATAGATGCACAACATCCTAGTGAAGACATTTAAAACTTTCATATGTATAGATATGATTTTACTTTGAACCAAAGTTAGGAAAGGTTTATTGTGGCTAAACTGTCAACTTTCTTATATAAACAAAAATCATGATACAGAATATAGCCATGCCTTCAATCAAAGCATTAAACAGATTTTGAAAGATCTTTTCAAAAAAGGCCTAAAGTTGAGTTTTCAGGTGATTTATTATGTGATACCATATTTAGATAGTGCCTTGTAAAGACTTAAGATGGAGTTAAAAGGCAATGTAACCATTACAATGATATCTTGGTCACAAGATGTGGAAATAACAGTCCTTTACTATCCATCAATGCCCTAATTGCAGCTTCTAAGGGTTCCTTCCAAAGCAGAGGTGTATAACATGTGCTATTTAAAATTGGGGATGATCATGGAAATCTTAAAGCATGAAATGCTTTTCGTTTGTCATTGTTTCACTTTACAACCAGTAATGTAACAATTACTTAAGTTTTACTATAATGCTTTATTATCTTTTAAAATCATAAAATGTTCTTTTACTTTTTATTTTTTACATCAGACACTTTTTTTTTTGCAAATGGCTAAGCTTTTCATACGGCAGAATCTATTAATTTTGTGTTTTCTTTTATATTATTTTTAACGAATGGACTTACTGTCAACTTCTGCACCAAATATCCCCCAAAAACTTACTGGATATTTGGGATCTAATCAATAACCCAAAGAAAACAGTTGGAGTGAGATAATTGGTTGCAACATCTGTTTATACATATTGCTATTAGGCTGAATAGGATAGATTTGTGCATGGTGGGAAATTCAAACAATTCTTTTTTGATGTGGCAGTTCAGGTCCAACTGAATATCACCCATGCAAACTACTCAGGAAAATGATTCAGACAAAATGATTCAGATGAAGAGTGCGAAAATGCTCCTATCAGTGTACTGCCAAATATATTTAAAAGTATATATATCGGTTCTATGTTTACTGAATTTTTCCATTCAAAATCCGTTACAATTCGGTCAATATTCGGATATTTCTTGAGTGTTTGCTCACTTTTGAGCATTCGGTTGCCAGTTTTAAGCTTTTGGTCCAGGTGATTCCTTGTTTATTTCTTTACCTAATTTGGTAGCTGTCCCCTATACATTAAGCATTATTGTTTTGGTGCTATGAACAGAACACCGAATTGCAAACAACTGAATTGGCCCGTCCATCATCTGTTTTATCCTATGACTATTCTGAGTTACAGTATTTCGGACGGCCCACAGATAACACAAAATTCAGACAAATTAAAATTCAGCTGAAAAAAATGCACAAGTCTAATATAGGAGTCGATTGAGACAAAATGGAAATATAGTCCAGGGACCTGACCATCTAAACGTCTGCCCTATGTTTAAAGTATCATGCAGATCTAACTATGAGGTCTGAAATAGATATTAATTTGTAACATCACAGGGATTTTCTAGAATCCAGAGATGTACTTTGAGTATATTAGTATTCATATATTGGGGGGAATTTGTTCCATCATTACTTCTTTACTAAATGAACTAATTTTTTTTTTTTGTATGATATCCATTTTGTGAATGTGCAGTCCAATCTATTGTAAGTTATACAATACCCATATTTAAATAGTTTTAGGTTCGACGCTAAATGAAGAGACATTTTAATTTTTCTGAACGTAGTTTCTGATTTACTACTAACCTGTTTGCTTGGCAAGCCTGTTTTCTATTCCAATATATATATATATATATATATATATATTACTTTATTTATATATAGAAATAAAGTAATGATAGCACTCCAAGGACTTCGAAAATATTGTGAAAAAACTTTGCATTTTATTCAGACATCTGCCACAGAAGATCAACGTTTCAGTTCTCTAAGGAACTTTCGTCAGGATCGTCAGGATATAGATAAATCTATCTATATATATATATTACTTTATATTTAGTGAAACTGGTTACTGACTAAGAAACAAATTTGAAGCTGGCCTGCTTTCCAGACTATAACATATGTGCCCTCTGTCTTCTTTCGATGTATAATTAGATGTGTTGGGATTGGGAACATGCTTAAAAGAACCATTTGTGATTATTAATATGTTATACAGAAACTTTCTACTGACAACTTCTCAAGTTGGGTCATATAAAGTCCCACAAGGGCATTAGATGTGAATTTAAAGAGAAGTAGACAAAACAGTCAAATATCACTACCCAACTCAGTATCTAGGTACAAAGTAACATAACTGATAATGTATATATGTTATCTACAGATAGATTTGTTATATCTTCGCATTTCCATTTCTATATTGTTTAGTGGTCGATAGTTTCTTCTGTTTGTCACGTTGTTTCAGTTAAAGGGAAACTATAGTGCCAGGAAAATAAATTCATTTCCTGGCACTATAGTTTCCCTCTCTGTCAGGACCCCCTCCTGCGTCACTGAAGGGGTTAATAACACCTTCAGTCACTTACCTGGGTCCAACACCGATGTCCTTCGGTGCTAGCTCAGCACCACCCACGCTCCTCACCGCCGACGTCTGTCGGCGGAGGAGACCTAGTTTGTGCTACATTATTGATTTACATGTATATCAATATTGGTATTACTAAAGAATGAGCATTTATAACAGAAAGAAGGTAAACAGAAATGAATATGTATTTTTTTATAAATTATATATTCCTCTAGATAAAGGGATAAGATTATTTATAATAGTTAGACATTTGTGAAAATTATGAAGAACACTTTTTATTATATTTTCTTTTATGAATAAGGTAGGAAATTCCATTATACTTGTCATTTAATACATATTTGTGGTTTGTTTACATACAAAGCCAGCAATTATATTGCACATCTTTTAGACTGAGCACAAACTGAATTATGTTTATAAAATATACGAAAATTAAGTCTAGTTACACAGACAAATTCTTAGTCATGCAATTCCACATTTATACCTCTGAGCGCCGCTGTTTGACCAATAAGGAGAAGAATACGGAGCTGGAGATCCACTGATATTTCCATCAGTAACACACACTGCAGATCTGCAAGAAGAAACACAGCCATTTTTGGATTCTCTCACAAACAGAGCACAGAAGATCTGGCTATATTCTTCTAAAGAGGTGGATTCAGCACTGATTTGGAATACAAGTAACTTACAATAAAGGAATCACTTTGAAAAAAGCAGAGATGAAAACACAAGATTCAGAGAAAAACAAAGGAATTAGATGGCAAGTAATATTTTCCTTCTTATTTTCATTGCTTTGTCATTCAGTATCTGCTCAGCTTCATTATTCAATTGCTGAAGAAATGAGAAAGGACTCTGTTATAGCTAATATTGCAAAAGACCTTGAATTAGATATTAAGCAGCTCTCATTTAGAAAACTTCGGATCGTTTCTCATGTTTCTGAGAAGTATTTTTTAGTAAATTTACAAAATGGGAATTTATGCATTAAAAACAGAATTGATAGAGAGTCAATGTGTGGAAGAGCAGCTCCCTGCTTACTAAGGTTTGATGCAGTGGTTGAAAATCCTTTAAAGGTTGTTCCTGTCACTATTGAAATTCAGGATATTAATGATAATTCTCCAACATTTTATCATGAAACCATATATTTAGAAATTATTGAATTTACTTCACCAGGAACACATTTTATTTTACAAAATGCTGAAGATCCAGATATTGGGATTAATTCTATTCAGATATACAAGCTCAGTGATAATCAGCATTTTACACTGAGTGAAAAGACCAGCACTGATGGCAGTAAAACTCCAGAGCTTGTTTTAGAGAAACCTTTAGATCGGGAGACACAAAGCATTCATGAATTAATTCTAACAGCACTGGATGGAGGAAATCCCATTAGATCTTGTAGTGTTCTTTTAAAAATTGTAATTGCTGATATCAATGATAATTTCCCTGTATTTTCTCAGGAAGTCTATAAAGTGAGTATAAGTGAAAATATTCCAGTTAACTTTACCCTGATTCATGTCACTGCAACTGATCAAGATGAAGGTCCTAATGCACATCTCACATACTCTTTTAGAAAAACATCTGACAATGACATTTCTACTGCTATGTTTAAAATAAATGCTACAAGTGGAGAAATTAAAACGAACGGAAAATTGGACTTTGAAGAAGTACAAAATTATGAATTATCTATACAAGCTAAGGATGGTGGAGGGCTTGTGGCCCATTCTAAGGTCTTAATAGAAATTATAGATGAAAATGATAATGCCCCAGAGATATCAATTTCATCATTATCTTCTCCTATTCCTGAGGATTCCCCACCAGGAGCACTTATAGCACTTATTATAGTTCATGATAAAGATTCAGGAGAAAATGGAGAAGTTGAATGCCTTATCACCGATAAACTTCCCTTTCAGTTAATATTGTCATCTAGTAAATATTACAAAATTGTTACAACTAAAGCCATGGACAGGGAGAATGAATCATGTTATAATATCACAGTTCAAGCATCTGATAGGGGATCTCCTCCACTTTCCACTAGTAGAACAATCAGACTGGATATATCAGATATTAATGACAGTCCTCCAGTATTTGCAAAGTCTACTTATGATGCATATGTACCAGAAAACAATTTACCAGGAGCCTCTATTTATAGAATACACGCTTTAGATTCTGACATTGAAGAGAATGCCAAAATTATTTATTCAATTTCAAGCACAAATATGGAAGATATCCCAGTGTCCTCTTATCTTTCCATTAATATAGAGACTGGAGTTCTCTACGCTCAGCGATCATTTGATTATGAACAGCACGAGAAGTTTCAAATCCAAATAACTGCTAAAGACAAAGGAACCCCATCTCTAAGTAGGAATTCAACATTAATTATACACATAGTTGATCAGAATGATAATTCACCAAAGATCTTGTATCCATCACCAGAAAATGATGGCACTTCTTTGTTTGAGTTGGTTCCCTTTGCCTCTATGGAAGGTTCTTTAATAACTAAGGTTGTTGCAGTGGATGCTGACTCAGGACATAATGCTTGGCTATCTTATCATTTCATGCAAGTATCAGAGCCTTCTCCCTTTAGTATTAACCAGCACACTGGAGAAATAAGGACATCACGTGTCTTTGAACAAAAAGATGTTCTTAAATATAAGCTGGTAGTTATGGTGAAGGACAATGGAGTCCCCTCAATGACAGCAACAGCAACTCTAAGTATTATTATTGCAGATTCTTTCCAACAAGTGGCTCCCAAATTCACTAGTCAACTCAATGATGAAGACTCTCTGCCCAACTTGCAAATGTATTTAGTAATTGCTTTAACACTGATTTCATTCTTATTTATTATAACTATTATGTTGCTTATAATATCCAAATGTAAGCAATCAAAATCCCCTCCAGTCTTTGGATCTCTCAGTACCAATCTTTATTCTCAGGTGGACCCTAGAATGCTTTCTCAATATACCAATGGAACTTTGTGTTATCCATATCCACATAATGTGTGTGTGGCTTGGGATTCAAGTGAAAATGAATTTACTTTTACAAAACCAAAGCAGGATAACCCTATAGACAACCTTATGGATGCTGATGACTCAGGACTAGGAGATGAGAAGTTGGCAGAACCATTACCTTCTAATAGTCTTGAGAAGGTGAGTGATTATTATTGAACCTAAAACAATGGAGATTGATTTCAAACCTATTAGGATTTCTCAACTTTTTGTTTCTATTCTACATATAGGATTTCTAATATATCTAGATAATAACTCTTAAATAGTTATTAAGATAAGGGATTGACTAATCTACATGATTAGTGCCCAGGGACAATTTCAAGAAATTGTTAAGATGAGAGGCAGGCAACCTTTACACTTATGAACTACGTCAACTGTGATGCTTTTCCAGCATTATGACTAAGATTATAAAAGGGAGACATAAGCCACAACATGGGACATGCCCAAGGTTGCCTATAGCCTGCTCCAGGCCATAGTTCTAATGATTGGTAATGGATGTCCATTGAGTAATACCTTGTAGAATAAGCATAGATCTGCCTAGTAAGAGCCAAAAGGCTTACAAAGTAAGTGTTTACCTTTTGAATTATTTGGAGGAGTAAGTTAGGGAAATGCAGTGCAGCAGTCCAAAATGTATACAAGTTTAGGGACACATTTTATAGCTGCACAACTTCTTAGTCAAGACATTTTAAACCTTCAATCTGTATAGGTCTGATTTTACTTTGAACCAAAATTTGAAAAGTTTTATTGTGGCTAAACTTTTAACTTTCTTATATATACTAATATCAAGATAAGGAATATAATCATGCCTTCAATCAAAGTATAAAACAGATTTTAAAAGATCTTTTTCAAAAAGGATGTCCTTGCCTAAAGTTTGAGTTTCCAATCAAAGAAAAAAAAACAGATTTTAGAATATCTTTTAATGCCTATGTTTTACGTGTGTGTTTTGGGGTGATTTATTTTGTGATAAGAAATTGCAGCATATTCAGACAGTGCCTTGTAAAGACATTTGATGGAGTTGAGAGGCAATGTAACCATTGCAATAATATCCTGGTCTCCTAGATGTGGAAATCACATCCCTTTACTATCCATCAATGCCCTAATTACAGCTGTGAAGGGTTCCAAAACAAAGGTGTGTAACATAACATGCCTTCGTTCTGCTATTTAAATTTTTTTAATAATCATAAAAATCTTGAAATGCTTTTCATTTCTTATTGATTCACCTTACAACCAATAACATAGCAAGTATCTAAGTGTTAGTTTAATACTTGTTTATCTTTCAAAATCATAAAATGTTCTTTTACTTTTTTTTTTTACGACTGACTGATCTGACACTTTTTTTGCCACTGACTGATCTTTTCATTAAAAGACAGAGAAAACCCACATAATATTAAATGTGGAACGCACACAATGTGAAGGTAATACAATTAATATTAAAATGTATACTGTAGATTAAAAATAGTACTCCTCCAAGTCCTCAAAAGGATATAAAAAAACAAGCAAGATCGTTTTGATGGCATGGGCAGAACACCGAATTACAAACAACTGAACTGGCCCGTCCATCATCTTTTTCATCCTATGGCTATTCTGAGTTAAAGAATGTTGGTCTACTGTTTAACGTATCATACAGATCTTACTATGAGGTCTGAAACGGATGTTATTTTGTAACATCATAGGGATTTCATGGAATGCAGAGATGCACATTCTTATAATGAGAGTATATTACTATTCATGCATTGAGGGGAATTTATTCCATCATTACTTCTTTACTAAATGAAATTGATATCTTTATTTTTGTGTATGATATGCATTTTGTGAGTGTGCAGTCCAATCTATTGTAAGTTATACAATACCCATATCTGAATAGTTTTCTAGATGTCTTCCTCTACTCAACAGTACTACTAAGATGATGATAGAACATGTTAGACTTTTATCATGCAGTTTAATCTCCTGCACATATATAAAAAATGTTTGTCTATTGTCTTCGCATTGTATTTTTCACCTATTATTGCTGTCTAAATTTCAATGGCTAATATTGAAGTTAATATCTGCAGTATGTGTGCTATAGAAGAGTGGGCTAAAAGGAAAACTGTTACTTCCCAAGATTTTTAATATTATGTTTACCTATCCCTATTATTCTGCAACTGGCCACCTCAATCTTAGCTCCCTGTCAATCATTGTTATAAGCTCTGTCATTTGCACCTGGCAGTCAGTATGGAGAAAGTATACAGAGAACAGAAGAAATTAAACAGTGTTTAGATTCTTCTATTCTTCATTGCAATGTTTGTCTGAACTGGATTATGATGTTACTTGCTAAATCTTTCATTTAAGTTTAATGGAAATTTAGAGCTGTTCATGAAAAAAAAAGAACACATTATATATCAGTGAAGTTTTATTCAATGGTGTAAATGCCAAAGACGTGAGAATTCGTCTTTAACCCCTTAGTGACCATGGACGTACTGGGTACGTCAGACCAAAAAAACGGTCCTTAACGACCGCTGACGTACCCTGTATGTCTTCGAGCTCCTCTATGGGCATTGCAGCAATGCTTCAATGTCGAGGTATCCTGCAATACCGCCCTGACTGCTGGGCCCCTGAATGATCGCTCTTCTGGAGCAATCACTTCCGGGTTTCCCCACGTGGAGCCGGCAGTGTAATACAGAGCATCGGAAGCCATCAGACAGGCTTCCGATGCTCTGCCTGTATGCTGAGCGCCTCAAGGGGTCGAGGCACTAGGGGGTTAATAAATAAATAAAGTATTAACCCCCACCCCCAATACTAACTGCCTACCCAATATTAACCCACTCCCATTCACTTACCCGATCACCGACTTTCCCCGCCGATGAACGGTCTTCTGCGTATGAGGAAGAATGTCTGATAACCGAGACAGTCCCCCCTCGGCAAATCAGGATCCCCAGGGGCCATGTGATCACTCTGAAAGAGACCTTGAAAAAAGTATTTTACAGACTGAAACGTCGACTGGAACGTTGTGTGAATTTGTAATTGCTCAATAAAGCAACAGATTAAATTTACCTTGAAAGACTCCTGAGTGCTCTCTACTGGTATTGTATACAATTTGGTTGGAGACAGCACCGGAGCATTAAAAGACCGGGAGCATTGAGTGCTGGGACCTGGGACGTATATATATATATATATATATACATAGACTTCAAATATATAAATATGTATATATATATATTTAAATTCTACGTGCATATTTATGGAATATTTATGGAATATTTTTACATAGTTAAGTAATTTTATTGATTGTAATTTGGGGGACCTGTCTGACAACCCATGCCAAACGTCCAGAGAATTTAATTTGCTAGCACTATATTTAACCCTGTTACTTTCCAAGACACCCTAAAACCTGTACATGGGGGGTACTGTATTACTTGGTAGACTTTGCTGAATACAAATATTAGTGTTTCAAAACAGTAAAACATATCACAGCGTTCATATTGTCAGTGAAAGTAAAGTTTTTTGCATTTTTCACACACAAATGGAACTTTCACTGATGATATCATTGTTGTGATGCATATTATAGTTTTGAAACACTAATATTTCTGTTCAGCGACGTCTCCCAAGTATAAGAGTACCCCCCATGTACAGGTTTTATAGTGTTTTTGAAAGTTACAGGGTCAAATATAAGGACGTTTTTTTCACATTGAAATTTGCCAGATTGGTAGCCCAGGAATGAGAATTACCCCCATAATGGCATAGCATTTGCAAAAGAAGACAACCCAAGGTATTGCAAATGGGGTATGTTCAGTCTTTTTTAGTAGCCACTTAGTCACAAACACTGGCCAAAGTTAGTGTTCATAATTATTTTATGTAATGTTTAACACACCAACAAATATAAATGCTATCTTTGGCCAGTGTTTGTGACTAAGTGGCTACTAAAAAAGTCTAGACACACCCCATATTGAATACTATGGGTTGTCTACTTTTCAAAAATATATGGTTTGATGGGGGTAAATTACATTGGCCAAATTTGAAAATTCCAAGTTGGAAAACTGGAATGCGCACACTCCAAATGAGGTCTTTTAGCCCCCAGAGAACACGACATGGGTGGTATCACTGTACTCAGGAGATGTTGCTGAACACATCTTGGGGTGTTCTTTGGCAATAACCCTCTAAGTTCTCAGTACATGTTTTCAGTACATGTACTCTTAAATTGCTATGTGTGTCAAAAAAAATCACCAATTATTATTATTATTTTTTAATTTGGCATAGATTGGTGGTAAAATTGTTGCATTAAAAGAGTCAAAATACCCCTCGTATAATACCTTAGGTTGTCTTTTTGTCAAAAATATATACATGTGAAGGGTTATTAAGGGATTCCTGACAAATATCAGTGTTACAATGTAAAAAAAATGGTTTAGAAATAGCAAAGTGCTACTTGTACTTATAGCCCTATAACTTGCAAATCAAAACCTAAGAACATGTTAACACTGGGTATTTCTAAACTCAGGACAAAATTGAGAAACTATTTATCATGAGTGTTATTTGGCGGTTGTAGATACGTAACAGATTTTGGGGGTAAAAAAGGCATATTTTGTAATTCTTTTTATAGAAAAACAGTATATAATATGTGTGGGTACAGTAAATGAGTAAGAGGAAAATTACAGCACACTCCGCAGAAATGTAAAAACAGCCCTGGTCTTTAACGGTAAGAAAATTGAAAAGGTCACTAAGGGGTTAAGGTGCTGAGAGGTCTTTGTCAAATTGCTTGAAAATGGTTCGACACTAAATGAAGAGACATTTTAACTTTTCTGACCATAGTTTCTGATTTACTACTAACCTGTTTGCTTGGCAGGCCTGTTTTCTATTCCAATATACATAATATATATATATATATATATATATATATATATATTATTTTATATTTAGTGAAACTGGTTACTGACTAAGAAACAAATTTGAAGCTGGCTTGCTTTCCAGACTATAACATATACTTTCTACTGACAACTTCTCAAGTTGGATCAAATAAAGACCCACAAGGGCATTAGTTGTGAATTTAAAGAGAAGTTGACAAAACAGTAAAATATCACTACCTTACTCAGTATCTAGGTACAAAGTAAAACAATTGATAATGTTTCTATGTTATCTAGAGATAGAACTGTTATGTCTTCACATTTTATATTAACATATTGTTTAGTGGTCGATAGTTTCTTCTGTGTTTGTCACGTTGTTTCAGTTAGATTTGTAATTTGTGCTACATCACTGATTTACATGTATATCAATATTGACATACTAAAGAATAAGCATTTATAAAAGAAAAACATGTAAACTGAAATGAAAACATATTTTAATTAAATATATATATATATATATATATATATATATATATATATATATTCCTCTAGCTAAAGGGATAAGATTACTTACAATAATTAGACATTTGTGAAAATTATGAAAAACACTTTTTAGCATATTTTCTTTTATGACTAAAATAAAAATTCCATTATACTTGTGAAGCTATACTATAGCTATGGTTGGTCTAGATAAAAAAGCAGTAATTACTTTCCACTCATTTTAAACTGAGCATAGATTGCATTTTGTTGATAAAATATACAAAAATTAAGTTTAGTTATACAGAAAAATTCTCAGTCATGCAATTCTCCATTTATACCTCTGACCGCCGCTGTTTGACCAATAAGGAGAAGAATACAGAGCTGGAGATCCACTGATATTTCCATCACTAACACACACTGCAGATCTGCAAAAAGAAACACAGCCATTTTTAGATTCTCTCACAAACAAAGCACAGAAAATCTGGTTATATTCTTACAAGGAGGTGGATTCAGAACTGATTTGGATTACAAATAACTTACAATAAAGGAATCACTTCGAAAAAAACAGAGATGAAAACACAAGATTCGCAGAAAAACAAAGGTGTCAGATGGCAAGTAATATTTTCCTTCTTATTTTCATGGCTTTGTCATTCAGTCTCTGGTGAGCTTCATTATTCTATTGCTGAAGAAATGAGAAAAGACTCTGTTATAACTAATATTGCTAAAGACCTTGAATTAGATATTAAGCAGCTCTCACTTAGAAAATTTCGGATTGTTTCTCATGTTTCTGAGAAATATTTTTTAGTAAATTTACAAAATGGGAATTTATGCATTAAAAACAGAATTGATAGAGAGTCACTGTGTGGAAGAGCAGCTCACTGCTTGCTAAAGTTTGATGCAGTGGTTGAAAACCCCTTAAATGTTACCCCTGTCACCATTGAAATTCAGGATATAAATGATAATTCTCCAATATTTTATCATGAATCCATTTCATTTGAAATCGTTGAAACTAGCTCACCAGGAACACATTTTATTTTACAAAATGCTGAAGATCCAGACATTGGCACTAATTCTGTACAAACATACAAGCTCAGTGATAATCAGCATTTTACACTGAGTGAAAAGACCAGCACTGATGGCAGTAAAATTCCAGAACTTGTTTTAGAGAAACCTCTAGATCGGGAGACACAAAGCATTTATGAATTAATTCTAACAGCACTGGATGGAGGAAATCCCATTAGATCTTGCAGTGTTCTTGTAAAAATTGTAATTGCTGATGTCAATGACAATTTCCCTGTATTTTCTCAGGAACTCTATAAAGTGAGTATAAGTGAAAATATTCCAGTTAACTTTACCCTGCTCCATGTCATTGCAACTGATCAAGATGAAGGTTATAATGCACATCTCACATATTCTTTTAGAAAAACATCTGACAATGAAATTTCTACTGCTATGTTTAAAATAAATGCTACAAGTGGAGAAATTAAAACGAACGGAAAATTGGACTTTGAAGATGTACAAAATTATGAACTATCTATACAAGCTAAGGATGGTGGAGGGCTTGTGGCCCATTCTAAGGTCTTAGTAGAAATAATAGATGAAAATGATAATGCCCCAGAGATATCCATTTCCTCATTAAATACTCCCTTTCCTGAGGATTCCATGCCAGGAGCACTTATAGCACTTATTATTGTTCATGATAAAGATTCAGGAGAAAATGGAGAAGTTGAATGCCTTATCACCGAGAAACTTCCTTTTCAGTTAATATTGTCATCTAGCAAATATTACAAAATTGTTTCAACAAACGCCATGGACAGAGAGAAAGAATCATTTTATAATATCACTGTTCAAGCATCTGATAGGGGATCTCCTCCATTTTTTACTACAAGAATGATCAGGTTGGATATATCAGATGTTAATGACAATTCTCCAATATTTCCAAAGTTAATTTATGTTGCATATGTACCAGAAAACAACTTACCAGGAGCCTCTATTTTCAGTATAAATGCTTTGGATTATGACATTGAAGAGAATGCCAAGATCATTTATTCAATTTCCAGCACAAATTCAGAAGATATCCCAGTGTCCTCTTATCTTTCCATTAATATAGAGACTGGAGTTCTCTATGCTCAGCGATCATTTGATTATGAGCAACAAAAAGAGTTTCAAATCCAAGTAACTGCTAAAGACAATGGATCCCCATCACTGAGTAGTAATACAACATTAATTATACACATAGTAGATCAGAATGATAATTCACCAAAAATCTTGTATCCATCACCAGAAAATGATGGCATTGGTTTGTTCGAGTTGGTTCCCTTTGCCTCTGTGGAAGGTTCTTTAATAACTAAGGTTGTTGCAGTGGATGCTGACTCAGGACATAATTCTTGGCTCTCTTATCATTTAATGCAAGTGTCAGAACCATCTCCCTTCAGCATTAGCCAACACACTGGAGAAATAAGGACATCACATGTCTTTGAACAGAAAGATGTTCTTAAATATAAGCTGGTATTTGCGGTGAAAGACAATGGAGTCCCCTCACTGACAGCAACAACAACTCTAAGTGTTATTATTGCAGATTCTTTCCAACAAGTGGCTCCCAAATTTACTAGGCAACTCAATGATGAAGACTCTCTGCCTAACTTACAAATGTATTTAGTAATTGCTTTAGCACTGATTTCATTTTTATTTATTTTAAGTGTTATGTTAGTTATCATATCAAAATGTAAGCAAGCAAAATCCCCTCCAGTCTTTGGATCTTTCAGTACCAATCTTTATTCTCAAGTGGACCCTAGAATGCTTTCTCAATATAACAATGGAACTTTGACTTATCCATATCCATATAATGTGTGTGTGGCTTGGGATTCAAGTGAAAGTGAATTTACTTTTACAAAACCAAAGCAGGATGTTCCTACAGACAACCTTATGGATGCCGATGACTCAGGACTAGGAAATGAAAATTTGACTGAACCCTTAACTTCTTATAGTCTTGAGAAGGTGAGTCATTATTATTGGACCTAAAACAATAGAGATTGATATCATACCTATCCGGATTTTTTAACCTGTTGTTTCTACACAACATACGATATTTCTAATAGATTTAGATCATTTTTACCCCTTAGAGGAACAATATAGTCACCTAAATTACTTTAGCTAAATAAAGCAGTTTTAGTGTATAGATCATTCCCCTGAAATTTCAATGCTCAATTCACTGTCATTTAGGAGTTAAATCACTTTGTTTCTGTTTATGCAGCCCTAGCCAAATTAAATAATTGTATCTCAATCTCTAAATTTTACTTTAATCACATAAAGGAGGCTCTTGCCGAGTTTAGCAAGCTATTAACATAGCGGGTGATAAGAAAATCTTAATTAAACAGAACTTGCAATAAAGAAAGCCTGAAAAGGGCTCTCTTTACAGGAAGTGTTTATGGAAGGCTGTGCAAGTCACATGCAGGGAGGTGTAACTAGGGTTCATAAACAAAGGGATTTAACTCCTAAATGGCAGAGGATTGAGCAGTGAGGCTGCAGGGGCATGTTCTATACACCAAAACTGCTTCATTAAGCTAAAGTTGTTCAGGTGACTATAGTGTCCCTTTAAGGACACATGACATGTGTGACATGTCATGATTCACTTTTATTCCAGAAGTTTGGTCCTTAAGGGGTTAAATACATATGGTAAGGAGGCATTGCAAAACATCTCTTAATGATAGTTAGGGATATAAAAAATAAAAACACTGTTAGAAGCATATGATTCTAGCAGCCTATAAGAACCTGGAATTTTCTGAGCTGAGTTCATTAGATTTTAGCAAACATGGAGGTGCATATATTATTTTCAATACCTTATTATGGGCTCAATTTATTCTATTTTGATAAGCTTTTCAAAGTATTTAATATTTTTGGGTACTCCTTTTAAAATGATTTAATATTTCGGAAAAAAATTAATATTGTAATATTCTGGATTTTGTTTTATATATTTGTAAATTTTTTACATATGATTTTTTTTTATCTTTAAATATGTTAACTTTTTTAATAAAAGGTTTATTGAAAAATACTAAATCTTTTTTAGCCTTAGTTTGAGGAATAAACTCCAAAGCTTTCTATTGTTGTGAAAAGTTAATTTGTAAAGTAATGCGTTCATTGGTGACTGATTCAATTAAACACAAGTTTGTACATATCAATTTTCTAAATAAAAGTAACAGGCACACAATTGGTAGTAATTATTACTTAACAAAAAAAGAAAATTCCTCTTTTAAAGTATATATTCTTTTATAACTGAAAATAAATTAATGTTACCTACACATACCTGGAAAACCTGTAGAGCTATGGAGCCCCTCATACCATTGGATATTGTCATGATAAATATATATTAAAATCTTCTACTAAGAGACTACACTGTAGAAAGATAAGTCTGCAGGTCGGCAAAATAAGTAAAGCCATTAATTGCATTCGAAGTTACACCACCATGCCTCGATGAAAACATGAAACATTTAAAGGAAAATTCTATTGTTAAAAATATACTTCTAAAAAATTTTCAAAATATACTTCTAACCTTAATGCGTTCTTTTAGATTTTTACATTAGGGGCTCTACCTATTTAAAATGAAAAAAGGGCAAATAATTATTTAAAATTAACTGTATTCCAGCACTGAGACAGTCTTCTCTGAGTAGATGCTACGCCCATGGTTAGATAATCCTGATTGATGATCCTAATGCAGTTCAATGTTTCTCATAGAAATGAAAAGGAAACTATTGCACATACATCTGCCATTGCAGCACTCCACCAATTTGATGCCTCTCATAGCGAAATACTGAATCCAATGCTTATCTATGAGCTACATTCACAGCATTTATCTTCAACATGATGGGCCTGATGATGCAGAACATGAAGTTATTTGATTTGTTTTTAAGATCTCCAATAAGGAATTTATAAGAGTTTTACCACTAGAAGCATCTTTAAGACCACGTATAAACATTTCTATGAGATCACAAAGCTATGCACCACCAAACTGTAGGGACAGGCTCTATGTACTAAAACCACTCTTCCTTTAAACCAATTGTCAATTACTTTTCTACAACAAATGTTATAAATGTTTTAGTTTTGCTTTATTGTGGCATAACATGTTCATCTTTTAAAACTACAAAACGTACCTTTTCTGTTTTACCTATTTTTGCGATGTAGTAGAGTACATGTGGTAGTAGTGTATATGTATTATATATAATATTAGATATTATATGTATTCTTTAAATAATTATTACAAATAATTTCTTGCTCTAATTATAGCTGTTTTATTTAATGAGGAATCCTTTCATTTAGATATATTGTCATTTTTAAAAGTATGCAAAGTTAAAGGGATACTATCAGCACCAAAACAAGGTTAGCTTAATGAAGCAGTTTTAATGTATAGATTGTGCCCCTGTAGTTTCATTGCTTAGTTTTCTGCCAGGAGAGAAGTTAAATCAACTTTGTTTCTGTTTATGCAACCATATCCACACCTCCTCTGGCTGTGACTCACACAGCCTTCGTGGAAAAATGGTTCCAGATGTTACTTACTTTAGAAGTTTTTATTTCCTGCTATGTTGATTGAATTTTAATCACACATAGGAGGCTCATGAGGGGTTTAGTAGGTCATTAACAGAGCAGTAGATACTAAATTATAACTTCAACAGACTGTGCGATAAAGAGAGTCTAAACATTAGATATCTCTTTACAGGAAGTGTAATTTCTCTTAACTCTTACATGTAAGAGAACTGAGTTGTGAGACTGCATCAATACTTAAAGCAATATAAAGTAATATTACTGAAAAGTATGAAAGGTTTTGTTCCAGGTTGTTTTCATTTTAAAGTTAGTGTACAGCAAAACATTATTATTTTAATACAACATTTGTTATAATAAATGTAACTTTATTTGCCATTACCAACTCAGTGGGACTTATGAAAGCTTGGATAGTGTTTCCATTCATATTTTTTTCATGTCTGAACCCACTGCCAATTCCTTAATGAAATATCACAAAAGCTTCTGTTTGATTTTCTTGGTGAACCTGTGGATATAGTTGGAGGGAGAAAACCGGAAAGTTGGTCCATTAAGAAATTTCCTATTTAAAAAAAAAAAAAAATTTTCTAGGAGTAACATTTTATTTATTTTAAATTGTTTACATAATTAATACAAAAGTAGAGATGAGCTATAGTTCAGAGTGAAGTTTAAAGAAAATATTCATTTTTATTTAGTTATTTATTTTAATCTTTTTTTGTTTTTTCAGTATTCAATTGCATAGACCCACTCCATTTAGATTGGAGTAAAATATAGATGTAGATTCATATAGGATGCATTGCTAAGCATAGTGTCCTTATCTTCTACCTATCCCTACACTTTATGCACTCTGCAGTTGAAATCCTGAGCAAACCTATGTTTGTAAGGTTATTGGGCGATTGGATTTATACAATCTAGAGGTAGAGATTTTTGCAGTGTAAGACTGGGAACATCCATGTCCTCACCACAATTCACTATATTATTCACTTATAAATAAATAAGACTAACCATTCCTACTTTCCCAAAGGGTAATATTTAGTTCCCTCCACCCTCTCTTGATTAACGTTTAGAAGTGTGGACTTGGTAGTGTACAAAATAGCTATGATTATTAGAATTCTTTACACAAATCCTTATATTTGTCCCATAATGACATTGTATGTCAAATTAATAGAACATTGATAAAACAATCAAATCTCAATACCAAACTCTATATCTATATAAAAGATTAGCAAAAAAAACCATGATATTCATTTGTGATTGATAGACATATCAGAAATACATTGCATAACAGTATTTCCATAAATTAAACACATTATGCAAGGATGCTATACTTTATAAATATCTTATTTAGTGGCAAATATTCCTTCAATTTTTTGTCTTGTTCATTTAACCTTATTGTAAGTATATAAGTTATAGCCTTACTATAACAAAAGCAAATAAATAGGGAAAAAAATTAAATTAAAAACATCAGACACTATCTAATTAATTAATAACATGCTTATTTGTGCCTATATATTAATGGCTCTAAATAATTGGCCCTAATCAATCTTTTGCAAGAATGATTAGGAAGACTTTCTAGTTTATCCTTTTATGACTATACTGTGGATTTCATTATACATGTGATGGAAATCATTGTATTGTTTCATATTATAGATAAAAAACATTATTCACTTTGCATTTTACTTAACTGAACAAAGTCTACATTACATCTATTCTATATCTTAAATATATATATATGACTACATAGAAAACCTTCTCGGTCGTGCAGTTCCACATTTATACCTCTGAGCGCCGCTGTTTGACCAATAAGGAGAAGAATACAGAGCTGGAGATCCACTGATATTTCCATCACTAACACACACTGCAGATCTGCAAGAAGGAATGCAGCCATTTTTGCACTCTGCTACAGACAGAGCACATAATCTTTGGTTATTCCACGGTAAAGAAGTAAATTTAGCACTGGATATTGTTTCAACTGGATTTACCTTTGCAAGAGATAATATCACTTTGAAGATACCAAAAATGAAACTCCAGGATAAACAAAAACACAAAGGAATCAATTGGCAAGTAATATTTTCCTTCTTATTTTCATGGATTTGTCATTCAGTATCTGCCCAGCTTCATTATTCCATTGATGAAGAAATTAGAAAAGACTCTGTTATTGCTAATATTGCAAAAGACCTTGATTTAGATATTAAGCAGCTCTCACTTAGAAAATTTCGTATTGTTTCCCATGTTTCTGAGAAATATTTTTTTGCTAATTTACAAAATGGAAATTTATATGTTAAAGACAGGATAGATAGAGAGACATTGTGTGGGACAGCAGCTACCTGCTTACTAACCTTTGATGCAGTGATTGAAAATACTTTAAATGTTTTTCCTGTCACCATTGAAATTCAGGATATAAATGATAATTCTCCAAAATTTTATCATGAAACCATTTCATTTGAAATTGTTGAAACTAGCTCACCGGGAACACATTTTATTTTGCAAAATGCAGAAGATCCAGATATTGGGATTAATTCTGTACAAACATACAAGCTCAGTCATAATCAGCATTTTACACTGAGTGAAAAGACCAGCACTGATGGAAGTGTGTCTCCAGAACTTGTGCTAGAGAAACCTTTAGATCGGGAGACACAAAATATTCATGAATTAATTTTAACCGCACTGGATGGCGGGAATCCCATTAGATCTGGAACTGCACTAATCAGGATTATTGTTACTGATGGAAATGATAATTTTCCTATATTTACAGAAGAGGTTTATAAAGTAAGTGTAAGTGAAAATACTCCAGCTAACTATACTCTGCTTCATGTCACTGCAACTGATCAAGATGAAGGTTCTAATGCACAGATCACATATTCCTTTAGAAAAACATCTGGAAATGAGCTTTCTACTGCAATGTTTAGCATTAATTCTACAAATGGTGAAATAAAAACAAATCAAAAATTGGATTTTGAAACAGTAAGAAATTATGAAATGTCTATACAAGCAAAAGATGGTGGTGGGCTATTGGCCCATTCCAAGGTCTTAGTAGAAATAATAGATGAAAATGATAATGCACCTGATATTTCCATTACCTCATTAAATTCTCCTATTCCTGAGGATTCCCCACCAGGCACAATGATTGTGCTGATTAAAGTTCATGATCAAGATTCAGATGAAAATGGAGAAGTTGACTGTCAAATCGTAGGGAATATTCCATTTCAGTTTATATTGTCAACAAGTAAATACTTCAAAATTGTTACAACAAAAGTCATGGACAGAGAAAAAGAATCATTTTATAATATCACAGTTAAAGCATCTGATAGGGGATCTCCTCCACTTTCCACTATCAGAACTATCAGGTTGGATATATCAGACATTAATGACAATCCTCCAGTATTTACAAAATCTACTTATGTTGCATATGTACCAGAAAACAATTTACCAGGGGCCTCAATTTACAGTATACATGCCTTGGATTTTGACATTGAAGAAAATGCCAAGATTATTTATTCACTTTCCAGCACATACACTGAAGATATCCCAGTATCTTCTTATCTTTCCATTAATGTAGAGACTGGAGTTCTCTATGCTCAGCGATCATTTGATTATGAGCAGCACAAAGAGTTTCAACTCCAAATAACTGCTAAAGACAATGGATCTCCATCTCTGAGCAGTAATACAACATTAATTATTCATATAGTCGATCAAAATGATAATTCACCAAGGATTTTATACCCATCAACAGAAAACGATGGTTCAACTACATTTGAGATTGTTTCATTTAATTCTGAAGAAGGTTCTTTAATAACTAAGGTGGTTGCCGTAGATGCTGACTCAGGACATAATGCTTGGCTCTCTTATCATTTCATGCAAGTGTCAGAACCTTCTCCCTTCAGCATTATTCAGCACACAGGAGAAATAAGGACATTGCGTGTCTTTGAAAAGAAAGACGTTCTTAAGTATAAGCTGGTAGTTATTGTGAAAGACAATGGAGTCCCCTCACTGACAGCAACAACAACTTTAAGTATAATTGTTGCAGATTCTTTCCAACAAGTGGTTCCCAAATTCACTAGTGAACTTAGTGATGATGATTCTCCACCTAACTTACAAATGTATTTAGTGATTGCTTTAGCACTGATTTCATTTTTATTTATTTTAAGTGTTATGTTAGTTATCATTTCCAAATGTAAGCAATCAAAATCCCCTTCAACCTTTGGATCTCTCAGTACCAATCTGTATTCTCAAGTAGATCCCAGATTTCTTTCCCAATATAACAATGGAACTTTACCTCTGCCATACTCATATAATGTATGTGTGGCTTTGGATTCAAGTGAAAGTGACTTTACTTTTATAAAACCGAAGCAAGATGTCCCCACAGACAATCTTATCGATGCTGATGATTCAGGACTAGGAAATGAAAATGAGGCAGAAACGATGTCCTCTAATAATCTAGTGAAGGTGAGTGGTAATTTTTAGGAGTAAAATAATAAAACCTGATATTTTGATTTCTCTGCTTTGCTGTTCTTATGATGTATTCAGTGTAATACCTGTTTATTTACACAGCAAACGTAATTTTGTTTAAAAAAAAGAAAACTCTCCATAAAGAAATTTTAATACTATATTTCACAGAGATCTCAGGTGGTAGCAATTGTATGTACCACTTTCTGGGACCTCTGAATTGACAATAAACATGAACATACCAAGACACAGGTACTTAACCAATATCTATAGAAATATCATATTCAACAAAATAAAAAAACAATCTGCTTAATTTTAGGACATATAATTTATTGCCCACATTCTAGTCATTGATTTAAGGATGTAGTCTTTAGATTGATAGCTGTATTGTAAAAACAATCTAATATTAACTATTTATAGTAAATAGCCAAAGAAAAATTACTGAAAAACATGCAACTTCTTATTTCAGGTTATTTTTCCTTTTAGATATAATGTTAATTTTGAACTACGTTTTGCATACAAGGAAGTTAATTGTGTTGACCCAACACCCCTCACACGTACTCAGTGTCACAGTAGATATCTATACTTCTCATTACCCACACAATCACCTGAATGGTTGGTACACAAACAGGTAACAAACAGGTAGGCTACAAAGGTCGGCAACAAAACGCAAATTGTAAGTCGCACTCACCAAACCTAATATCTGGTGATTTGGAGAATCTCACCATTTCTGCTAATGTGGCAAGCAATTATGTTTAACTATAATTAGTTTTCCAATCTTTAGCAATAATTATGCATTTTGTTAAGAAAATAAACGGGAGGCATGTAGTGTCCTGTCTTGTTTTTTCTTGTTTTATCCTTTAGGAATCATGCTAGTGATTATAATTGTGCTTATAGAAAGTAACTCAACTTTTTGTAAATGTTTTAATTTACTACCAGCTATTACCTGTTTGAACCTAGACAGCTCATGATCTACTGTAACTTTTGAACCTGTTACGCTTTCTTTACATGTGATAATCAGATCATAGGTGCTGATTTACTATTTATAACATAATATTTAGTATATTGTAGTGTATACACAGTGAAATTGCATTTATACCATGTGTTACATATGATTCTTTAGACAATAACTCATTGCAACACAGATAACTTTGATTTTGGTAATTAGTTTTCAGATTTCTGTGTGTTTTAACTTGATTTGCAATATTTACATAGCAAATAAGCTATCAACTATATTACTGAGGCAGCATTAAACCATACCTCCTAACATTGGGAGATAAGTAATCAGGACAGGTGGGTGGGCCTTCTAGGAGGTGGCACTAGTGATAAAACTTGTGCTTCTATCGACATCTACAATAGATGGGCCTACATGTCAGCCTGGTGCCAAGCATGCCAGGATGTCAGAAAACCTCCTGACCAGCCTTCTACTTGTAAGACCATGCAAAGAGTGCTAGTGAAGCACTTTCTGCATACAGCTCAGTGCAAGCATGCCTAATAATGCACTTGCACTGTGCTGCTCAAGGACAGTTCCTTGGTATCTCTGGATGCAGGAAACCAGGGAAGTATTTTGGATGGTGGAACATGACCCTGAAATTGGGACTGTCCCTCTGAAAACAGGGCTGTTAGTAGCCCTGCTAAACTAAATAACATCAAACCACCTTTAAGTATTGTGCATTCCTATACACAATGACCGGATAAGGCTAACAAGCACAATATATATGTCACACAACCTTGGAGATGTCTGATCAGCAGCAGAGCAGAAAGCAGCGAGAACTGGACCTAAGAGTTGCACATTGTAAACCTGAGTAGGTTTGTCTCTATAAAGAAAAGGCATATGGTAAGGAAGGTGGCAATTCATGATATAAACTAAGGCTGGTCAGATACATGTGCTTTAACCCCTTAAGGACACGTGACATGTCATGATTCCCTTTTATTCCAGAAGTTTGGTCCTTAAGGGGTTAAAATATAGGAAAGTATTAACAGCAATGTCATCACAAGCAGGCATAGGATTTAGAATGTAAATGTTTCTTATCATGTCAAGCTAATAAATACAAATTGGTGTCACATTTAATGTATTTTGATGCGAGTGTATAAATTCACCTGGAGATCTTTCTCCACTAGTATAGCAAACTAGATATAGACACTAGCAGAAATCATTTTGGCATATTTTTTCTCTGATGAGTAAGTTTTCACATGCCAAGCTCTAGTAAACCAAGCCCTAAATATTTAACCTAAAACAGGCACCCTTTTATTTAATGTGAGTGTGCCTTGTTCTAATTATATATTAACCAAATCCCAGTTTATTGCAACATATTTCAGTTGTTATTTATGTATCCTGTGAGAATATATCATTTCTAATTCAGAATGGTATGATGGTAGATCGTTACATTATTGTTTAAATCCCTTTACAAGTGCAAGTGTATGTTATCAAAAAATTTGTAATTAAATATGCAAATCAGAAATATGAAAAAAAACTATTTTTTATGTACTTTGTAAAGAAAATATATGGGACTCATGCAGAGTACCCTGTAATATTATATCCTGTTTTAACCTTCAGGAATCATACTAGTGACTATATTTATGTTCCTGTGATAATTAGTAGAGAAAATGTTAGATACAGCAGAAACTAATGTAATTTTACACTTTACTACGAGCTCTGATATGTTTGAACCTAGTCGGTTATCCAGATTTAACTACTTTGACAATTGAACCTGTGATACTTTCTTGGTATGTGCTTATCAGATCATAGTTCCTGATTTACTATTTACTATTGTTTATGTTTTTCTGGCATGTTTACACTAAATATGTAGAACATATTACAATTGTAAAGAATGCTAAATGCTTTTTGACTTCATTAATGAGAAAAAAGATTAAAATATTCCTGATATTCAGAAGTTAACCAGTTAAGCTATACCTTTGCTTGATGCCAAGCTCGGAAGTGCTCAGCTCGAGATGCTCGATAGCAAACATAGTACTTTCAGTTTAATTCAGTTGAAGGATGAAAAACATTGCATGTTAATTTAACACAAAGCTGACAAAATGGGCAAATATCAATACCTCGCTTTGTTTCTAGAGTATTTTTTTACATGACATTTAAATTTACTGACATTTTTAAATGTCAGGAAATAATGTTCTGTAAACGTGTCTATATTTAATGACTGTATTATATCAGGTTTTTGAAATTCCATTATTATGTTACCTGGAACTCTCTTTACCTTTGGTTTCAATTTTATTGTGTGTGAGTGTGGACATATAAAGGGGAAAGCTAAAGCAAAAATGCAATGTGTTGTGTAAATTTGAAAATTTTGCCAAAATAAAATGAAAAAAATTGCTAGTGGCATGTATACTTTATATATATATATATATTGTATATATTTCTTTAAGCTGTAGTCAGTACCTTATAGAACATAGTGTTTGGTGAAAATAGAGTGTTGTTTTTGCTTGAGAGCAGATACTTAAACATTTCCAATTAGAACTATGGATTCTTATTGGTTTTATAAGCACAGTACAGTATATAACATTTAACCAGTATGACACTTAGAAAAGAACATATACAATATTTTGTTAGTTTTGTCAGAAATATCAGTTAACTCCAAAGTTGAAGTCTAATATTACATAACAACGTAGTCATAAGGGAAGAAAAAGAAGAAGAACAAAATGAGAAAAGCATTATCTATTATTATTTATTATTAATGTATAAATGTGGCTAGAGGAGAATAAAGTAGATGAGACTCCTCATGAGTAAAGAAGTAAAGAGAACCTTTATTTTTTGCTTATTTAAAGTTAACATGCCTTAAACCATTGTCAGTTTTTTTTTAAAAAAAACACAAAGAGTTTTTGGACATATGCACCATACATAGCGCCTTTCAATGAAGAGGTACAAGTTTACCCCAATCAATGGGGCATCTCCTTCATCTATGAAGCATATGCTCTGGCCCCACAGTTCAATCAACAGGAAGTCATCTTTATATTTTTGAAGCTTCAACCGTGTATTGTTAAAAAAGAGCCACTATTAACCTAGTAACTAGGTAAATATACTTTGCAAGTCTCATGTTCCATGACAAATATGAAGTATTTAATGAGCATACAATATAGATAAGTTAGCAGGCAATATAAGCAAACCAATTCATTGTATAGGAATTGGAATATGTATTACTCACTGATTAATCTTTCCATACTGCAGAATCTGTTGATTCCATGTTTCATTTTATATTTTTTTTTCAGGAATTAATTTACTAATTAGTCCTTTACTAAATATACTAAAAAATACCTGCTGGATTTATAGGATTTGCTCAGGGTCCCAATGGTTTAGTATTGTGCTGTTAGGTTAAAGAAAAGTATAGGAGTTGATGTAAAAAGTATCACCAGGCCATAATTTTATTTCATTTGCATGTATGACTTTGTAGTCCAACCTTTAGTAAGTTATGCAACATCTTTAAACAGTTATCTAGACATTTTCCCTACTAATAAATACTGTCTAATGTGGTGGTAGAACATGTTGGATTTTTATCATGTAGTTTACTGCAAATATATTGCAATTTTTTACATTTTTCCCTGCATTTCCCACCTATTATTGCTACTCAAAGTCGGATGGTTAATATTGAAGTTCACTTCTGCCTTATTTATGCCATAAAAGAGTGGCATGCTGGGAGTTCAATGGTTTTCGTCAAATTATTTTAAAATTGTTTGAGAAATGAAATGGAATGAATAACGTTTCTGAAAATGTTACTGGAACAAGATGTCTTGCTTTCCACAGTTAAACTTTTGTTCTCTTCACCCTCTTTTTGATGTTCTGGGAATGGGATCATGCTTAAAAGACTCATTGATTATTAGGATTATCTGTATTAATCTTTTCATTTTCAACTTATCCAGTTGGTCAAGTTGACAGTCAAACATCAACAACCAACTCTGTATCTAGCTAAAAAGTGACATAGTGTTCTTTGCAGGTAGAAGAGAACTATTAAGTCACCACATTCACAATAATATGTTGTTTAGTATTAGATAGCCCCTTCCATGGTTGCCACTTTGTCTCACTTATGTTTATTTTAGATGCTACATTGCTGCTTTCCAAGTATATAGTATTAGACATTGCTTTCCAAGTATATAGTATTAGACATTTGTGGAAATTATGAGACTCTATTTTTCTCTTAAGACTAAACAAAAAATGTCACTATATATCTGAAGAAATACATAGCTGTGTTTTATCTAAATGTAAAAATACTAATTAGTGCTTCTTTTAAACTAAGCATAGGTTGCATTACATTTATAAAGTCTAAAAATTAACTTTGGCTGCATAGAAAAACTCTCAGTCATGCAGTTCTCCATTTATACCTCTGAGCGCCGCTGTTTGACCAATAAGGAGAAGAATACAGAGCTGGAGATCCACTGATATTTCCATCACTAACACACACTGCAGATCTGCAAGAAGAAACACAGCCATTTTTGGATTCTCTCACTTACAGAGCACAGAAAATCTGATTATATTCTTCTGAGGAGATGGATTCAGCACTTAGAATAAAAATAACTTTAAATAAAGGAATAACTTTCAAGATAGCAGAGATGAAAACACAAGATTTACAAAGAAACCAAGGAATCAGATGGCAAGTAATATTTTTCTTCTTATTTTCATGGCTTTGTCTTTCAGTATCTGCCCAGCTTCATTATTCCATTGCTGAAGAAATGAGAAAAGATTCTGTTATAGGAAATATTGCAAAAGACCTTGGATTAGATATTAAGCAGCTCTCATTTAGAAAATTTCGGATTGTCTCTCGTGTTTCTGAAAAATATTTTTTTGCTAATTTACAAAATGGGAATTTATACATTAAAAACAAGATAGATAGGGAGACACTGTGGGGAAGAGCAGCTCCCTGCTTACTAACCTTTGATGCAGTGGTTGAAAATCCTTTAAATGTTTTTCCTGTAACCATTGAAATTCAGGATATAAATGATAATTCTCCAAAATTTTATCATGAAACCATTTCTTTAGAAATCATTGAATTTACTTTAACAGGAACACATTTTATGTTGCAAAATGCAGAAGATCCTGATATTGGAATTAATTCTGTACAAACATACAAGCTCAGTGATAATCAGCATTTTACACTGAGTGAAAAGACCAGCACTGATGGCAGTAAAATTCCAGAACTTGTTTTAGCAAAACCTTTAGATCGAGAGACACAAAATGTTCATGAAATAATTTTAACTGCACTGGATGGAGGGAATCCTATTAGATCTGGAACTGCTCTGATCAAGATTATTATTACTGATGGAAATGATAATTTTCCTGCATTTACGGAAGAAGTCTATAAGGTGAGTGTAAGTGAAAATACTGCCATTAACTTTACACTGATTCACGTCACTGCAACTGATCAGGATGAAGGTTCTAATGCACAGATCATATATTCCTTTAGAAAAACATCTGACAATGACATTTCTACTGCCCTGTTTAGTATTAATGCTACAAGTGGAGAAATTAAAACCAAAAGAAAATTGGATTTTGAAGATGTACAAAATTATGAACTGTCGATTCAAGCAAAGGATGGTGGTGGGCTTGTGGCCTATTCTAAGGTTTTAATAGAAATAATAGATGAAAATGATAATGCCCCAGAGATATCTATTACCTCTTTAACTTCACCTATTCCTGAGGATTCCCCACAAGGTACACTCATAGCACTGATTGAAGTTCATGACCAAGATTCAGGAGAAAATGGAGAGGTTGCCTGTCAAATCATAGAGAATATACATTTTCAGTTAATATTGTCATCGAGTAAATACTACAAAATTGTTACAACAAAAGTCATGGACAGAGAGACAGAATCATATTATAATATCACAGTTCAAGCATCTGATAGGGGATCTCCTCCACTTTCCACTACAAGAACTATTAGGTTGGATATATCAGATATTAATGACAATCCTCCAGTATTTACAAAATCTACTTATGTTGCATATGTACCAGAAAACAATTTACCAGGGGCCTCAATTTACAGTATACATGCCTTGGATTTTGACGTTGATGAGAATGCCAAAATTATTTATTCAATATCCAGCACATACACGGAAGATATCCCAGTATCTTCTTATCTTTCCATTAATATAGAGACTGGAGTTCTCTATGCTCAGCGATCATTTGATTATGAGCAACACAAGGAGTTTGAAATACTAGTAACTGCTAAAGACAATGGATCCCCATCTCTGAGTAGTAATACAACATTAATTATTCATATAGTCGATCAAAATGATAATTCACCAAGAATTTTATACCCATCAACAGAAAACGATGGTTCAACTATGTTTGAGATTGTTTCATTTTCTTCTGAAGAAGGTTATTTAATAACAAAGGTAGTTGCAGTGGATGCTGACTCAGGACATAATGCTTGGCTCTCCTATCATTTCATGCAAGTGTCAGAACCACTTCCGTTCAGTATTAGTCAGCATACGGGAGAAATAAGAACATCAAATTTCTTTGAACAGAAAGATATTCTTAAATATAAGCTGGTAGTTATTGTGAAAGACAATGGAGTCCCCTCACTGACAGCAACAACAACCTTAAGTATAATTGTTGCAGATTCTTTCCAACAAGTGGTTCCCAAATTCACTAGTGAACTTAGTGATGATGATTCTCCACCTAATTTACAAATGTATTTAGTTATTGCTTTAGCATTGATTTCATTCTTATTTATTTTAAGTGTTATGTTAGTTATCATATCCAAATGTAAGCAATCACCTTCCCCTGCAGCCTTTGGAACTCTCAGTACCAATCTTTATTCTCAAGTGGATCCCAGATATCTTTCCCAATATAACAATGGAACTTTACCTCTGCCATACTCATACAATGTGTGTGTTGCTCTGGATTCAAGTGAAAGTGACTTTACTTTCATAAAACCAAAGCAGGATGTCCCCACAGAAAATCTTATCGATGCTGATGATTCAGGACTTGGAAATGAAAATGAGGCAGAAACCTTGATGTCTAACAATCTTGTAAAGGTGAGTGGTAATTTTAAGGACTAAAATAGGAAAAGCTAATATTTAGATTTCCCTGCTATTTTTATTATGTATTTCTTGTGTAATACCTGTTTATATACACAGCCAATGTAATTTTGGTTTAAAAAAAAAAAGCCATGGTATATGCCGTTCGTACCACTTTCTGGGATCTCTGACTTGACAAAAAAAAAAAACATAAACATATCCAGAAACAGGTACTTAAACAATATGGACAGAGGTGGCAAGTGGTGTCCTTCAGGGGTCTGTTCTGGGACCTCTTCTATTTAACATGTTTATAAATGATCTTGAAGACAGCATTGAAAGTCATGTTTCAGTGTTTGCACATGACCCAAAACTTTGTAAAATAATACAATGTGAGCAAGATATTACTTTGCTTCAGAGGGATTTAGATAGACTGGGGACTGGGCACTCAAATGGCAGATGAAATTTAATGTTGAAAAATGCAAAGTTATGCACTTCGGCGTAAAGAATACACAAGCAACGTATACACTTAATGGAAGCAAATTAGGGATAACAACACATGAAAAGGACTTGGGAATTGTTATAGACAACAAACTATGCAACAATGTGCAATGTCAATCAGCAGTGGCCAAGGCCAGTAAGGTATTGTGATGCATGAAAAAGGGCATTCATTCTCAGGACGAGAATATCATTTTGCCTCTTTATAAATCACTGGTAAGATCACATATTGAATATGCTGTGCAATTTTGGGCACCTGTTCTAAAGAAGGATATTATGGCACTAGAAAAAGTTCAGAGGCGGGCTACAAAATTAATAAAATGTAAACCTATTTAGTTTAGAAAAACGTCGCCTGAGAGGGGATATGATAACATTCTCCAAATATATTCGGGGCCAATACAAACTATTGTATGGAAATCTATTCACAAACCGGACTTTACATAGGACACGAGGCCATGCGTTTAGACTGGAAGAAAGAAAATTTTGTCTAAGGCAAAGGAAAGGTTTTTTTATTGTAAGAACAATCAGGATGTGGAATTCTCTGCCTGAAGAAGTGGTTTTATCAGAATCCATACAGTTATTCAAACAGCTACTAGATGCATACTTGCAAAAACAGAATATTCAAGGATATAATCTTTCAATGTAGGGTAATAACTGCTTGATCCAAGGATAAATCTGACTGCCATTCTGGGGCCAAGAAGGAATTTTTTTCCTAGCTTGTTGTAAAATTGTGCTTTAAACTGGGTTTTTTTGCCTTCTTTTGGATCAACAGCACAAAACAAATGTGAGGAAGGCTGAACTTGATGGACGCAAGTCTCTTTTCAGCTATGTAACTATGTAACTATGTAATATCTATAGAAATATCCTGGTAAACAAAATGAGAAACATGCTACTTAAGTTTAGGACATATAATGTATTGACAGCATTTTAGTCGTTGACTTAAGGATGTAGCCTTTAGAGTGATAGCTGTATTGTAAAAATATTCTAATATTAAGTATTTATAGTAAATAGCCAAAGACAAAATAATGAAAACCATACAAGTTCTTTTTTAAGGTTATTTTTCCTTTTAAATATAATGTTTCATTTTGTACTACGTTTTCTATTGTATGTATGTATGTATGTATTGGTAAGGAAACGGATTTAATGCCATGTAATACAGCAGGTATAAGCAGGTATAAGCCCTCACACTCACTCAATGTCACAGGAGATATCTATGCTTCACATTGCCCATACAATCACCTGAATGGTGAGTACACAAACAAACTGTGAATGATAGGCAACAAAACACAATTTGTAAGCCAAAATCACTAAACAGAAAATGCAGCTTACTTGGATAATCTCTTGATTTCTGCTAATGTGGCAAGCAATTATATTTTACTATAATTAGTTTTCCAATCTTTAGCAAGAATTATGCATTTTGTAAAGAAAATATATGGGAGGTATGTAGAGTGTCTTGTCTTTTTTTTTCTTCTTGTTTTATCCTTCAGGAATCAAGCTAATGATTGTAATTGTGCTTATAGTACAGAATATGTGTGCAGCAAAGATGGCAACTCAGTAGAAACTCACCTTTTTGGACAAGTTTCAATTTACTACTAGCTCTTATCTGTTTGAACCTAGACAGCTGATGATCTACCGTAACCTTTGGACTTGTTACACTTTGTTTACATGTGTTTGTCAGATCTTAGGTGCTGATTTACTATTTCTAATGTAATATTCAGTATAGTATAGTGTATAAACAGTCAAATAGCATTGATACCATGTGTTATATATGATTCATTAGACAACAACTCATTGCAACACCGATAACTTTAATTTTGGTAATCATTTTTCAAATTGCTGTGCGTTAACTTGATTTAAATTGTTTTTTTCAGTTGGGATTTTGCTGTTACTTATTTAGTACATGCATGAATATTTAGATGATTGGTCAGTAGAAAGTACTGCTACTACTTTGATTTAATCAACTTTCTGTGTAGAACACAGTGGCAATATTTATATGCACTTATTAATATTGATATTGGTTACCACTCACCCACACAGAATATATCTAACACAAGAAAGGTTTGCACACTATACTAAACATGTATTTGGAAAGTTCACATATTATACTGAAGTAACAAAACACATGTATATATAATATTTACATTACATATAAGCAATCAACCATATTACTGAGGCAGCATTAAACCATACCTAACAAACCATAACATTGAGATAAGTAATCAGGACATGTGGATGGGCCTTCTAGGCGGTGGCAGCAGTGATGAAACTCGTGTCACTGTCAACACCTACCATGCATGGGCCCGTCCACTTAAGTGGGTATGTCAGCCTGGTGCCTCTTGACTAGCCTCCTATTTGTAAGACCACGCAAAGAGTGCTACGGAAGCGATTTCTGCATGGTCCTAATGCACGCTACACAGTGCAAGAGTGTCTAATGATGCACAAATCTGCTCAAGGACAGTTCCTTGATATCTCTGGATGCAGGAAACCAGTGAACTTTTCTGGATGGTGGAACATGACCCTGAAATTGGAACTGTCCCACCGAAAGCATGACTGTTAGGACTCCTGCTAAACTAAATAGTATGTTGTATTCCTATTTACAATGGATAAATAAGGCTAGCAAGGCCCAGTGTATACGTACGGTCACACAACCTGGGGCAGGATGGAGATGTCTGATCAGTAGCAGAGCAGGAAGCAGAGAGAACTGAACCTAAATGTTTCACATTGTTAACCTGAGTAGGTGCAAAACCATGCAGTTGGCCTGGACTCTCAAATTTAAATTAATGAAACCAAGGGGCTGCATAAAAATGCTGGATCTTATGTGTCGTATGAATTGCCCCCAGCAGCACCCTATAATGTATGCATTTTTAGGTAAGTGTAGCCCCTTGGTTTCATATTTTTATATTTTCAAGTCCAGGGCAACTCCCCAATTTTGCACCCCTCCCTATTACAGGTGCCTAATTCAAAGGCCCTATTTAACCTTGACCTACCGAGAGTCCCAGGAAGAACATTTTCCCAAATAAGTGGATTAATCTCATAAGAGCCTGCATTAGGTTGCTAGAGTAGAACCGGCCAAGAATGGAATACATTAACATTGTGGCAGGCTTATGCTATGTATCATCATATACTGTAACTAAACCTCCATTATTTTTTGTCTAGGTAAGGTGTTTTTAAATAAAGCTACTAAATTCTGTGAGACTTGAAATTGCTGTTTAGTGCATGAGCAAGTGTGCTGGATCTTGTATGTTATATATATATATATTTTATATACAGTTGTGCTCAAAGGTTTGCATACCCTTTGGGAATTGGTAATGTACCATTTTTAAAGAAAACATGAGTGAGCAGGCAAAACACATTTCTTTTATTTTTTTATGGGATTCATATTCAATTGTAGGTTATAAAAGAATGGCACAATCATAAAACAAAACATGGCAACAAAGAAAAAAATTAAATGACCCTTGTTCAAAAGTCTGCATACCCTTAGTTCTTTATACTGTGTATTGCCCCCTTTAGCATCAATAACAGCGTGCAGTCTCTTGCAATAGTTATCTATGAGTCTCCTAATTCTTGCAGGTGGTATTACTGCCCATTCGTCTTGGCAAAATGCCTCCAGGTCATGCAAAGCGTTTGGTCATCTTGCATGAACCACACGTTTGAGATCTCCCCAGAGATGCTTGATGATATTAAGGTCAGGAGACTGAGAGGCCTCTCCAGAACCTTACATCTGCTGTAACCACTGGAAGGTCAACTTGGCATTGTAGCTAGGTTAGCTAATCGGACCTAGCCAGATGATCGAGACCGCAGGAAACAAGTCATAATTATTGACTTGGCTCCAACCTTCAACCCAGAAATGAAGTACCCGGAACTCTGTGATGAGTCCAGACACCCAGGTGGACTGAAAAAAGCGCACCTTAATGAATTTAAATAGCGGATATAGCAGGAATGAACAATATCAAGCACTTTGAGAAAGACATTTATTGGTTAAACGATGAGATCTCAAAGTTTGTATCTATTTTTTATTTAATAAATTTGTTCTGGTTACATTTCTATTACCCTTTTTTTGTTTTAACAAATTAAGTGTTTGAAATACAGTATCCAGTATCCTGTGGGGATCCTACCTACCTGATTTCAACAACATTTATTTTACAAGACACTTAAAGTCTGAGCCTACTATGAAGTGGCTCAGCAATATGTTAGTGTAACCAATTTGTATTAATTTGTTTTTATTACATTTATACAGATTACACAATGGTCTATTTTTTGTTTATATCTTAGGTTTTATATCGAGCTTATGGTAAAATTGCATGTGTATGTGTGTGTTTTTTTATTTACACTCTTTATTTGCAATATTATATCTAGTAATTATTATATGTGTATTTTTTTACATATACTTATCAGTGTGCTCTCACCACTATTTTATCTCCTTTAGTCATGCTGGAAAATCCAAGAGAGTCCAATGCGCAGTCTTCGTGCAAAAGAATGCAAATTGTCAACCAGTATTTTCTGATAACATCCTGCATTCATCTTGCTATCAATTTATGCAAGATTCCCTTAGCCTTTGGAGCTCACACACCCTAAAAAATCAGTGAGCCACCACCATGCTTAACATGGTATGTGACCATAAAGCTCTATAAAGCTCTATTTTGGTCTCGTTACTCTAAATTACAGTATGCCAGAAGCTGTGAGGTGTGTTAAGGTGTAGTCGGGCATATTATAACCAGGCTTTTTTTGTGGCATTGGCGCAGTAAAGGCTTCTTTTTGGCAACTCAACCATGGAGCCCATTTTGTTCAAGTATCATCAGATTGTGTTTCTTGAAACAACCATGCTGTCTTTTTCCAGATCAGCCTGTATTTCTCCTGTGTGTTTTTCTTTGTACCTTTAACAATTCTTCTGGCAGTTGTGGCTAAAATCTTTCTTGGTCAACTTGACTTTGGCTTGATATCAAGAGATCCCCAGATGTGATTGAACAGTACTGATTGGCATTTTCAAGGCTTTGGATAACTTTTTATATTTGTTTCCATTTTTATAAAGTTTCATTACTTTGTTATGCAAGTATTGTGACAGTTAATTTCTGCTCCCCATGGCTCAGTATCTAGCCTGCTCAGTCCATTCACGTGAGAGCTAACAATAATTGCAATTTTAAAAGCCACATGTGTGGGAAATTAACCTTTAATTGCCATTTTAACATCCGTGTGTCACCTTGTGTGTCTGTAACAAGGCCACATTCAAGGGTATGTAAAAGTTTGATGAAGGCTATTTGGGTGATTCTGTTATCATTATTATCTAAAAAGGAATCATACAACTATATGATGATAAATGGCATCATATGATCACTATCCTTTAATAAAATACTTTTTCTTGCATGATCAGTCACTTCTTAGCACAACTGTGACCTTAAAAATAGTCAAATTTAATATAACTATACTTACTGGGTAAATAGACTTTGGTGGCCCCTTGTTCCAGGACAAATATGTTAAATAATAATTTTGGAATCTTTTATGAGCATACAATATAAATAAGTTAACAGGCAAAATAAGCAAGCCAATTCTTTGTAAATTAACTGAAATACATACTATTTACTGATTGATCTTTCAATACTGCAGAATCTGTAGATTCTATGTTTCCTTTTATACTTTTTTTAATGAATTAATTTACTACCCAGTCCACCCAGTTCACTAAATACACCAAAACACTTGCTGGAAATATAGGATCTGCTCAGGGTCCCAAAGGAAAAAGTTGAAAGACCAACATTGGTTGAGACATTTCAGTTAATTAGTTTAGTATTTTACTGTTGTGCTGTTAAGTTGAAGTAAAACATAAGAGTTGATATAAAATGTATCACTAGGCCATAATTTTATTCTATTTGCATATCAATTGTGTGACTTTCAGTTCAACCATTTTCCCTACTCATAAATAATGTAGTGGTAGAACATGTTGAATTTTTATTGCATAGTTAACTGCCTATATATTGCTTTTGTTTATATTTGCCCTGCATTTTCCACATATTATTGCTATTCAAAGTTGGATGGCTTATATTGAAGTTCACTTTAGCATTATTTGTGCCATTGAATAGTGGCTTGGCTTAAGGTGCTAGGAGCTCAATGTTTTTAGTCAAATCACTTTAAAATTGTTTAAGAAATAAAATGGAAGGAATAAAGCTTCTGATAACTTCACTGGAACATCCTGTCTTGCTTTCCACAGTTAAACTGCTGTTCCCTTCACCCTCTTTTGATGTCCTGGGATTGGGACCATGCTTAAAAGAATCAATGATTATTAGGATTATCTGTATACATATTGTTATATTTGCAATTTATCAAGTTGGGTCCAGTTTACAGTTACAACCAACTCTGTATCTAGGTAAACAGTGCATAGTGTTCTTTAAAGGTAGGAGAGAACTATTAAGTCACCACATTCACAATAATATGTTGTTTAGTATTAAATAGCTCCTTTCATTGTTGTAATTTGTTTCATTTATGTTTATTTTATATGCTACATTGTTGATTTACAAGTATATGGTATTAGACATTTGTTGAAATTATGGATATAGATTTGTTTTATTTTTATTTTATGACTAAACTAAGAATGTACCTATACTTCTGAAAAAATAAATAGCTGTGTTTTATCTGTATGCAAAAACACTAATTAGTGCTTCTTTTAAACTGAGCATAGGTTGCATTACATTGATGAAGTATAAATTTGAACTTTGGCTGCATAGAAAAACTCTCAGTCATGCAGTTCTCCATTTGTACCTCTGAGCGCCGCTGTTTGACCAATAAGGAGAAGAATACAGAGCTGGAGATCCACTGATATTTCCATCACTAACACACACTGCAGATCTGCAAGAAGAAACACAGCCATTTTTGGATTCTCTCAAATACAGAACACAGAAAATCTGGTTATATTCTTCTAAAGAGGGGGATTCAGCACTGATTTGGAATACAAGTACCTTACAATAAAGGAATATCACTTTCAAGATAGCAGAGATGAAAACACAGGATTCACAGAAAAACAAAGGAATCAGACGGCAAGTAATATTTTTCTTCTTATTTTTATGGCTTTGTCATTCAGTCTCTGGTCAGCTTCATTATTCCATTGATGAAGAAATGAGAAAAGATTCTGTTATTGCTAATATTGCAAAAGACCTTGAATTAGATATTAAGCAGCTATCCCTTAGAAAATTTCGGATTGTCTCTCGTGTTTCTGAAAAATATTTTTTTGTTAATCTACACAATGGGAATTTATACATTAAAAACAAGACAGATAGGGAGACACTGTGTGGAAGAGCAGCTCACTGCTTACTAAGCTTTGATGCAGTAGTTGAAAACCCTTTAAATGTTGTTCCTGTCACTATTGAGATTCATGATATTAATGATAATTCTCCCAAATTTTATCATGAAACCATTTCTTTAGAAATTATTGAATTTACTTCACCAGGAACACACTTTATTTTACAAAATGCAGAAGATCCAGATATTGGGATTAATTCTGTTCAAACATATAAACTCAGTGATAATCAGCATTTTACACTAAGTGAAAAGACCAGCAATGATGGCAGTAAAATTCCAGAACTTGTTTTAGAGAAACCTTTAGATCGGGAGACACAAAATATTCATGAATTAATTTTAACAGCACTGGATGGAGGAAATCCTATCAGATCTGGAACTGCTCTCATCAAGATTATTATTACTGATGCAAATGATAATTTTCCTGCATTTACAGAAGAAGTCTATAAAGTGAGTGTAAGTGAAAATACTGCCATTAACTTTACACTGATTCACGTCATTGCAACTGATCAAGATGAAGGTTCTAATGCACAGATCACATATTCCTTTAGAAAAACATCTGACAATGACATTTCTACTGCCATGTTTAGTATTAATGCTACAAGTGGAGAAATTAAAACCAAAAAAAATTTGGATTTTGAAGATGTACAAAATTATGAATTGTCAATTCAAGCAAAGGATGGTGGTGGGCTTGTGGCCCATTCTAAGGTTTTAATAGAAATAATAGATGAAAATGATAATGCCCCAGAGATATCCATCACCTCTTTAACTTCACCTATTCCAGAGGATTCCCCACAAGGTACACTCATAGCACTGATTGAAGTTCATGATCAAGATTCTGGAGAAAATGGAGAGGTTGACTGTCAAATCATAGAGAATATAAATTTTCAGTTAGTAGTGTCATCAAGTAAATACTACAAAATTGTTACAACAAAAGCCATGGATAGAGAAAAAGAATCATGTTATAATATCACAGTTCAAGCATTTGATAGGGGATTTCCTCCACTTTCCACTACAAAAACAATCAGATTGGATATATCAGATATTAATGACAATCCTCCAATATTTACAAAGTCTACTTATGTTGCATATTTACCTGAAAACAATTTACCAGGGGCCTCAATTTACAGTATGCATGCTTTGGATATTGACACTGGAGACAATGCCAAGATTATTTATTCACTTTCCAGCACATATACAGAAGATATACCAGTATCTTCTTATCTTTCCATTAATATAGAGACTGGAGTTCTCTATGCTCAGCGATCATTTGATTATGAGCAACACAAGGAGTTTGAAATACAAGTAACTGCTAAAGACAATGGATCCCCATCTCTGAGCAGTAATACAACATTATTTATTCATATAGTCGATCAAAATGATAATTCACCAAATATTTTATACCCATCAACAGAAAACGATGGTTCAACTACGTTTGAGATAGTTTCATTTACTTCTGAAGAAGGTTCTTTAATAACTAAGGTGGTTGCCGTGGATGCTGACTCAGGACATAATGCTTGGCTCTCTTATCATTTCTTGCACGTGTCAGAACCACTTCCGTTCAGTATTAGTCAGCATACGGGAGAAATAAGGACATCACGTGTCTTCGAACAGAGAGATGTATTGAAATATAAGCTGGTAGTTTTAGTGAAAGACAATGGAGTCCTCTCCCTGTCAGCAACAACAACATTAAGTATAATCGTTGCAGATTCTTTCCAACAAGTGGTTCCCAAATTCACTAATCAACTCAGTGATGATGATTCTCCACCTAATGTACAAATGTATTTGGTGATTGCTTTAGCACTGATTTCATTTTTATTTATTTTAAGTGTTATGTTAGTTATCATTTCCAAATGTAAGCAATCAAAATCTCCTCCAGCTTTTGGATCTCTCAGCACTAATCTTTATTCTCAAGTGGATCCCAGATATCTTTCCCAATATAACAATGGAACTTTACCTCCATATTCATACAATGTGTGTGTGGCTTTGGATTCAAGTGAAAGTGACTTTACGTTTATAAAACCAAAGCAGGATGTCCCCACAGACAATCTTATTGATGCTGATGATTCAGGACTTGGAAAAGAAAACGAGGCAGAAACATTATCCTCTAGTAATCTTGTGAAGGTGAGTGGTAATTTTAAGTAATAGAATAATAAATACAAATAACTTTTTATTTGTTTATTATTTATATGCTCTCCTGTTTGTATGACAGACTCTGTGTGTAATATCTGTTTCTTTAAACATCCAATATAATGTAAATTATATATAAAAAAAAATATTTGAAAACATTTATTTTGATAATATATTTCACAGCCTGCCCAGGTGGTAGCCATGGAATATATATATATATATATATATATATATATATATATATATATATATATATATACTACTTTCTGTGACCTTTGACTTGACTAAACATAAACATATCCAGAACAGGTACTTAAACAATATCTATACAAATATAGTATTAAACAAATAAAAAACAGGATGTTTAATTTTAGGACATTTACTTTATTGACCACATTCTAATCATTGATTTAAGGATATAATATTCAGTATATTTTAGCATATGAACAGTGAACTAGCATATATAAATCATGTGTTACATATGATTCTTTAGACATGAACCCACTGCAATACCGATAACTTTAATTATGGTAATAATTTTACGTTTTTTCTATTAGTTATTTAGCACATGCGTGAAAATTTTGAAGATTTGTAAGTTTAATCCCTGCTAATACTTTGATTTAATGAACTGGCAGTGTAGAACGCTGTGGAAATATTTATATGCACTTACTATTATTGTTATTGGTTACTATTCACCAAACAGAATATATATAACACAGGAGAGCCTTATCCACTATACTAAACATATAATCTGAAATTTCACACATCTTACTAGCTTAACAACAACACACATGCATGTACAATATTGTACATTATGTATAATCAATCAACTTTATTACTGAGGCACTACATTAAACCATACCTCCCAACATTAGGAAGTAAGTCATCAGAACGGGTTGGTGGACCTTCTAGGTGGTGGCGCCAGTGATGTAACTTATGTCACTGTCAACACCTACTATAGATGGATCCTCCCACTTAAGTGGTCATGTCTGCTTATTAAAGGGGCATGTTGCACAGTGCAATAGTTGAAATAACTGGTGTGTTTGTTATAGGCCTCAGTTAAGGTCAAAATGTTGCTGTGTTCTCCAATAAATCTGTCCTTTTTACACATCTTGACTGCTTGCACCATCCCATTCTTCCTACTATTGACCGAGGTCTAGCTAGCCTGAGGTCTAGCTAAGCACCTTGTTTGCAGAGGGCGTGCGAGAGATCCCTTTTTTCTACAGCACAGTGCAAGAGTGTTTAAAGATGCACTTGCACTGTGCTACTCAAGGACAGTTTACTGGCATATATGGACCCAGAGATGCAGAAAACCAGGCAACTATATTGGATGGTGGGACAGGACCCTGAAATTAGGACTGTCCCTCAAAAAGCTGGACTGTTAGAAACCCTGCTAAACTAAATAAAAACAAACCTCCAAAACATTGTGCATTCTTTTTTCCAATGATTGAATAAGGCTAGCAGGCCTCAGTATAGTAACTATATTTAAGTTGTTTTGCTATTGTTTGTCTCTCTAGCACTTTTGTACTAAATATGTAGAACACATGATAATTGTAAAAAATACTAAATTACTTTTGACTTCATTAATGAAAAACAAGATTAAAACTTTCCTGGTTTCCAGAAGCTCTAAACAGTTAATAAATCACATATATCTTTGCTGAATGAGAAGCTCAGAAGTGCTCAGCTTGATAGCAAACATACTGAATACTTTCAGTTTAGTTCTGAAGGATGAAATACATCACATGTTACACATGTTGAAGGATGAAATACATCACATATCAATTTAACACGAAGCCGTCAAAATGGGCAAATATCAATACCTCTCTTTGTTTCAAAAGTATTTTTTAAATATTTTTTTTGCATGTCGGAGGCAGTAAATAATGTTCTATAAACTTATTTATATTTAATGACTGTATTATATAGGTTTTTTACAATTCCCATAATATCTACCTGGAGCTCACTTTACTTTTGGTGTCAATTTGTTTTTTTGTGTGTGAGTATGGACATATAAAGGAGGAAGCTAAAGCAAAAATATGTTGATTAAATTTGAAACATTTGCCAAAATAAAATTTAAAAAATGGCTAATAGCATGTATACATGTATCTTTAAACTGTCAGTACTGACTATGTAGTCAGTATCTCATAGAACATAGTACTTCGTGAAAATGGAGTGTTGTTTTTGCTTGAGAGCAGATACTTAAACAGTATACAAAGCACTATGACTTTTTATTGTTTTTATAAGCACAGTGCAGTTTATTACATTTAGTCAACATGACACTCTATAACAAAGTCATACAATATTTTCAGGAATAATAGTTAACTCCTAGTTGAAGTCTAAAATTACATAACATTATACAAATATATTCGGGGCCAATACAAACCATTGTGTGGAAATCTATTCACAAACCGGACTTTACATAGGACACAAGGTCATGCGTTTAGACTGGAGGAAAGAATATTTTGTCTAAGGCAAAGGAAAGGTTTTTTTACTGTAAGAACAATAAGGATGTGGAATTCTCTGCCTGAAGAAGTGGTTTTATCAGAGTCCATACAGATGTTCAAACAGCTACTAGATGCATACTTGCAAAACAGAATATTCAAGGATATAATCTTTCAATGTAGGGTAATAACTGCTTGATCCAAGGATAAATCTGACTGCCATTCTGGGGTCAAGAAGGAATTTTTTTCCTAGCTTGTTGCAAAATTGTGCTTCACACTGTTTTTTTGCCTTCTTTTGGATCAACAGCAAAAAACAAATGTGAGGAAGGCTGAACTTGATGGACCCAAGACTCTTTTCAGCTATGTAACTATGTAACTATTTAACTATGTAACTATGTGAGATAAAGATGAAGAGAAAAATGGGGGGGGGGGGAGCATTATATATTATTATTTATTATTAATGTATATTTGTAGATAGATGAGAGAAGAATAAATTAGATGTGGCTCCTCATGAGTAAAGAAGTAAATATTAATTTACTTATTCCAAATGTTTTACTTATTCCAAGTTTAACACTCCTTAAACCATTGTCAAGTTTTTTTCAAAGACACATAAGGAGTTATTGGACAAATGCTCCATACATCTATGGCAAGAAAGTAAGGTACATCAAAGGGTACAAGTTTAGGTCAAACAGTGGGTCATCTCCAACAACTGTGAAGCATATACTCTGGCCCCACAGTTCAATCAATAGGAAGTCATCTTTATATTTTTGAATCTTCTACCATATATAACCTCAAAAAAGAGTCAATATTAACCATACTTACTAGGTAAATAGACTTCGGGAACTACTTGTTCCATGAAAAATATATGAAACTAGTTTTGAATCTTTAATGAGCATACAACATAGATACGTTATCAGGCAAAATAAGCAAACCAATTCTTTGTAAATGATTGAAATACATATTACTCACTGATTGGTCTTTTCATACTGCAGAATCTGTGGATTCCATGTTTTCTTTTAGACTTTTTTAATGAATGAATTTATATTAAAGTCCTTCACTAAATATACCAAAATCACCTGCTGGATTTATAGAATCTGCTCAGGGCCACAAAGAACAAAGTTGGAAGACCAAGATTGGTTGAGACACTTCAGTTCATTGGTTTAGTATTTTAATGTTGTGCTGTTAGGTCGGTGTAAATTATAGGATTGATATAAAAAGTATCACTAGGCCATAATTTTATTTAATTTGAATGATATTAATCATATGACAGTACAGTCCAACCTTTAGTAAGTTATATAACATCTTTAAACAGTTATCTAGACATTTTCTCTACTACTAAATACTGTCTAATGTGGTGGTAGAACATGATGGATTTGTACCATGTAGTTTACTGCACATATATTCAATGTTTGACATTTTGTTATGCATTTCCCACCTAGTATTGCTGTTCAAAGCTGAATGGATAATATTGAAGTAAACTTCTTCATTATTTGTCCCATAAAAGAGTGTCTTGGATTAAGGTGCTTGGAGTTCAGTGTTTTTAGTCAAATTATTTTAAAATTGTTTGAGAGTAAATGAATAAAGTGTCTGAAAACTTTAATGAAACAAGCTGTCTTGCTTTCAGTTAAACTTCTCTTCCCTTCACCCTTTATTGATGTAGAATTAGATGTCCTGGGATGGAGAATATGCTTAAAAGAACCATTGATTATTGGGAGTATCTGCATAATTCTTTCCATTTGCAACTTCTCAAGTTGAATGAAGTTGACAAAACAGTCAAATATCAATAGCCAACTCTGTATCTAGCTAAAAAGTGATGTAATGTTCATATTTTTTAATGCAGGCAGAACAGAATTATTATGTCATCACATTTCCATTAATACATTGCTTAGTAATAAATAGCTCCTTCGATGGTTGTCACTTTGTTTCATTTATGTTTATTTTATATGCTACATTGTTGATTTTCAAGTATAGTATTAGACATTTGTTCAAATTATGAGACGTACTTTTTCTTTCACTTAAGTCTTTCACTTAAGACTTAAAAGAATTCCCCTGTACTTCTGAAGAAATACATAGCTATGTTTTATCTAAATGCAAAAACACAAATAAATGCTTCTTTTAAACTGAGCATAGGTTGCATTACATTCATAAAGTATAAATGTAAGAACTTTAGCTGCATAGAAAAACTCTCAGTTGTGCAGTTCTCCATTTGTACCTCTGAGCGCCGCTGTTTGACCAATAAGGAGAAGAATACAGAGCTGGAGATCCACTGATATTTCCATCACTAACACACACTGCAGATCTGCAAGAAGAAACACAGCCATTTTTGGATTCTCTCACAGACAGAGCACAAAAATTATTCTTCTGAAGAGGTGGATTCAGTGCTTTAGATTACAAATAACTTGCAATAAAGGAATCATTTTCAAGATAGCAGAGATGAAAACACAAGATTCAGAGAAAAAGAAAGAAATCAGATGGCAAGTAATATTTTCCTTCTTATTTTCATGGCTTTGTCATTCAGTCTCTGGTCAGCTTCATTATTCCATTGATGAAGAAATGAGAAAAGACTCTGTTATAGCTAATATTGCAATAGATCTTGAATTAGATATTAAGCAGCTCTCACTTAGAAAATTTCGGATTGTCTCACATGTTTCTGAAAAATATTTTTTTGCTAATTTACAAAATGGGAATTTATACATTAAAAACAAGATAGATAGGGAGTCACTGTGTGGAAGAGCAGCTCCCTGCTTAGTAACCTTTGATGCAGTGGTTGAAAACCCTTTAAATGTTTTTCCTGTCACCATTGAAATTCAGGATATAAATGATAATTCTCCAAAATTTTATCATGAAACCATTTCTTTAGAAATTATTGAATTCACTTCACCAGGAACACATTTTATGTTGCAAAATGCAGAAGATCCAGATATTGGGATTAATTCTGTACAAACATACAAGCTCAGTAATAATCAGCATTTTACACTGAGTGAAAAGACCAGCACTGATGGCAGTAAAATTCCAGAACTTGTTTTAGCAAAACCTTTAGATCGAGAGACACAAAATATTCATGAATTAATTTTAACTGCAATGGATGGAGGAAATCCTATTAGATCTGGTACAGCTTTGATCAAAATTATTATTACTGATGCAAATGATAATTTTCCTGTATTTACAGAAGAAGTCTATAAAGTGAGTGTAAGTGAAAATACTGCCATTAACTTTACACTGATTCACATCACTGCAACTGATCAGGATGAAAGTTCTAATGCACAGATCACATATTCCTTCAGAAAAACATCTGACAATGAAATTTCTACTGCTATGTTTAGTATTAATGCTACAATTGGAGAAATTAAAACCAAAAGAAAATTGGACTTTGAAGATGTACATAATTATGAGCTGTCTATTCAAGCAAAGGATGGTGGTGGGCTTGTGGCCTATTCTAAGGTTTTAATAGAAGTAATAGATGAAAATGATAACGCCCCAGAGATATCCATTACCTCATTAACTTCTCCTATTCTTGAAGATTCCCCACCAGGCACACTAATAGCATTGATCAAAGTTTATGATAAAGATTCAGGAGAAAATGGAGAAGTTGACTGTGTAATCACAGAGAAACTTCCTTTTCAGTTCATAATGTCATCTGGTAAATATTATAAAATTGTTACAACAAAAGCCATGGACAGAGAGAAAGAATCATGTTATAATATCACAGTAAAAGCATCTGATAGGGGATCTCCTTCACTTTCTACTACAAAAATTATCAGATTGGATATATCAGATATTAATGACAATCCTCCAGTATTTACAAAGTCTACTTATGTTGCATATGTACCAGAAAACAATTTACCAGGAGCTTCAATTTACAGTATAAATGCACTGGATTTTGACATTGAAGACAATGCTAAAATAATTTATTCAATTTCCAGCACATATACAGAAGATATACCAGTATCTTCGTACCTTTCCATTAACATAGAGACTGGAGTTCTCTATGCTCAGCGATCATTTGATTATGAGCAACACAAGGAATTTGAAATACAAGTAACTGCTAAAGACAATGGATCCCCATCTCTGAGTAGTAATACAACATTAATTATCCATATTGTTGATCAAAATGATAATTCACCAAGAATTTTGTACCCATCCTTAGAAAATGATGGTTCTCCTATATTTGAGATAGTTCCATTTTCCTCTGATGAAGGCTTCTTAATAACTAAGGTGGTTGCAGTAGATGCTGACTCAGGACATAATGCTTGGCTCTCTTATCATTTCATACAAGTATCAGAACCATCACCCTTCAGCATTAGTCATCAAACGGGAGAAATAAGAACATTGCGTACCTTTGAACAGAAAGATGTATTGACATATAAGCTGGTGGTTATGGTGAAAGACAAAGGAGTCCCCTCTCTGTCTGCAACTGCAACCTTAAGTTTTATTATTGCAGACTCTTTCCAACAAGTGGTTCCCAAATTCACTAATCAACTCAGTGATGACGTTATTCATCCTAATTTACAAATGTATTTAGTAATTGCTTTAGCACTCATTTCATTTTTATTTATTTTAAGTGTTATGTTAGTTATCATATCCAAATGTAAGCAATCAAAATCCCCTCCAGCCTTTGGATCTCTCAGCACTAATCTTTATTCTCAAGTGGATCCCAGATATCTTTCCCAATATAACAATGGAACTTTACCTCCATATTCATACAATGTGTGTGTGGCTTTGGATTCAAGTGAAAGTGACTTTACGTTTATAAAACCAAAGCAAGATGTCCCCACAGACAATCTTATCGATGCTGATGATTCAGGAGTTGGAAATGAAAATGAGGCAGAAACATTATCCTCTAGTAATCGTGTGAAGGTGAGTGGTCATTTGCAGGAGTAAAATAAGAAAGTCTAAATATGTTGATATTTTGTAGTAGGGTTTCTATACCTTGTTGTTCGTCTGATGGATTCAGTGAGAAGGATATGTTTTCAACAGTTAAAAAAAAAATACTTCTGTGAAACAAATCATTCTGATTCAATATTTTAGACTGCCTAGTTTGGTAGCCATGGTGTATGGCATATGCCACATCTTGATCATCCTTTTGGTATTTCCAATGACCTGTCAATAAACATTCTATTACAGTTGTAAATACAAAATATTTGGAGACACATGTACTTAAGCAATATGTATAGAAATATTTTATTAAACTAAAACACAATCAGTGTAATTTAGAACATTTAATGTATTGACCAAAATCTAGACTTTTATTAAATGATGTAGCCTTTGCTGTGAAAATAATGTTGTAAAAACACTCTACCTTTTTTAATATATTTTATTTTTATAAGATTTTTTCATAACAATACAAAGAAATATGTTCTCTATCCGAGCATTGAACATACAGTATTAATACTTCAAAGGTGGAGTTACATGGTACATTATGAAGTAACATTTTTGTATTACATAACATTGTTTAGAACATAAGCGCTGAATACCAGCCATACATCTTAATTTTCACAGATTATTCACAGTATGGAATAATGTCTGTGGTACAAGTGTGACCTCATTAAAACCTAATTGTAACATATTGGCAGAGATGTGTCTAAACCCTGTGATTATAGGCCCCGAAAACACTCTAATTTTAATTTTATTAATAAAAAATAATTTTAATAGTAAGTAGCTAAACGAAAATAAATTCCAGAAATCATTCAAATTTCTATTTCAAGTTATTTTTTCTTTAAATGTAGTTTTTTATTTTGTACAATAATGCCATTTTCTACTGCAAGTACAAGCCTGCGTCCCTCATTATTAATTCATGGTACAGATGATATCACAGATGATATCACAGATTATATCATTGCCCATACAATTACCATATTGGTGGGCACACACAGGCTATGATTGTCTGGCAATACAAATTGAATTCAAAGTGAACTGAAACTTTTAGGCCACAATAACTAATCTGAAAACATAGGTGACTTGAAGAATCTCTCTAATTTAACTACTGTTGCATAAAATGTGATATTTACTTTGAATTCCTGTAAGGTCACACTACAAGAATAACACTGACAGCACATTTTCATAACGTCGTCATTGCTTTAAGAGGCATTCGCAAATATTTATATCACTTTTACTATAAAAAATTATAAGCTATAGAGTAAGCTAATAAAAGTAACACAGCAGTTCCTATTTTAGTCATGCTTTTTTAAAGAAATAAACGTCCCATAAACCCTTGATTAACACTTGGGTTACCATATGCATCATGTTTTCAGCGACACATATTTATGAAAATCCTTGAAAGGGTTGACCTGCAGTATAATAAATACTTAATCTTATACACCTTCTTCTACATACTACAGGACAACCCTTTTGTGGTGTTCATCAATATACATATGTAGTATGTGTCCCTGAACACATGGTGGATTTGGTAACCCTACTTAAGAATAATGAAGGGAAGCATTGGATGATGAATCTCTGAATACTTAAAATTGACAAAGTTAATTTTTATTTTTGCATATTTAATATGCTTTATCTTAAAAATGAATTCAAATGAAAGATGATACAGGATTTCTAATTCAGTGCTTAGTTACAGTATATGTGGTTTCTGGGATGCTCAGTAATATGTTGTCATGAAGAACTTACATATGAATATGGCCTTTTAATGTTGGCAATGATTTTAAACAATAGTACTTCTATTCCCATTACACTTAACCAATAATTAGTAATATATCATATCTGGCATACCATAGAGTATAGGTAATACGTTTCTCTGGTGTGTTACATGTGATCTCTAAACAAAAGCAAAACTACGCAATCATTAAATACAGTGCCTATAACTTTATTTTTGTTAATTGCTGTTTAAAAAATAAACCACATGTGGTTTAACTTGGTTTACAAGTTGGTGTTTTAGGGGTGATTTTCTATTACTTAATTTGTGCATACATGAAAACGTAGACGATTTTTTTAGGCTGCTATTCCATTTAGTTAGTGAACTTGCAATGTATGTCAGCTGTAGGATTGTAAGTGTTCCCTATTTGGATTAGACCATCTAGTAGTAAATACAAATTTTGGCTTCTTTGGCTTTAAATGTGAAATTAATTTTGAATGCATTTCTACTAGAGTTTATGAATTCACCTGGAATTTTTCTCCATTGGTGTAGCAGACTAGATATGGATACTAGCATATACCATTTTGGCATAACTTGTTTCTGAAATGTAGAATTTCACATGTCAGGCTTGCGCAAATCGAGAACTGCATGTTTAAATGTTTAAGCCCCTAAAGACTAATGACGGACCAAGCCCGATCGTCCTGTCCTTACATGTGCTGCAGGGACTCCTGGACTGCCTCCCTGTACTTCTGCATTCTGTGTGGAGTGCAGGGAGACAGATCAGTGCTGATCTTCTCCCTGCAAAAAAAACCCAACAAAAGTTAAAGTTAAATCCCACCCCCTTTCCCCTGCTTTAATAAAATTAACCCCTTCACTGCCATTTGATCACTGACTACAGTGATGAAAAATACAGATCAGGGTATTTTACTATGATGTGATTTTTTTAACCCCTAAGGGTTAACTTTTATTTATTTTTTAACCCTCAGGGGTTTATTTTATTAATTCATTTAAATATTAATATATATATATATATATATATGTATATATATATATATATATACACATATATAGCTAACTGGGATGGGTGGAAGTTAGTGGGGAATTTGGTGTTAAGCTAGCTAGGGGTTAACATTAAAAACATGTTTAACCCCTTAAGGACCAAACTTCTGGAATAAAAGGGAATCATGACATGTCACACATGTCATGTGTTCTTAAGGGGTTAAAAAAGCTTTAAAAAGTTTAAATAATGTTTTAAAAAAGTTTTAAAAAATCCCACCCCCTTTATCCAGTCCTAATAAAAATTAACCCCTTCCCTGCCAGTTGATCACTGCTTACAGTGATCACAGTATAATACTGTAAACTGTATTTTGATCAGATTATTTTTTTAACCCCTGATGGTTAACCTTTATTCATTTTTTTAACCCTCAGGGGTTCAATTTATTTCATTAATTAATTTAATTATTTTAAAATTATATATTTTGCTAGCTCGGGTGGGTGGGAGATTTGGGAAATTGGGGAATTTACTGTTAGTGCTGCTTACTGCAAGTTAGGGGTTAATGGTAAAAAAAAAGTTTATAACAATTTTAAAAGTGTGAAAAAAGTTTTTAAAAAGTTTAAAAAATGTAATAAGTAAACAAAAAAGTTTAAAAACAAGTTTTAAAAAGTAAACAAAGTTTAAAAAAGTTTAAAAAATACATAAAAAATGCTCATTACCACTACACATGGAACAAACTAGTTAATTAATGATCCCACGCTAAGGTTCAAAATATGCCTTTTGAATTACCCTGTGGTGTATTCTTTAATAAATAGTATGTGTTTGTGGGGAAGTTTGAATAACCAACCAGCTAAACTACTCCGAAATGAAGCATGGACACAGCGTAAAACTTCAAATTTAGAAAAAAACTGAATGGCTGCATCTCAAATGTGTCCCATCCACCTGGCAAAGGTAATATGGGGGTATTGTTGTACTCAGACACCATAGGTGGTGTATTATTGCACACATAAGATTTGCATTGCACACATAAGATTTGCAAAATATGCTGTGCAAACTTACTTTGTGTGTCAAAAAGGCAGAAAAAATACTTATTACCACTACACTTGGTACAAGTTAGCGGAAAATGATCCCACGCTAAGGTTCAAAATATGCATTTTGAAATACCCTAGGATGTCTTCTTTAACAATGGTATGCTTTTATGGGATAGTTGAATGTATGCCTGCTAAAATACTCCAAAATAGGACCTGGACACAGCATAAAAATTAAAAGTTTTAAAAAAACTGGAATGGCTGTGTCTCAAATGTGCCTCTTCAATATCCACATACACCTGGCAAAGGTACATACGGAGGTATTGCTGTGCTCAGACAACATAGCTGAGCAACATATGAAGTATTAAACAGTCGTAGCACACATAAGGTTTGCAAAATATACTGTGCAAACTCATTTTGTGTGTCAAAAAGGCAGAAATTGCATTGAAATACCTTAGGATGTCTTCTTTAAGAAATGGTATGCCTTTATGGAATAGTTGGAATATATCGCTTGCTGAAGTGCTCCAGAATGGAACATGGAGCCATTAAAACCATCTATGAAAATTCACACTTAAAAACCTGAACTTGTCACATCCCTTTTACAGCACTGTAACTTCACAAAAGGGTGTCTAGGTCATACATTGGACATATTGTTTTACTCAGACGATGTAACAGAGCATTATATGTAGGATTGTATGACAGTGGCACATATCAAGTGTAAGAAATACTCAGCAAAAATGCAACATGTATGTAAAAAAAATTAAATTTTTTTTCCTCAGCACATTTCTGAGCAGAAATATTTAAAAAAACAAAACATTTTTGTTATATCGTAAGAATATGGAATATTAAAACAATATGTAAAGTAAATGCTAAACGTTTTAAGCATTTTTCCGCTTATTCTTCATCTAAAATAAGATGGAGAACTATATGTAGTTTTCCATTTTATTTTTTGCAATACATATGTGCTTTGTAAAGTAAACAAATAGGAGGCATGTTGAGTTCCTGTCTTTTTTCTCTCTTGTTTTAACCTTAAAATAATGCTAACTTATATATGTATGCTTTTGTGATAAATAGCAATGAAAATGCGTGCAGCAATTCAACTTTTATCAATGTTTAAATTTACTACCAGCTCTGATCTTTTTGAACCTAGAAAATTATCCAGATTCACCAACATTCAGCTTTGAACCAATTGTGCTTTCTTTGCATATCTGTAGCCTTCCCTGACCCTGTGCTTGTCAGATCATAGCTAATGATTTGCTGTTTACTAGTAATATTCCAGTGCTTCTGTCTGTCTGTCTGTATGTGTGTCTGTCTGTCTGTTTGTCTGGCAGGTTTGTACTAAATACACAGAACAATATAATGATTGTAAAATATGCACAGTTGCTTTTGGACATTATCAATGAGAAACATGATTTAAACGTTCCTTGTTTCCTGCAGTTCTGTGATGCTCATCAGTTACCAAATCAATCCTGTACATTTGTTTCATGCCCAACTTAGAAGTTCTGAGCTTGAGATGAATCATAGCAAAAAAATGAGCACTCAGTTTAGTTCAGCTGAATGATGAATTACATCACATGTTAATTTAGCACACAGTTAAAGTACATTTCAAATTAAGGTTAAAATATCCCAGCTGGAAAAATTCTCTAAATCAGCCATGCTTTCAGTTTGGCTACCTTGGTGTTATATGTGAAATTCCCTCTTAATTCCCAACAATTCTCACTTTAGTGAACAAACCGTTTTACTTCAAAGTGTAAGAAAGCATTTTTTTACATTTAGAGGGACTAAAAGCTTCTTCTATAAATGTATATATATCTTATGGTCATATTATAGAACATTGTTTCACACTTCTATTATTACTGACCAATAAATGAATTGATTAAAAAAAAAAGGGAAAAAAAGAGAGGGAAATAAATTAAAGATTTATAATATTGTTAGTGAAAAAAAATACATTTACAATTTTGACTAAAAGGGCTAGGGTCAATTCTTTCTAATAAGTCCTCCAATAATTATGGCTGTTTCCTATTTTATTAAAAAAAAATCTTATTACTAAACTAAGGATATTGTTATAAATACATTTTGGTATTTCAAATTCAAGAATATACATGTAGTAACATTTGTATATGAACTAAGTAAAGATTGCATTACTTTGTTAAAATATTAAAATAATTAAAAATCATAGTAGACAAACCTTCTCAGTCATGTAGTTCTCTAGTTGTACCTCTGAGCGCCGCTGTTTGACCAATAAGGAGAAGAATACAGAGCTGGAGATCCACTGATATTTCCATCACTAACACACACTGCAGATCTGCAAGGAGGAACACAGCCATTTTTGGATTTTCTCAGCTCAGAGAACCCTTTATATTATATAAAATTGTATACCCCTGAAAAAGTAAATTAAATATCAGATGCTTTATTTTGCAAGAGGATTTTTAAAATCTGGAAATCTAAAAGAAAATTACTTTTGAAGATTAAAGAAAATGAGGGAGGCTGATATGGAATCACAGGATTTGCAAAAATACAAAGGAATCAGATGGCAAGTAATATTTTCCTTCTTATTTTCATGGCTTTGTCTTTCAGTATCTGCCCAGCTTCATTATTCCATTGCTGAAGAAATGAGAAAAGACTCTGTTATAGCTAATATTGCAGAAGACCTTGGATTAGATATTAAGCAGCTCTCATTTAGAAATGTTCATATAGTGTCACGTATGTCAGAAAAATATTTTTCTGTGAATTTAGAAAATGGAGACTTGTATGTTAAAGACAAGATCGATAGAGAGACATTGTGTGGGGCAGCAGCTCCCTGCTTACTATCCTTTGATGTAGTGGTTGATAATCCTTTAAATGTTTTCCCTGTCACCATTGAAATTCAAGATATAAATGATAATTCTCCCATATTTTTTCATGAAACCATCACTTTGGAAATTATTGAATTCACTTCACCAGGAACACATTTTATTTTACAAAATGCAGAAGATCCTGATATTGGCATTAATTCTGTACAAAGATACAAGCTCAGTGATAATCAGCATTTTACAGTGAGTGAAAAGACCAGCACTGATGGCAGTAAATGTGTTGAACTTGTGTTAGTGAAATATTTAGATCGGGAGACTGAAAGCACTTATGAATTAATTCTAACAGCATTAGATGGAGGGAATCCCATTAGATCTGCAACTGCTTTAATAAAGATTATTGTTGCAGATGGAAATGATAATTTCCCTATATTTACTCAAGAAGTTTATAAAGTCAGCATAAATGAAAATTCTTCAATCAACACTACACTTCTTCATGTCATTGCACTTGATCAAGATGAAGGTTCTAATGCACAGATCACATATTCTTTTAGAAAAACATCAGGCAATGCTATTTCTACTGGGATGTTTATAATTAATGCTACAAATGGAGAAGTTAAAACAAATGGAAAATTAGATTTTGAAGTTGCAAGAAATTATGAGATGTCTATACAAGCAAAAGATGGTGGTGGGCTTGTAGCCCATTCCAAAATCTTAGTAGAAATAATAGATGAAAATGATAATGCCCCAGAGATATCCATTACATCGTTTGTTACACCTATTCCTGAAGATTCAATGCCCGAGACACGGATAGCATTGATTGAAGTTCATGATCAAGATTCAGGAGAAAATGGAGAAGTTGACTGTCAAATAATTGGGGAAGTGCCCTTTCAGTTAATACATTCATCTAAGAAATATTACAAAATTGTTACAACAAATACTATGGACAGAGAGAAGGAATCATATTACAACATTACAATTCTAGCAAATGACAAAGGATATCCTTCAATTTCCACTACAAAAATGATTAAGTTGGATATATCGGATATTAATGACAATCCCCCTGTATTTACAAAATCTACTTTTGTTACATATGTGCCAGAAAATAATTTACCAGGAGCCTCTATATACAGTATACAGGCTTCTGATCAAGATTCTGGAGACAATGCAAAGATTATATATTCAATTTCTAGTATAAATACAGAAGATACCTCAGTATCCTCTTATTTTTCCATTAATATAGAGACAGGAGTTATCTATGCTCAAAGATCATTTGATTTTGAGCAAAACAAAGAGTTTCATATTAAGGTGAGCGCTAAAGACAATGGATCCCCTTCATTGAGTAGTAACACAACATTAATTATTCTAATAATGGATCAGAATGACAATTCACCAATAATTTTGTACCCATCACAGGAAAATGTTGATTCTACTTCCTTTGAGATGGTCCCATTGGTCTCTGAAGAAGGTTCTGTAATAACTAAGGTGGTTGCAGTAGATGCTGACTCAGGGCATAATGCTTGGCTCTCTTATCATTTCATACAAATATCAGAACCATCTCCCTTCAGCATTAGCCTGCACACTGGAGAAATCAGGACATTACATTACTTTGAGCAAAAGGATGTATTGAAATATAAGCTGGTTGTTTTGGTGAAAGACAATGGAGCCCCCTCTCTATCAGCAACAGTAACCTTAAATATAATTGTGGCAGATTCTTTCCAACAGGTTGTTCCTAAATTCACTAATCACATTAGTGATAAAGACCATCCATCACGTTTACAAATGTATTTAGTAACTGCATTGGCTGTGATCTCATTTTTTTTTATTTTAAGTGTAATGTTAACCATTATATCCAGATGTAAAGAGTCACAATCCCATTCAAACTTTGGATCTCTCAGTACCAATCTTTATTCTCATGTGAATCCCAGAATGCTTTCCCAATATAACAATGGAACTTTACCTCTGCCATACTCATATAATGTGTGTGTGGCTTTGGAATCAAGTGAAAGTGATTTTACTTTCATAAAACCAAAGCAAGATGTCCCCATAGACAATCTTATTGATGCTGATGACTCTGGACTAGGAAATGAAAACTTGACAGAACCATTACCTTCTAATAGTCTTGAGAAGGTGAGTGATGATTATTGGAATTAAAACAGGAGAGAATTACATGTATTATGCTTGACAGCAAGGATTTACAAACTGTTGTTTCTGTGATTTGTATGATATTTATAAATAAAGGTATGGATTCAGAGAGTAATATATAATCAGGGTTCAAAATATCCACATGCCACTAGCCATTGTCAATTGACAATTTAGAAAATTTAGATCTGACTAGAAGAAATTCACATTGATGAGTGTGTCATGTACCGTCCATACTTGGCAAGTAACATTTAAGGCATGGCTGATAGCATAGGACTTGACATTTCAAGCCTTCATAATACATAAGGTAAAGATGAAGCTTTGAAAGAAGCCTTTTGCTGGTTTATATATATATATATATTTATCTATATATATATATATCTATATATATTAATATATATATTGATATATATATATAAGCTATATAGAGCATCAATGTTATACTTATGATGGGTTGACAGATTAATAATTATTTATTATGGAAGTTAATGTTTTTTGGTACAAAAACTACTCATTAGTTGGAGAAAGATTATTTTAAAAATGTTGAGACATTATTTTGAACAATCAATAGATAAAGTATTAAAAATTGAGAATATTGTTCAACTAAAAGGACAAATCTAAATAAGATCTGCATTTTTGTTAACATTCATAGTCTATTATTGCCATCCAGATTTTAATAGTATTGCATGGGTTATACAAAAAAACATATTTTGTTTTGCAGTTATAGCAGAGGAGCTGGTTTTTGGATCCCAATTTTTTGTTGAACCAGTCAAAGATTGTTTGAAAAAAATGAAGGGACGGTAATCAAAGATTACTTGCTCTATAGCGATAACAGTAAACTGCAATTTTTCTTGTGTCCCTTTAAGAAGAAGTCACCCTCTATCACTTCATAAATCTGACATTGTAGAAGGGTAGTGAGAACGGTAAAACCTCAGAAAGAATACAATAATTTGGACCCTTGTGTGTCCGCAGCGCTATATAATTAGCCAGGAGAAATGGTGCCTATGTGTTTCATTGCAAAATGTATATATTTTTCACTATAAACACTAAAGTAATAGTCATAGACAATTTGTGAACAAGTCAAATAATAAGTCTTGTATCAACAAACATAGACAGCACTACTGTTCAACCTTTAACACATAGCTGGTTTTAAACCTTATATTCCCCAATGGACTTATCGGATTTGACAGCTGCTGATCGATCCATGGATCAATCATAAAAACATGACAATTCACACTTAAGACCACTTAAAACAAAATTAAAAGGCCCGTAAGGGTTAATTTGATCCTCATATAAGGATAAGGAGGTATAAAACCTCCAGTATGTCTCCACCCACCATGCCACACGTGGGGGCATGTCCACGAAACAGTGTGACGCCTATGGCTGGTCACTGTAATTGAAAACTTACAATTATGGTACCTGCATTATTAGTGAAGCATATTAGAAATTGAAGATATTTCTACACTAATATCATCTTTTATAGCAAATTAGTATGGTTTCCACTATCAGATTAGCCTCAACGCCATGCCAGGGGAGTATAACATATTATAAACACTGAATTTAAATGTTATTTCTAGCTTATTAGATTCAAGTAATTGCTACTTGAAGAGGGCAATGTTATTTAATGTATGAAAATTAACTATTATGATTTAACCAATACTTGGAGAATGTCTTACCATATATTCCAAGGTAAGTGCAAAATCTAGGCTAAAATAGCCAAACTGGAAAAAAAATCTCCAATTTAGATATTTATTTTTAAATAAACTTGGTCTAGAATGTGCAATTCCCTTGTGATTTGCTTGCAAATTCAGTCAGTTTATGTTTTAGTGAATAGAATGTTTAGTTATTAACATATGTGTTTGTTATTTGATATTTAGATCATGTGATTGTACATATGCTTTTTGGAGTTGTTTCTAAGATGCATTCGCTGGAGTTAGACACCTACTGTTACACCCTTGGTGCTGGGCTGGCAGCTGACTTGCCAGATAGCAGTAAAAAAAACACTCCTCCCTCTCACCACCTATATACTACAAGCATTAAGATGGCATCACAGGGATGGGGTTAGATAGTGTGCATAAGTGTTACATGCTTGTAGTATTATTTGATTGGCTGTAGTTTCTATGCAGTGAATATCTGTGAATCTCATTGGTCAGGGTAATGCCTCTGGTCACTGATTTAATGTATTAAGGTCCACGACCTTGTCAGCACAATAGCTACTTCCAAACTGTAAAGGAAGTTTCAATGAGTCTTATCATCCCATTAGCTGGGGGAGGGGGTGAAGGAATGTACTCTAACATTTCACTGCTAATATTACATTAGCATTCCAGAGATTGATGAAGATCACTGTAAATATTTTTAGTTAGAAATATAGGAGTTAACTTTATGTACTTTATGTGAGCATTGTTATCAAATGCAAGCCATTTTTTGCATTTTGTTGTAATTTTCACTACCAACTTTTTAAAAAAAAGCTTTTATTTTTCTGTTAATGATATATAGTGGTAGACATTATCTTATCTCTGTTTTGCTTTTTATTTAAAGTAAAGTTCTATATGTAATTACCAGGGATGCATTCCTTCGTTAGAATATATAAATTGTTGCGTTAATAGAAAGAAGCATTATAAAGTGTATCATAAATGAAACTCATATGCACAAATGTACACTCTACTTCTCTCTTGATTTTTAATCTTAATTATGTTTAGGATTAAGCAACAGCTATATTCTTTGAATACTATAGAAGGACTTTATCTTTCTGACACATTATTAAGTGATAGTAAATATGTACTTTATTGTTAGGTCTTTTCTTAATTTATATTTACAGTATGTGCTACATTGCAGCTTTAAAAATATATCTACACTAACATGTATACTTTTTGAATTAATGCAAATATAAATAGCAAGATAGTTCACTGTAATTGAGCATTTATGGTAACAGATTCAATTCCATTTCTAATAGATAGATAGATCGATAGATAGATAGACAGACAGACAGACAGAGACTAATACGGCTACCTTCTCTACTCTATATTGATATGTTTGTGTGTTTATATATACTGTATATATACACACACACATAATGCATGTACATTAAACTTGTATTAAATAAATACAGTAAAAAAATGTTCTCGGTCGTGCAGTTCTGCATTTATACCTCTGAGCGCCGCTGTTTGACCAATAAGGAGAAGAATACAGAGCTGGAGATCCACTGATATTTCCATCAGTAACACACACTGCAGATCTGCAAGAAGAAACACAGCCATTTTTGGATTCTCTCACAAACAGAACACTTTGATTAAGGTTGGATTTCCTTATATTCCCTTTAAGAAGTGAAGTAAGCAGTGGATGTTTTCTTTTTAAGTGGATTACAGATAACAGGAAAAGAAAATTATTCCCAGAGAGAAAAAACAATAACAATGGCTGTGATAAAAACTCAAGATCCACAAAAACACAAAGGAATAAAATGGCAAGTAATATTTTCCTTCTTATTTTCATGGCTTTGTCATTCAGTCTCAGGGCAGATTCATTATTCCATTGATGAAGAAATGAGAAAAGACTCTGTTATAGGAAATATTGCAAAAGATCTTGGATTAGATATTAAACAGCTCTTGTTTAGAAGATTTCATATTGTTTCACGTGTTTCAGATAAATATTTTTCCATAAATTTGCAAACTGGAAATTTACATGTTAAAGACAGGATAGATAGAGAGACACTGTGTGGGGTCATAGCTCCCTGCATTCTAACCTTTGATGCAGTGGTTGATAATCCTTTAACTGTTTTCCCTGTCACCATTGAAATTCAGGATATAAATGATAATTCTCCCATATTTTTTCATGAAACCATTACCCTGGAAATTATTGAATTTACTTCACCTGGAACACACTTTATTTTGCAAAATGCAGGTGATCCAGATATTGGGATTAATTCTATACAGGCATACAAGCTCAGTGCTAATGAGCATTTTACACTGAGTGAAAAGACCAGCACTGATGGCAGTAAATTTGTTGAGCTTGTGTTACTGAAATCTTTAGATCGGGAGACACAAAACAATTATGAATTAATTTTAACAGCACTGGATGGTGGGAATCCAGTTAGATCTGGAACTGCTTTAATAAAGATTATGGTTGCAGATATTAATGATAATTTTCCTATATTTAGTCAAGAGGTTTATAAAGTTAGCATAGCTGAAAATACTCCTGGCAATGTTTCACTTCTTCATGTCACTGCAACTGATCAGGATGAAGGTTCTAATGCACAGATCACATACTCTTTTATAAAAACATCAGGGAATGCCCTTTCAACTGAAATCTTCACAATTAACGCTACTAATGGAGACATTAAAACAAATGGAAAATTGGATTTTGAAGCAGTGAAAAATTATGAAATATCTATACAAGCAAAAGATGGTGGTGGGCTTGTAGCCCATTCCAAAGTCTTAGTAGAAATAATAGATGAAAATGATAATGCTCCAGAGATATCCATCACCTCATTAAATTCTCCTATTCCTGAGGATTCAACACCAGGGATGCGGATAGCATTGATTGAAGTTCATGATCAAGATTCAGGAGAAAATGGAGAAGTTGACTGTCAAATAATTGGGAAAGTGCCCTTTCAGTTAATACATTTATCTAGTAAATATTACAAAATTGTTACAATAAATGCTATGGACAGAGAGAAGGAATCATATTACAACATTACAATTCTAGCAAATGATAGGGGATTGCCTTCCCTTTCTACTGCAAAAATGATTAAGTTGGATATAGCAGATGTTAATGACAATCCCCCAGTATTTAGGAAATCTTCATACATTGCCTATGTGCCAGAAAACAATTTACCAGGAGCCTCTATATGCAGTATACATGCTTCTGATCAAGACTCTGGAGACAATGCTAAAATTATATATTCAATTTCTAGTATCAATATAGAAGATATCCCAGTATCCTCTTATTTTTCCATTAATATAGAGACTGGAGTTATTTATGCTCAAAGATCCTTTGATTATGAGCAAAACAAAGAGTTTCATATCAAAGTGACTGCTAAAGACAATGGATCCCCTTCATTGAGCAACAATACAACGATAATTATTCTAATAATGGATCAGAATGATAATTCGCCAATAATTTTGTACCCATCACCAGAAAATGTAGATTTCACATCCTTTGAGATGGTCCCATTGGTCTCTGAAGAAGGTTCTGTAATAACTAAGGTGGTTGCAGTAGATGCTGACTCAGGGCATAATGCTTGGCTATCTTATCATTTCATACAAATATTAGAACCATCTCCTTTCAGCATTAGTCAACACACAGGAGAAATAAGGACAGCACATGTCTTTGAGCAAAAGGATGTATTGAAATATAGGCTGGTGGTTTTGGTGAAAGACAATGGAGCCCCCTCTCTGTCAACAACAGTAACCTTAAATATAATTGTTGCAGATTCTTTCCAACAGGTTGTTCCCAAATTCACTAATCAAATTAGTGATAAAGATCATCCATGGAGTTTACAAATGTATTTAGTAATTGCATTGGCTCTGATTTCATTTTTGTTTATTTTAACTGTAATGTTGACTATCATATCCAGATGTAAAGAGTCAAAATCCCATTCAAACTTTGGATCTCTCAGTACCAATCTTTATTCTCATGTGGATCCCAGATATATTTCCCAATATAACAATGGAACTTTACCTTTGCCATATTCATACAATGTGTGTGTGGCTCTGGATTCAAGTGAAAGTGATTTTACTTTCATAAAACCAAAGCAAGATGTCCCTGTAGACAAGCTTATTGATTCTGATGATTCTGGACTAGAAAAGGAAAACTTGACAGAACCAGTACCTTCTAATAGTATTGAGAAGGTGAGTGAAATTTTTTGGAATTTAAAGTAGATATTGTCAAGTATTCAGCGTTATAGCAGGGTTTCCCAAATTGTGGTTTATGTGGTTCATACGATATTAATAAATACATATATGGTTTCAGAGAGTAATACATAATCAGGGTTTAAAATATCCATTGCCATCATCCATTGTTAAGTGATATTTTTTGAAAATTTAGATCTATCAGAAATTCACATTGATGAGTGTGCCACGAACCATCCATACTTGCAGTGGCAAGTAACATTTAAGGCATGGCTAGTAGCATAGGACTTGTCATTTTAAACCTTCATAATACATAAGGTACAGATGAAGACTTGAAAGAACTCTTGTGAAGGTATATATAAAAGGTATTTAGAGTTATTATGTGTTGATGGATTACTAATTATGTATGGAAGTTAATGTTATATGGTACATAACACTACTCATTACAGGCAAAAAATAAGTAAAAACTGGGATGTGATATTGTCTTTAGTTTGAGAAAAATAGTTTTCAACATGTTTAAACATTATTTTAAACATTCAATAAATAAAGTATTAAAAGTTGAGAATATTGTTCTACATAAAAAATGAATGCAAAAAAAGATCTGTATTTTTGTTAGCGCTCATAGTCTATTATTGCCATCCAGATTTGAACAGTATTGTAAGGATGATGCAGAAGTGAAAAGTCTTTATTTTAAAGTTGTAGCACAGGAGCCAGGTTTTGGATCCCTATTTTTTGTTAAACCATTGAAATATAGTTTGAATAAAATAAAGGGATTGTACTTAAAGAATGCTCCATAGTAACAACAATGAACTGCAATGCTTAATGTGTTCCTTTAAGAAGAAGTCACCATCTGTCACTTCAAATACCTGACCTTGTAGAAGGATAATGAGAACGGTAAAACCTCAGAAATCATCCTTTTATTCATATTTTTAGCTATAAATGTTGATTTCTCCATGTTCATTTCGTATCCTGAGACTTTAGAATAGTTGTTTATCTCCTTCAATAGTTCTGAGACTAGTTTTTGGTTCTTCTAATGTTAGTAAGATGTCATCAGCATAAATATTTAATTTGGTTTGTCCTAGCAGATTCATGGATCCTTTGATTTTTTTTTGTTTTGTCTTATAAAATCGCTAGGGGTTCTAACACCATTATATACAGTAAATGGGAAAGCAGGCACCCTTGTCTAGTGCCATTTTTGATAGTAAAGTTTTGTGATGTGAATCCTGAGTCTGTTACCTTAGCTTATGGAGAGCTGTAGAGAGCAGACAAGGCTTGTGATATTGATCCGGTGATTCCGAACTGTTTTAAGGTGGCAAACATAAAACCCCATCCAACCCTGTCAAATGCTTTTTCTGTGTCCATTGACAGAAACAATAGAGGGGTTCCATTATTCTTTGTTTTTTCTAATATGTTTATTAGTTTTCTGAGATTGTTATTTGGAGACCTCCTGGGTATGAACCCGACTTGATCATTATTGATTAATTGTGGTATTACTATTTTTAATCTGTCAGCAAGAATGGAAGATAGTATTTTAATATCTGTGTTGATAAATTATATAGATCTGTAATTACCAACATGTTCTAGGTCTTTATCTGCTTTTGACATGGGAACAATGTTCGCTCTCAACAGCTCTCCAGGACAGGCTCCTGTTTCCATTATATAGTTAAAAATATTGGTGAGTTCCCCTTTTAGTTGATCTTTCATTAATTCATAGAATTTGTTTGTGAAGCCATCTAGGCCTGGAGCAGTCTTTATTTTAAGTTTATCTATAGATTTACTAACCTCTACTTCTGTTATGGGCTGGTTTGTCAGCCTTATTTGGTCGGGTAGGATTTTTGGCATGGACAGATTTGTAAAAAATGTCTTAATCTCTTCTTCCTTACCGAATGTTTCTTCTGGTAAACTGAATAGATTCTGGTAAAATCTTTTGAACGCTCCATCTATTTTTTCTGGGGCCATTAGATAGGTTTCTTTATCATTTATTTTATATATTACTCTTTTATATTTATCTTTTTTCAGTTTGTTGGACATAATTGTTTCTCGGTTAATGCTTTTTAAATACAATTTAAGCTTGTAATGCTTCTAATTATTTGGTTGCTATTCATTAATTGGTTGTTAATATGTTTTTCTGTTTCTGCAATCTTTCTGTTTGTGTGGAGAGTGTTGTTTTTTTCTGCCTTTTATATTCACTTAGTGTTATATTTAGTTTAAAGAGAGGCGGTAGTCCTTTTTTATTTTCAATGGCTGTCATTTTTATCAAATGGCCTCTAAATACACTTTTATAAGCACACCAGACCATGTTGTCCAGTGTGCTTTTGTTTTTATTTTCTAAGAAAAAGAGATTTGTTATTTTTTTTTATTTTTTCACATATTGTTTTTTTTTTGAGTAATAAAAAATCTTTTATGCGCCACTCTTTATGAAAAGTATCAAAGTTATCATTTTATTCCAACATGATAGGGCTATAGTCTGACCGTGCTATATCCTTTATCTCTATTTTTTTAACAAGATATAGCATGGCCATGTTTCCCAAGATAAGATCTATTCTGGAGTATGAGTTAAATGTTCCAGAATAACATGTGTAATCTAGATCAGCAGGATGGAATGTTCTCCATATAGCTTTTAGATTATGATTGTTAAGTAAGTTTTGCAATCTATTCTCACGTTTTCCTACTTTTCCTATCATTTTGGATCTTTCTGTCTTTTAGCAGGTCAACTACGCAATTGAAGTCCCCCATGATTAGTACCAACCCTTGTTTAATTTGTTCTATTTTTTTAAAAAACACTTTTGTTGTAAATTTTATTGTAGCTTTATTTGATGCCTAGATATTGGCTAATGTTAATAGCTTATTATTTATTTCACATATTAAAATAATGTATCAGCCTTCTGGATCTAATTCTTGATGTTTAATGATTTAAGGAAACATTTTTTGCAAAGATAAATGAGATGCCTCTTTTTTTTTCTTTTTTCTAAAGCTGCACTTATAATAATGGGGTACCTTGATGAATGTATTGTATTCTCCTTGGATCTTATCCAATGGGTTTCTTGCAGGGCACAGATTTGTACCCGATTTTTCAACAAAAAGTCTACAATTATAGACCTTTTACATGGTGTATTGATCCCCTGGGCATTTATTGAGATCAACTTAAATTGTGGTTTCTTATCAGGTTTTGGGACTCTCTCTCTCCAAGTGTTACCATATATATGTAAAAATACAAAAATCCCTTCTTTATGGGTAATTACACAGAAATAAGACAGGTTGATCCAAAACAATGGCATCAACCTAAGACAAACCTAATGTATGGCCATACCCCCCGCCATACAGTATTTTGAGTAATAAAACACATTGCACAGATACAAGTCCCACGTGTCGTATGGGGAAAGCGTACTGAGGGTAATCGATCTGAGATGAGCCTGTTAGTATAAGAAAAGGAAAGGAGAAAAAGAAAACTAGAGTTCATGGTGTGCAAAAAAGATAAAGAAGATCTTATAAATCTAATCCCTTAACACTTTCATCATATTGTTGCATACATTATTATATAAGTGTTATTAACTCACTATTTACTACTTTTTCTTTGTGCAAAATGTGTGTTATTCTTACACTTATCACTCTTTCCATTACCCTTTACTTTATTTTCCTCCTTATCTAGGTATGTGCCTTTCTGTGTCTTTATAACTTCCTTTAAGTACATATAGAAGAAGAAGAATGGATAAGCTCCTTGAACAAACTAAAACAAACTAAATAATTATATACACTGCCTAAACCTCACAGAAACCCAATTTAAACTTTCAAATGGATGGTACCTAACACCGAAACGCTTAAAGAAAATCTTCCCAGAGTTATCAGATAGATGCTGGAAATTAAGGCAATTTGATCCACATTTGGTGGCAGTGCACACCCATAAACAAATTTTGGAAAGAAGTAATTAAAATATTATATCAAATAATGGAAATAAAATTACCTCTTAACCTGAAGTGGTCTTAACTGAACTGGCCAAATGTGACAAAAAGAACACTAATGTTAATATTACATCACGACAGCTAAACTACTCTTAGCACGAAACTGAAAAACAGGGATAATTCTACGCACCAATGAACTAATAAAACAAGTTATATGGCAAGCAAGAATGGAAAGGGGTATTCTGGTGAACTTAGGAAGTAGATATACGCAAATAGAAGGCTGGGATACATGGATAAACAAAATGGGAAAAAAAATATCATGCTTCCTTTGCTCTCTGTAGGGATTTTTCTTTCTTTTTCTTTTTTTTCTTGTTTTTTATTTTTTTATTTTTAATTCTTTATTTTTTGTGTTTGAGTGAACATAAGCATCTCATAATGCCACAATAGCATATACAAGATTGGTGATGTTACAGCGTTTCACATTTATGACATTTAGGTTTTAGCACATTTTTAGGTAAAGAGTTAATCAGGCAATACATACACGTCTTACGATTGTACACAGGAATTAAAGAAAAGCGCATAAACAAGTTTGTACTGTGCTTGTATAGTATAGGTACATGAGAAGAGTTATGCCCTGCATTACATCTAGACTTAGGTATACATTGAGTATTAGTGCTGTTGTGCTTTGTCTAGGGGAGCAAAGTAGAGGGCAAAAGGCATATCATGCATTTTAAATGATTGAGCATAAGTGAGACAACTGCAGCCGAGGAGACTTGTTGTTTCATGTGTCCGCGTGAGACCCGGCCGGGAGAACTATATAAGCGTAGGGCATAGCTGTGTGTTGCATCCTAGCGTGTCAGTCCCTAGGTGGCCTGAGGTGAGTAGTTGTTTCTGTTGAAGCTCAGTCCGTGTCACGCTGGTGCCGTTTGGTCAGGTGATGGGCATATGATGTTGCTGTTCGTTTTTTATGGGTTCATAGAACCACTCTGACTCCTACCTCGGCCAGTTGGTTCTCCTGGTTCCTTCCTCTCTTTAGCTGGGCAAATGGAGCGGTTCTAATTTGCAGGTGAGTTGAGTTAGGTATTATGCGCCGCCGCCATCTTGGATTATAGGCCTTAGGCATTCAGAACCCGCTAAATTGCTCTGCAGCCAGCTCAGGTCCATCACAGTGGGGACCGGGATGACCCCCCGGTCCAGAGGGGGGAAACGAGACCAGCAAGCCCCCAATCTTTTAGCGTGTGGCAGTGTGGTAAGGACACAGGGCAGCGCCGTCCACCCCGCTCCCTCCAAAGTAGGCCACAGCCTCTGAAGTCTCGTGCTTCCCGTGGGGGTCCGAAACGCATGATCTCGGGTCCGCTACCTCTCCCACAGCTATGTGTCTATTTTCAAGCTCCGTTCCGGTAAGAATAGGTGCCTGCTGTGGCTTAATGGCCCGGTTCATCCAGAGCCCCTCCGACATGCTACTGGTCAGCATGGTGGCCGGGCCCTGCCCCTCTTTCTTCTGTTTTTTAATTTACACTTTTCTTCTTTCTGAATTTAGATCGCAATAATCAACATAGGTAAAGCGCATGTTCAGTCACAGTGAAGGGAAGTGCTAGACACGATGAGGGGAGAAGAAAGGAAAATAATACAACCCCAAAACAGGCAGACAATTAGAATAATAAAACATCAAAACTATACAGGATATAAGAGGTTCTCTCTCTCTCCAAGAACAAATGAGTAAAGTAAACAGACAAGAACTTACACTAAGAATTAATTAATAGGGATGGGGGTGTCTGGGTGGGAGGGATTAGGAAGATTAATAGAATTCCAAGGTATATTCATGATATATTTATGATATTGATGATGACATAGGATCAAGGCCTGAATTACATAAACATCACCAAAACCTATATAAGGCAGGAACATGAAAAAAAAATATTATTTGGATCATGTGATTGTACATGTGCTTTACACTGTTGTTTCTAAGATGCACTAACTAGAGTTACACACCTCCTCTTACACCCTTGGTGCTAGGCTGATGACTGCCCTGCCAGGTAGCCAGCAAAAAAACCAAAAAACAGTCCTCACTCTCACCACCTATTTACTGCAAGAATCTAAAATGGCATCACAGGAGTGGGGTTATATAGTGTGCACAGGTGTTTTATGCTGGTAGTGCTGTCTGATTGGATGTAGTTAAATGCAGTGAATAACTGTGAATCTCATTGGTCAGGGTAATGCCACTGGTCACTGATCTAATGCCTCAAGTTTGATGACCTTGTATGCACACCACCTACTTCCAAACAGAAAAGGTTTTAATGGGTCATGTCATTATATTAGGTGTGGGTAGAGGGGAGTGAATTAATATACTCTAATATTTCACAGTATTACATTAGCAGTTGTACTGTAAATATCTTTAGTTTAGAAATATATGAGTTAACTCTATGTACTATATGTGGGCAGTATGATCAAATGCAGACATTTTTTTTTGCATTCTTTTGTCATTTTCAGTACTAGCTTTTACATTCTGTTGTCTTTTTCAGTACTAGCTATTTATATAAAGCCTTTATTTATTTATCATGTAAAGGCCCACATCTCTGGGTCATGGACTCAGAGATTCTCGTGTATGGGAGAGCAGAAGGATCCAATGGTCACTTCCGCTCGTGTGTAGGTAATGCGCCGGGGGTACACCCCTAGATGCCTACAGCCCAGGCTATTAATGGTGAGAATGGTGAGATGTTCAAAAGCTCTCTCCTTGCATGCCCCCTGCTCCCTTGGTCACCTGCCAAAGAGGGACCTGATGTCACTGCCATATGTGCTTCCACCACAATCCAGAAACGTTTGAAAATTTCTTACATGTTCATGAGGAATTGCTCAATTCTACCAGGGGGAGTCACCTGTGCTAGCTTTATACCATCCTCATTTGAAACTAGGTTGTCCACCATGCTTGAGAGCATGACTGTAGTTAGACACTAGCTAAAAGGCAGCTGTAACTAGGCCCTGCTTGTCATGGTTAAATGGTATAGATGGGTGAGACAAATTACAATGTCAGCACTGAGTAGAAGGTAAGTACGTATAAGACAGCCTGAAACAGTTCTATCCCTCACTGGAATATCCCTCATCTGGGGGGGTAAGAGTGTAGCATCTCTGTATCAGGAACTAAGGAGCGGGAAGATCGTCCGCTTCTCCCCTGCTCCATCCGCCACTGGCCGCAACAATAACCAATGTAATCCACTTTAGTGGGTGGAACAGCTCCATGGTCAGAAATAGCACCCCAAATTCACCCAAGAAGCCAAGAGCTCATGCGATGCACTCCTGGTCTGCCTCAAGTTTAAGCTCTGTCCGCAAAGCCTTTATTTTTCTGTTCATGTTATATAATGGTAGCTATTATCTTCTCTGTGTTTTGCTTTTTACTAAAATAACCTTTATTGTATATATAATTACCGGGGCTGCATTTCTTCATTAAAATATATAAATTGTAGCGTTAATAAGAAAGAGAAGCATGAGAAAGCGTATCATAAATTAAACTCATATTCACAAATGTGCTCATAAAATAACACTCTTGATGTTTACCATTAATTATGTTTAGGATTAACTAATTTAACTATAATCTTTGGAATACTATAGAAGGACTTTATGTTTCTGACACAGTTGAGTGATAGTAAGCATTTTGGTTAGGCTTCTTTGTAATTTATGTTTACAGTATGTACATTGCTGCTTTAAAAATAAACATATTACATATATTAATTTAAAACATTAATGGCAGAAATAAATTAAAATCAAACGCGTTAAACTTGTATTAAATAAATACAGTAAAACAAACTTCTCAGCCATGCAGTTCTCCATTTATACCTCTGAGCGCCGCTGTTTGACCAATAAGGAGAAGAATACAAAGCTGGAGATCCACTGATATTTCCATCACTAACACACACTGCAGATCTGCAAGAAGAAACACAGCCATTTTTGGATTCTCTCACATAGTGAGCACTTTATATAAGGTTATATTTAATTATATTCCCTTGAGGAAGTGAAGACAGCAGTAGATGTTTTCTTTTTAAGTGGATTACAGATAACTGGAAATCTAAAAGAAAATTATTCCCAGAGATTAAAACCAATAGAAATGGCTGTGATGAAACCTCAGGATTCACAAAAACACAAAGGAATGAAATGGCAAGTAATATTTTCCTTCTTATTTTCTTGGCTTTGTCATACAGTATCTGCCCAGCTTCATTATTCCATTGCTGAAGAAATTAGAAAAGACTCTGTTATAGCGAATATTGCAAAAGACCTTGGATTAGATATTAAGCAGCTCTCATTTAGAAAATTTCATATTGTTTCACGTGTTTCAGAGAAATATTTTTCTATAAATTTGCAAACTGGAAATTTACATGTTAAAGACAGGATAGATAGAGAGACACTGTGTGGGGTCATAGCTCCCTGCATTCTAACCTTTGATGCAGTGGTTGATAATCCTTTAACTGTTTTCCCTGTCACCATTGAAATTCAGGATATAAATGATAATTCTCCGGTATATTTCCATGACATCATTACCTTAGAAATTATTGAATTTACTTCACCAGGAACACATTTTATTTTACAAAATGCAGAGGATCCAGATATTGGTATTAATTCTGTACAAACATATAAGCTCAGTGATAATCAGCATTTTACACTGAGTGAAAAATCCAGAACTGATGGCAGTAAATTTCCAAAAATTGTTTTAGAGAAATCTTTAGATCGAGAGACACAAAATATTCATGAATTAATTTTAACAGCACTAGATGGCGGAAATCCCTTAAGATCAGGCACTGCTCATATCAAAATTATTATTAATGATGCAAATGATAATTTTCCAATATTTACTGAAGAAATCTATAAAGTGAGTGTAAGTGAAAATGTACCAATTAACTTTATGCTGCTTCAAGTTACTGCAACTGATCAAGATGAAGGTTCCAATGCACAGCTCACATATTCACTTGGAAAAACATCAGGGAATGTACTTACAGCTGGGATGTTTAAAATGAATGCTACAAATGGAGAAATAACAACAAATCAAAAATTAGATTTTGAAGTTGCAAGATATTATGAAATGTCTATACAAGCAAAGGATGGTGGTGGGCTTGTGGCCCATTCCAATGTTTTAATAGAAATCATAGATGAAAATGATAATGCTCCAGAGATATCAATTACCTCATTAACATCTCCTATTCCTGAGGATTCAGCTCCAGGGACACGGATAGCATTGATTGAAGTTCATGATCAAGATTCAGGAGAAAATGGAAATGTTGACTGTCAAATCATTGGCAATGCAAATGCTCCCTTTCAGTTAATATTGTCATCAAGTAAATATTACAAAATTGTTACAACAAATACAATGGATAGAGAGAAAGTATCATGCTATAATATTACAATTTTAGCAACTGATAGAGGATCTCCTCCTCTTTCTATTACGCAAGAAATCAGGTTGGATATATCGGATGTTAATGACAATCCTCCATTATTTACAAACACTGCACATGTTGCATATGTTCCAGAAAACAATTTACCGGGATCCTCAATATACAGCATACAGGCTTCTGATTTAGATTCTGGAGAGAATGCTAAGATTATTTATTCAATTTTAAGTATAAACACAGAAGATATACCCGTATCATCTTATCTTTCCATTAATATAGAAACTGGAGTTCTCTACGCTCAGAGATCCTTTGATTATGAGCAGCACAAAGAGTTTCAACTACAAGTAACTGCGAAAGATAATGGATCACCATCTTTGAGTAGCAACACAACTTTACTTATCCGCATCATAGATCAGAACGATAATGCACCTAGAATTTTGTACCCTTCTCCAGGAAGTATTGATTCAGCTTCCTTTGAGATGGTCCCTTTTGCATCCAAAGAAGGTACGCTAATAACTAAGGTTGTTGCGGTGGATGCTGACTCAGGACATAATGCTTGGCTCTCTTATCATTTCATGCAAGTGTCAGAACCATCTCCCTTCAGCATTAGTCAGCACACAGGTGAAATACGGACAGTGCGTGTGTTTGAACAAAAAGATGTTTTGAAATATAAGGTTATAGTTTTGGTGAAAGACAATGGAGTCCCCTCTCTATCAGCAACTGTAACCTTAAGTTTTATTTTTGCAGATTCCATCCAACAAGTGGTTCCCAAATTCACTAATCAATTAAGTGACGAGGATTCCTCAACCAGTTTACAAATGTATTTGGTAATTGCATTGGCTCTAATTTCATTTTTGTTTATTATAAGTGTGATGATGGTTATCATATCCAAATGTAAAGAGTCAAAATCTTCCCCAGCCTTTGGATCTTTTAGTACTAATCTGTATTCTCAAGTGGATCCCAAAATGATGTCCCAGTATAACAATGGAACCTTGCCTTTTCCATACCCATACAATGTGTGTGTGGCTTTGGATTCAAGTGAAAGTGATTTTACATTCATCAAGCCAAAGCAAGATGTTCCCACAGACAACCTTATTGATGCTAATGACTCTGGACTTGGAAATGAAGACCTGAAAGAAACATCTTCGAACGGCTTTGTAAAGGTAGGTACTAGATAATACAGCAGTAGAGTTTGATATTTAAAAATATATATAAAAATATGTGTGAGTTCTATAGAAGAGTACTTAGTACACTTAGTACACCAACTTAGGCCTAATTAATTATCTACATAAGTCACCATTAAGGGCTTTGGGATTTTTCTATATAAATTAAGTTTTTCTAACAGTAGCGAATCATTCGGACAGCCTTTTAAATTGAGGCCTTAATGGGATACTTCTCATATGTTTAATAACTATTTTTTTAAAATTCTAACATGATAAGAATAAACTGTGATATTAGTGTAAATTGGTTGGTAAAAATTGGTATTCTCATAGTACTTGGTCTCCAAGTAATGTTTTTAGTGATATAATTAGATAAACAAATACGTCAAGTACCACAAATAACGCGAGGCCGCTGAGCTGCACAGTACACGTCCCTCAATATGGTGGTTGAAAAGGTGGTACCACAGGGGTTGGAGCTCAACTCTCTCAAACACGGAGGGAGGCCTTTCGCGCAGCATTAGATAAAATCTGCATTGTATTCTAGGCCCATATTTTTCTTGCCTCTGCAACTGCTACAACCGACCCTCGTGGCAACATGGATGACTCCTCAGAAAGGGCCTTACCCCTGACATGATCCACACATCTGGTAGACCTATCCTCGCAAGGGACTCACTCAAGAACCTGAGCTGGTTAATGGGACACTAGAGTCAGTGGACATTATATCAGGGCTCTAATTGAAGCCTGTAGCTGGAGGAGGGGTGTGCAGGGCAGTATAGAGCAGGCAAAGCAGATCTGAAACTGTGGCATATCCTAAAGGTTTTTCCATATAAAGGCATAGGATAACCCTATTTGACATCTGACTTGGAGCACTCTTCTTTCTCTACATGCAAATTCTCTTATGTTATGCAATAAAATTATTAAGCATTAATCTTAGTTTAAATGTACTCTGGGCATATAAAGGGTATCACACCTACATGGGTGGGTTAAACTGTGGAGATGGTCCTTTTATTCATATGTTCTTACCTTCATGTGGTGCAGTGACATATTAATGGGTCAAGTACTAAGCTAGCTAATTTAATTTGATATGTTTACTCATGGGCTTCTTACCTTTAATCAGTTACGTCACAAGCATCCAATGTTTTTGACTTATACAATATCCCGACACTCTTATAGTTTTTAATTAATAACACAGTGTTCATGTAGCCTGTTTAAGTTAAATATCTTCTATTCCACACGTTTAGCTCTCTTTTTGTCTTGACAATCTTTGTGTAATCCAACATATTCCACATATTTGCCTAGCCTGTTTACTATTTATATATAATTGTGCACTTATTTTGCACGCTTTGCCAATGTCATACTTTGTGTGGTGCTGACAAACTTGTTACTGCTGTTGTGACATCACAGGCTTGTTTTGTTCATCTATACACATCAAAAATAAAGATTGACAAAAAAACATTTTTGGCAAACCTAATTCTCAATTTCATTTATTTGTCAGTATCAGTTTAAAATTTAGATATATTGTATGTCTAAATAAAAACATCCAACAGGGTTATTTACTAAAGTGAGAATTATCTCAATTTTAAAAGTGAATTTCAAGCTTAAAGCAAAAGTATCTGAATTGTAATCATAGCTGACTTGGAGAATTTTTAAAGTTCAGCTATATTGGCTTCAAGCTTAAAATTCACTTTGAATTCCCTGCAATCCTGAAATGATGTGCAGGAACTGGACACATAGAGGCTAGTTTACTAAAGTGAATTTCAAATTTAGGACCATAGTAACCAAACAGGAGTTTCAAAGAAAACTCTATAGTATAGTTTGTGTTATTTTAAAATAATACTTATAATAATAATACTTATAATAATATTTATTTGAATCATACTTGCCTATCATAGAAATGCAAGATAACAAAGCTCTTCATGGATACTAGATTAAAATTAAGAGAACAAAAGTGGAAAGAAAAACTTGTCTTCTCCTAGCCAAAGAAGATCTGTTATATCTGCAGCATTGTTTACAAATTGCAGTTATAAGCTAATGTGAAAACTAAGAGTGCAGGGTGCTCTTATAACCATACACTTTGCATTAACAGGAAGTTGCAGTGGTGCTTTGACTGACCACTTGGCATCCACATGCCCATGCAAAGATCCGACTCTCTGATTATTAATTTCTTCATACAAACCATTATTGTTGACGTGTTACATCTTTTTGTTGTCTTAAAATTTACATAGCTATAAATGTTTCATCTGTTATAGTGTATTTGCATGCTTACCACCATCACTGACCCATGGCCTGTCTGATCATAGTTTATACCGTATTGCTGGTTCTATTTGTTTTGAAAACCATAGCCTTAACAAACAACATTACAACTACTTTATAGTGGTAGCTTGTCCATAGATACACTTAGGGTTGCATTCCTCAAGATAATTGTTGTTGTATTAAAATAAGAAGAAAATAAACCAAGTGTTTGTGACCAAATGGCTACTAAAAAAGACTGGACATACCCCATTGCAATACCTTGGGTTGTCTACTATTGCAAATGGTATGCCATTATGGGTGTAAATTTCATTCCTGGGCTACTATACAGTCTCAAAGGCAACGTAACCAATCTGGCGAATTTCAATTTCAAATGTAACGTGTTATATTTGACCCTGTAACTTCCCAAAATGCCATAACCCTGTACATAGGGGGTACTGTCTTACACGTGAGACTTTGCTGAATACAAATATGTGTATTTTATTGCAGTAAAAGCAAACAGTATTAAGACTTCTTATAAAATGTTCTTAGATTTAATATGTCACTATTATCTTTCACATTCTCAATGGTCTTAAACACTCCTAGCTCACCCTACTACAGGTACAATGAGTTTTGCAACAAGGCTCATCTTTCTCTCTGTGAGTACTTACATTGACTTCACATAAAATATAGGGATCAATTTAAATTTTAAATTATTTTCCCCACTTAAAATCTCTCTTTATAATATTGTTCCTGTCTACCTATTCTCACTAATACCCAAGTGTGTCCCATCCAGGCTCTCATGCTCTGTTAGAGACCTGCATCTATCCTCTGTTTATACTCGCACCTCTGATTCTTGCCTTCAAGACTTCTCAAGGGAAGCACAGTTACTTTGGAACTTTCTTCATGGCTCCATCAGACTGTCACCCAGTCTCCATTTAAATAAAACTATGTTTTTGGTTGTAGTAAAACTTTTTTTTACTTTTTAATCCTGTTCAAAAGTAAAAAAAGAAAGAAGGAAAGCTAAAACATAGCTATAATCGTATGCCAAGGGCAAGTTTCCTAGAATCCAAATATTCCCGGAGGGAGGAATGTCAAGGAGAGTGGGCTTGGGTGGCACAGAGGGGGGCCATCCTGCATTAGTCATCTATTGCAAGCATGATGTGTGTGCTGTTGACTGATGCCAAATATAGATTGACATTAGCCAGCCTAGAGTTCTTATTCCAAGCTAGGTGATGATGCTGCCAATGTGGAGTTACACCTCAAGCAACAAAGGGCTGAAACTCTGTACGTGCAATGTTTTGAAACTGAAATGCTGCACTAATATTTAGAAAAAAAAAATTAAGAGTTTATCGAAAAATATTAAATCATTTAAAAAGCTTATCCAAAAATATGAAATCGGGGACAAAGTATGCTTACTCTTTTAAAACTAAACTAACGATTGCATCACAAATGTGCATCACTATATGCCCTTTATGATGTTTTAGATACAAAATAATTACAGGATATTTTACTCAAACCCAACATTAATGATTATACATTGATAATATATAGAACACATTATACTGCAGCTATCTAAAAAAAAACACCTTTATAATAGTGTAGTTCTGCATTTATACCTCTGAGCGCCGCTGTTTGACCAATAAGGAGAAGAATACAGAGCTGGAGATCCACTGATATTTCCATCAGTAACACACACTGCAGTTCTGCAAGAAGAAACACAGCCATTTTTGGATTTCCTCATAGCCTGAGCACAGTCTCTATGCTGATATTCTTTAAAAAACATACATTCAGAATCATTATCTGTACTTTCAACTGGATTACAAATAAATTGGCAAACAAGGAAAACATTTACTTTGAAAATGACTGAGATGAAAATTAAGGATTCTTGGAAATACAAGTGGATCAGATGGCAAGTAATATCTTCCTTATTATTTTCATGGCTTTGTCATTCAGTATCTGGTCAGCTTCATTATTCCATGGATGAAGAAATGAGAAAAGACTCTGTTATTGCTAATATTGCAAAAGACCTTGGATTAGATATTAAGCAGCTCTCATTTAGAAAATTTCATATTGTTTCACGTGTTTCAGAGAAATATTTTTCTGTAAATTTAGACAATGGGAATTTATATGTTAAAGACAGGATAGATAGAGAGACACTGTGTGGGGCAGTAGATCCCTGCTTACTAAACTTTGATGCAGTGCTTGATAATCCTTTAAATGTTTTCCCTGTCACCATTGAAATTCAGGATGTAAATGATAATTCTCCCAGATTTTTCCATGAAACCATCACTTTAGAAATTATTGAATTTTCTTCAACTGGAACACACTTCATTTTGCAAAATGCAGGTGATCCTGATATTGGGAATAATTCTGTACAAACATACAAGCTCAGTGATAATCAGCATTTTACACTGAGTGAAAAGACCAGCACTGATGGCAGTAAATTTGTTGAGCTTGTGTTACTGAAATCTTTAGATCGGGAGACACAAAACATTCATGAATTAATATTAACAGCAAAGGATGGAGGGAATCCCGTTAGATCAGGCACTGTTTCCATAAAGGTTATTGTTACTGATGCAAATGATAATTTTCCTATATTTACTCAAGAAGTTTATAAAGTGAGTATAAGTGAAAATGCTCCAATCAACTCTACATTGCTTCATGTCACTGCAACTGATCAGGATGAAGGTTCTAATGCACAGATTACATATTCTTTTATAAAAACAACAGACAATGCTCTTTCTACTGAAATCTTTACAATAAATTCTAAAAATGGAGATATTAAAACTAATAAAAAATTAGATTTTGAAGCAGTGAAACATTATGAAATGTCTATTCAAGCAAAAGATGGTGGTGGGCTTGTGGCCCATTCCAAAGTCTTAGTAGAAATAATAGATGAAAATGATAATACCCCAGAGATATCCATTACCTCATTAACATCTCCTATTCCTGAGGATTCAACACCAGGAACTCGAATAGCATTGATTGAAGTTCATGATCAAGATTCAGGAGAAAATGGAGAAGTTGATTGTCAAATAATTGGAGAAGTGCCCTTTCAGTTAATACAATCATCTAGTAAATATTACAAAATTGTTACAATAAATGCTATGGACAGAGAGAAAGAATCATATTACAACATCACAATTATAGCAAATGATAGAGGATCCCCCTCCCTTTCTACTACAAAAATTATTAGGTTAGATATTTCAGATGTTAATGACAATCGCCCTGTATTTAAGAAATCTTCATACATTGCCTATGTGCAAGAAAACAATTTACCAGGAGCCTCTATATACAGTATACATGCTTTTGATCAAGACTTTGGAGACAATGCTAAAATCATATATTCAATTTCTAGTATCAATACAGAAGATATCTCAGTATCGTCTTATTTTTCCATTAATATAGAGACTGGAGTTATTTATGCTCAAAGATCTTTTGATTATGAGCAAAACAAAGAGTTTCATATTAACGTTAGTGCTAAAGACAATGGATTCCCTTCAATGACTAGCAACACAACATTAATTATTCTCATAGTAGACCAGAATGACAATTCACCATTCATTTTGTACCCATCACCAGAAAATGTTGATTCCACCTCCTTTGAAATGGTCCCATTGGTCTCTGAAGAAGGTTCTGTAATAACTAAGGTGGTTGCAGTAGATGCTGACTCAGGGCATAATGCTTGGCTCTCTTATCATTTCATACCAACATCAGAACCATCTCCCTTCAGCATTAGTCAACACACAGGAGAAATAAGGACATCACGTGTTTTTGAACAGAAGGATGTTTTGAAATATAAGCTGGTGGTTTTGGTGAAAGATAATGGAGTCCCTTCTCTGTCAACAACAGCAACCTTAAATATAATTGTTGCAGATTCTTTCCAACAGGTTGTTCCCAAATTCACTAATCAAGTTAGTGATAAGGATCATCCATCGAATGTACAAATGTATTTAGTAATTGCATTGGCTCTGATTTCCTTTTTGTTTATTTTAAGTGTTATGTTAGTTATCATAGCCAGGTGTAAAGAGTCAAAATCCCCTCCAGCCTTTGGATCTCTAAGTACCAATCTTTATTCTCATGTGGATCCCAGATATCTTTCCCAATATAACAATGGAACTTTACCTCTGCCATACTCATACAATGTGTGTGTGGCTCTGGATTCAAGTGAAAGGGATTTTACTTTCATAAAACCAAAGCAAGATGTCCCCATAGACAATCTTATTGATGCTGATGATTCTGGACTAGGAAATGAAAACTTGGCAGAACCATTACCTTCTAATAGTCTTGAGAAGGTGAGTGATGATGTTTGGAACTAAACAGGAGAGATTGCCATGTATTATGCTTGACAGTAGGGATACACAAGCTGTTGTTTCTGTGATTTATATGATATTTATAAATAAAAGTACGTATTCAGAGAGTGATATATAATCAGGGCTCAAGATATCAATTTCTCTCCAGCCATTGTCAAGTGATAATTTAGAAAATGTAGATTTGACTAGAAGAAATTCACATTGAAAAGTGTGCCATGAACCCTCCATACTTGCAGTGAAAAGTAACATGTAAGGCCTGGCTAGTAGCATAGTATTAAAATTAGACTATTGTTCTACTCAAAGGATGAATATAAAGCAGATCTGTATTTTTGTTAGCCCTCATAGTCTATTATTGCCATTCAGATTTAAACAGTATTGTATTGGTAATGCAGAAGGTAATGCAGATGTATTGTATGCGTAATGCAGAAGTTAAAGTTGGATTTGGAGCAGAGGAGCTAGTTCTTGGATCCCTATATTTTTGTTAAACCAGTCAAATATTGTTTGAAAAAAATGGGGGACTGTTATCAAAGACGACTTGCTCCAAAGCCATAAATTGCAATGCTTCATATGTCATTTTAAGAAGAAGTCTCCTTCTTCATATACCTGACATTGTAGAAGGGTAATGAGAACGCTAAAGTCTCCGAAAGAATACGATCTGGACTTCACATGTCCACAGCTCTATATAACCAGCCAGGGGAAATGGTGCTTACGTGTTTCATTGCAAAATGTATATATTTCTTGCAATGAACAGTTTATTAACAGTAATAGGCAATTTGTGAACAAGTCAAACAATAGGTCTTGAGTCAACAAATATAGACAGCACTACTGTTCAAGGTTTAATACATATCTGGTTTTAAACCTTATATTCTCCAATGAACTTATCAGATTTGACAGTTGATCAATCCATGCATCATGCATAAAAACATGACAAGTCACACTTAAAATACACACAAAAATAAATAAATGGAAAAGGCTATAATGGTCAATATGGCCCCTATTTAAGAATAAGGGAGGTATAAAACCTCCAGTATGTCTCTACTCATCGTGCCATAGGTGGGGGCATGTCAACTAAACTGTGAGCAGCCAATGGCTGATCACTGTAATTGAAAACATACAAGCATGGTACCTGCATTATTACATACATAATTATTAGTAAGCATTTTGGAAATGTAAGATATTTCTACAATAATATCACCTTTTATTGTAAATTATGATGGTTTCCACTGTCAGATTAGCCTGAATGCCCAGGACAGTATAACATATTAATAATTTAAATGTTAATTCTAGCTTTTTAGATTCAAATTATTTCAGCAATTTTATTTAATTTATGTAAAAATAGCTATTATTATTATTATTTATAATGCGCCAACAAGTTCTGTAGCACTGTAGAATGGGTGGACTAACAGACACATATTTGTAGCCAGGCAAGTTGGATGCACAGGAACAGAGGGGTTGAGGGCCCTGCTCAATCTGCATACATGCTAGAGGGAGTGGGGTATAGTGACAAAAAAGGTAAGGGTAAGGTAGAAAAGTAGGTTGCTAGGATAGTAATTATTGATGGCTTAGTGTTTTTGTGACAGCTTTAGGAGAGGAATCAGGGTGCAGGGAGGGAAAGCTGTTCACAGTTTAATTGATATGCTTTCCTAATGAAGTAAGTTTTCAAAGATTTTTTTTGAAGGAGTGGAGATTGGGTGAAAGTCTAACATGAGAGGGGAAGAGCAATCCATAAGAACAGTGCAGCCCTAGAGAAGTCTTTAAGGTGAGCACCTTAAAGGTATGAGTACAAACGGACTTTAGACGTAGGTCTCCGGCAGAGCGTAGGGGCCTAGATGGGACATATTTGTGTATTAGTGAGGATAAGTAGGTCGGAGCAGCATTGTGCAGAAATTTGTAAGCAAGTGCCAGGCTCTTAAGCTGAGTCCTATATCTTACGGGAAGCCTATATCTTATGGGAACATGTAAGAGCGCTGAGAATCGGAAGAGGACAGTGGCATAGACAAGCACCTTTGCCGTATCAGACGTTACATAGGGTTGGATGCGCACAATGTTTTTGAGATGGAAGCGGCAGGATTTGGCGATTTATTGGACATGAGGGGTGAAGGAGAGGTCAGAGTCAAAGAGAACACTTAGGCAGCGAGCCTTATGGGTAGAACGGATGGTAGCGCCATTAACTTGGAGGGACACAGACAAGGGAGTAGCAACACTTGAGGGAGACCAGAAGTTCTGTTATGTACAGGTTCAGTTTAAGGAAATGAGCAGCCATCTAGTTGGAAAAAGCAGAGAGGCAGTCAGAGACATGAGTCAAGAGGGGTGATGAGATACCAATGGAGGACAGATAAATTTATGTGTCATCCGCATAGAAATGATACTGGAAGCCAAAGGAGCTGATGAGTTTACCAAGGGAGGCAGTGTAGATTGAGAACAATAGGGGACCAAGGACAGAACCTTGGGGAACACCAACAGAAAAGCATTGGGCAGAAGAGGCAGAGCCAGAGAAAGAAACACCGAATGAGTGCTGGGAGAATTAGGAAGAGCACCAGGAGAGAGAGGTATCTCATAGAGTGAGATTACAGAGAATGAGAAGAAGCTGTTTTATTATAATTATAATAAACTATCATAATTTAGCCAATACTTAGAGTATGCTGCTACCATAAAACCCAAGGGCATTGCAAAATCTAGTCTACACTAGCCAAACTCGAAAAACTATCTAATTCAAACTTGTTTTTTTTTATCAGTTACTTTTTTATCAGCCTTGTTTACTTTTTAATGAACAGAATGTTTAGTTATTAACATATGTGTTTGTTATTTGATATTTGGATCATGTGATTGTATCTGTGCTTTACACAGTTGTTTCTAATATGCACTCACTGGAGTTAGACACCTCCTATTACACCTTTGGTGCTAGGCTAGCAGCTCCCCTGCCAGATAGCCAGCAAAAAAACACTCCTCCCTCTCACCATCTATATACTGCAAGCATTTAAGATGGCATTACAGGGGTGGAGTTATATAATGTGCACACGTGTTACCCTTTTGTAGTGTTGTTTGATTGGCTGTAGTTTCCATGCAGTAAATATCTGTGAATCTCATGGGTCAGGGCAATGTCACTTGTTACTGGTTTAATGCATCAAGGTGGATGACCTTGTCAGCAAACCTCCTACCTCTAAACAGTAAAGGAAGTTTCAATGGGTCATATCATTCCATTATCTGGGGGTGAAGGAATATAACATTTCGCTTTTAATATTACATTAGCACTCCAGAGGTTGATAAAAATTGCTATAGCAGTTGTAAATATCTGTAGTTTAGAAATATATGAGTTAACTCTTTGTACTCTATGTGGGCATTGTGATCAAATACACAAAAATAAGCCCTGCGCTCAGACTCCCACATTACTTATATGCATAGGGATTTGGGATAGTGAACAAGTAACTTTTTTCTTTGGTTTTTATTGTGATAAAATGCAGACCATTGTTTGCATTCTGTTGCCATTTCAGTACAAGCTGTTACATTCTGTTATCATTTTCAGTACCGACTTTTTATATACAGCTTTTATTTTTTCCTTAATGTTTTATAGTGGTAGAGATTGCCTACTCTGTGTTTTGCTTTTTATTTAAAGTAAAGTTTATTGTAAATGTATTAACAATAGGTGTGGAATATGTGGCGCTGAGTAATTAATGTGAACAGTATATTTTAGCTGCTGTTTACACTCTATGGGTACTCCTAAAAGCCCACCATACAAAGATAAACACCAAAAGACGAAAAAGATTTCAGATCTGATGGGTGTTACCACCCCTCAGGTCTTCTATCTTTATGAGTGCAGCGCTGTGTAATGTGTGAAAACACAGTGAATTACCTGTGATTCAAAGGCAATTATCCTTTATATTCTCCAATGTAATACATATACAAAAGAAAAAAGAAATATATACAGATAATTGTGCAGTATATCTATTACTTTAGTGAAGTGTTTAGTGGGTAACATATATATCTCCACTCACATTTTTTAGAGCCTTTTCAAGTGAATTAGGCTCTAAACTTTCGTGCATCTGTGTCTTTAAGGGTAGATCACACGACCCCTCTCTCCAGGTTGAGTGTGTATTTTTTCTCTCCCCAGCGTATATATGAAAGACACAGAATTATCCAACTAAGTGTAGCATCCTCTATGATATTTTCTTATAAATAACAAATTGAAGTGCTCACCTTATTTAGAGCCTTTTGGTAACTGGCTCTAAGTGTATAGGCCTAGTGTCAGTTTGTGGGGTGACACTGCCCCTTCCCTGGAATCACTGGTGCTGGATACAGTGGATAGTATAAAATAAGGGAATTTATTACAATATATATAAAAACAGTATAAAAATATTTTTCTAGAAAATAAAAAATTGGATAAGAACAAATTATTGCAAGTATTGGTGGTTCAGGAAAAATGATGAGTCCACTTTAAAGTGATTCCAGGGAAGGGGCAGTGTCACCCCACAAACTGACACTAGGCCTATACACTTAGAGCCAGTTACCAAAAGGCTCTTAATAAGGTGAGCACTTCAATTTGTTATTTATAAGAAAATATCATAGAGGATGCTACACTTAGTTGGATAATTCTGTGTCTTTCATATATACGCTGGGGAGAGAAAAAATACACACTCAACCTGGAGAGAGGGGTCGTGTGATCTACCCTTAAAGACACAGATGCACGAAAGTTTAGAGCCTAATTCACTTGAAAAGGCTCTAAAAAATGTGAGTGGAGATATATATGTTACCCACTAAACACTACACTAAAGTAATAGATATACTGCACAATTATCTGTATATATTTCTGTTTTCTTTTGTATATGTATTACATTGGAGAATATAAAGGATAATTGCCTTTGAATCACAGGTAATTCACTGTGTTTTCACACATTACACAGCGCTGCACTCATAAAGATAGAAGACCTGAGGGGTGGTAACACCCATCAGATCTGAAATCTTTTTCGTCTTTTGGTGTTTATTGTAAATGTAATTATCGGGGATGCATTTCTTCATTAGAATATATACATTTGTAGCATTAATAGGAAAGAAAAGCATGAGAACGTGTATCATAAATTAAACTCACAAATGTACTCATAAAACCCTCTTGATTTTTAAGATGAATTATGCTTAGGTACCCCTGACAAAGGTGCAGCTAAATGCACCGAAACGCGCGTCGGGTTTCTTTTATTAATCACTTTTATTCACTCGTGGAAGCACTTGGTGTTTAGTATTTAATTTCTTTTTTTTTTAGTTTTGGCTTTTCTGGGGGGCGTCTTTGGGAGGTTTCAGCTGACTACTCTGACATCAGGGACAGCATAGAACACCCTTGAAGGTGTTGCCTTAGGAGTATTAGGGTTTTACAGTCAGAGCCTCTGTAGATTTGTCGTAGATTTATTACAAGCTATACCACTAATCCTATGGAATAATTCAGCATTCTATTTACATGTTCTGCTTATGACTATTCGTTTTTGGTTATCTCTGCTTTGCATATACCTACATTATATAAGCAATTGCCCATTTTGAGCCCATTGGCTTATATATATCTCTTTCTACAGAGGCTACTGCTACCCTTTAATCTACTGGCTCTGTCCCCAGTCTTATAGCAGCTTATCTCTACCTTTTAACATTAGCCTCCCAAACTTAGGAATGCATTTGCCTTTCCACTACTTAGTGGACCTCCCCTAGCAGTTTATATTTACTACTGCCTGGGTTCCGTGCATGTGTTACTTTGTTGTTCAGCAGCTTTTCCATTGTATCGTATTTGTGCAGTGCCTTTATGAATAAAGTATTTATTATTTTGGGATACATTTGAACCATATATTGCTGATAACTCTGCTATTGCCCCACATTTATCTTTACTCCTAGTCATTTGTCTTTGATTACAGATATAATTTTTTCACTTTTTTTCCCCTGTTGCCAAAAAAACAGTATTGAGTCCAGCTTTTTAGAGGGATTCTATTTATTTAGTTAGTTTTATTGGATTAAGTAACTAAACTAAAATCTTTGGAATACTATAGAAGGACTTCATATTTCAGACACAGTGTTAAGTGATAGTAAACATTTACATTTTGGTTTGGCCTTTTTTTAATTTATGTTTACACTATGTGCTACATTTCTGCTTTGAAAATACAAATATTATATGTAAATATTACATGTATTAATTACAAACATTAATGGCAAAAAAAAATCGAAAAAAATAAAACTGACAAAGGTAATATAAAAATATGTACACATTTCTCAGGATTACAGGAGTTCATATCATCAATAGCTTTAGAACTCTGAGGTAAAAAAAAAATACTAACGTATACTTTTTTATTTTTTTCATTAATACAAATATAAAGTTCAAGATAGCTTACTGTGATTGAGTATATATTCCATTAAATTTCCAGTATATATATATATATATATATATATATATATATATATAAAAACAAAATAGTTCCTGCACTCACGCTAATTCATCCTTAGGTGACCGGGTGCCAGCCCCATATAGCTAGTGTATCCAGAAAAACCAAGTAGATGGCTGCACTCACGGTTCTGTGTAAAAGTCCAAAGTTTATTGAAGATGCATAAAAAAACTTGCGATCAATGTTTCAGTCCTTCTAAAAGGACTTTCTTCAGGATCCTGAAGAAAGTCCTCTTAGAAGGACTGAAACGTTGATCGCAAGTTTGTTTATGCATCTTCAATAAACTTTGGACTTTTACACAGAACCATGAGTGCAGCCATCTACTTGGTTTTTCTATATATATATATATATATATATATATATATATATACCATGTATTGATATAGATTACTGGACTAATATGGCTACAATCTCTACTCTACAGGGAGTGCAGAATTATTAGGCAAATGAGTATTTTGACCATATCATCCTCTTTATGCATGTTGTCTTACTCCAAGCTGTATAGGCTCGAAAGCCTACTACCAATTAAGCATATTAGGTGATGTGCATCTCTGTAATGAGAAGGGGTGTGGTCTAATGACATCAACACCCTATATCAGGTGTGCATAATTATTAGGCAACTTCCTTTCCTTTGGCAAAATGGGTCAAAAGAAGGACTTGACAGGCTCAGAAAAGTCAAAAATAGTGAGATATCTTGCAGAGGGATGCAGCACTCTTAAAATTGCAAAGCTTCTGAAGCGTGATCATCGAACAATCAAGCGTTTCATTCAAAATAGTCAACAGGGTCGCAAGAAGCGTGTGGAAAAACCAAGGCGCAAAATAACTGCCCATGAACTGAGAAAAGTCAAGCGTGCAGCTGCCACGATGCCACTTGCCACCAGTTTGGCCATATTTCAGAGCTGCAACATCACTGGAGTGCCCAAAAGCACAAGGTGTGCAATACTCAGAGACATGGCCAAGGTAAGAAAGGCTGAAAGACGACCACCACTGAACAAGACACACAAGCTGAAACGTCAAGACTGGGCCAAGAAATATCTCAAGACTGATTTTTCTAAGGTTTTATGGACTGATGAAATGAGAGTGAGTCTTGATGGGCCAGATGGATGGGCCCGTGGCTGGATTGGTAAAGGGCAGAGAGCTCCAGTCCGACTCAGACGCCAGCAAGGTGGAGGTGGAGTACTAGTTTGGGCTGGTATCATCAAAGATGAGCTTGTGGGGCCTTTTCGGGTTGAGGATGGAGTCAAGCTCAACTCCCAGTCCTACTGCCAGTTCCTGGAAGACACCTTATTCAAGCAGTGGTACAGGAAGAAGTCTGCATCCTTCAAGAAAAACATGATTTTCATGCAGGACAATGCTCCATCACACGCGTCCAAGTACTCCACAGCGTGGCTGGCAAGAAAGGGTATAAAAGAAGAAAATCTAATGACATGGCCTCCTTGTTCACCTGATCTGAACCCCATTGAGAACCTGTGGTCCATCATCAAATGTGAGATTTACAAGGAGGGAAAACAGTACACCTCTCTGAACAGTGTCTGGGAGGCTGTGGTTGCTGCTGCACGCAATGTTGATGGTGAACAGATCAAAACACTGACAGAATCCATGGATGGCAGGCTTTTGAGTTTCCTTGCAAAGAAAGGTGGCTATATTGGTCACTGATTTGTTTTTGTTTTGTTTTTGAATGTCAGAAATGTATATTTGTGAATGTTGAGATGTTATATTGGTTTCACTGGTAATAATAAATAATTGAAATGGGTATATATTTGTTTTTTGTTAAGTTGCCTAATAATTATGCACAGTAATAGTCACCTGCACACACAGATATCCCCCTAACATAGCTATAACTAAAAACAAACTAAAAACTACTTCCAAAAATATTCAGCTTTGATATTAATGAGTTTTTTGGGTTCATTGAGAACATGGTTGTTGTTCAATAATAAAATTAATCCTCAAAAATACAACTTGCCTAATAATTCTGCACTCCCTGTATAATGATATTTATTTCTATACACATTAAACATGTATTAAATAAATACAGTAAAACAACCAGGATTACAGGATTTCTTATCATCAATATCTTTAGAACTCTGCAAAGAAATATTTTAATTTACTTTTATTATTTATTATTAAAATTAATTATAATGATTTCAGATATGTGGGAGTATATCAACTTACACTAACATGTATACTTTTTTTTACTTTTTGCATTAATACAGATATAAAGTGCAAGATACTTTACTGTGATGGAGTATACAATGATTCCATTTCATTTCTAATATATATTTGTATATCATCTACCTTCTATACTCTATATTGATATATATATATATACACACACACATAATGCATGTACATTAATCTTGTATTAAATAAATACAGTAAAAAAATGTTCTCGGTCGTGCAGTTCTGCATTTATACCTCTGAGCGCCGCTGTTTGACCAATAAGGAGAAGAATATAGAGCTGGAGATCCACTGATATTTCCATCACTAACACACACTGCAGATCTGCAAGAAGAAACACAGCCATTTTTGGATTCTCTCACACACTGAGCACTTTGTATAAGATTGGATTTCCTTATATTCCCTGGAAGAAGTGAAGACAGCAGTTTTTTTCTTTTTAAGTGGATTGCAGATAACTGGAAATCAAAGAGAAAATTATTCCCAGAAATTAAAACCAATAAAAATGGCTCCCTCAGGATTGAAACCTCAGGATTCACAAAAACACAAAGGAATGAAATGGCAAGTAATATCTTCTTTATTATTTTCATGGCTTTGTCATTCAGTATCTGCTCAGCTTCATTATTCAATAGCTGAAGAAATGAGAAAAGACTCTGTTATAGCTAATATTGCAAAAGATCTTGGATTAGATGTTAAACTGCTCTCATTTAGCAAATTTCATATTGTTTCACGTGTTTCAGAGAAATATTTTTCTGTCAATTTGCAAACTGGAAATTTACATGTTAAAGACAGGATAGATAGAGAGACACTCTGTGGGGTAATAGCTCCCTGCATTCTAACCTTTGATGCAGTGGTTGATAACCCTTTAACTGTTTTCCCTGTCACCATTGAAATTCAGGATATAAATGATAATTCTCCAGTATATTTCCATGACACTATTACCTTAGAAATTATTGAATTGACTTCACCAGGAACACATTTTATTTTACAAAATGCAGAAGATCCAGATATTGGGATTAATTCTGTACAAACATACAAGCTGAGTAATAATCAGCATTTTATACTAAGTGAAAAATCCAGAACTGATGACAGTACATTTCCAGAACTTGTCTTAGAGAAACCTTTAGATCGGGAGACACAAAGCATTCATGAATTAATATTAACAGCACTGGATGGCGGGAATCCCATAAGATCAGGCACTGTTTCCATAAAGGTTATTGTTACTGATGCAAATGATAATTTTCCAGTATTTACTGAAAAAATCTATAAAGTGAGTGTAAGTGAAAATGCTCCAATTAGCTTTATGCTGCTTCAAGTTACTGCAACTGATCAAGATGAAGGTTTCAATGCACAGGTCACATATTCACTTGGAAAAACATCAGGGAATGTACTTTCAGCTGGAATGTTTAAAATTAATGCTACAAATGGAGAAATAACAACAAATCAAAAATTTGATTTTGAAGTTGCAAGATATTATGAAATGTCTATTCAAGCAAAGGATGGTGGTGGACTTGTGGCCCATTCCAAGGTTTTAATACATATCATAGATGAAAATGATAATGCTCCAGAGATATCCATTACTTCATTAACATCTCCTATTCCTGAGGATTCAGCTCCAGGGACACGGATAGCACTGATTGAAGTTCATGATCAAGATTCAGAAGAAAATGGAAATGTTGACTGTCAAATCACTGGGAATGCAAATGCACCCTTTCTGTTAATATTGTCATCAAGTAAATATTACAAAATTGTTACAACAAATACAATGGATAGAGAGAAAGTATCATGCTATAATATTACAATTTTAGCAACTGATAGAGGATCTCCACCTCTTTCTATTACACAAGAAATCATGCTGGATATATCGGATGTTAATGACAATCCTCCATTATTTACAAAAGCTGCACATGTTGCATATGTCCCAGAAAACAATTTACCGGGAGCCTCAATATACAGCATACAGGCTTCTGATTTAGATTCTGGAGAGAATGCTAAGATTATTTATTCAATTTTAAGTATAAACACAGAAGATATACCAGTATCATCTTATCTGTCCATTAATATAGAGACTGGAGTTCTCTACGCTCAGAGATCCTTTGATTATGAGCAGCACAAAGAGTTTCAACTACAAGTAACTGCGAAAGATAATGGATCACCATCTTTGAGTAGCAACACAACTTTACTTATCCGCATCATAGATCAGAACGATAATGCACCTAGAATTTTGTACCCTTCTCCAGGAAGTATTGATTCAGTTTCCTTTGAGATGGTCCCTTTGGCATCCAAAGAAGATACGCTAATAACTAAGGTTGTTGCGGTGGATGCTGACTCAGGACATAATGCTTGGCTCTCTTATCATTTCATGCAAGTGTCAGAACCATCTCCCTTCAGCATTAGTCAGCACACAGGTGAAATACGGACAGTACGTGTGTTTGAACAAAAAGATGTTTTGAAATATAAGGTTATAGTTTTGGTGAAAGACAATGGAGTCCCCTCGCTATCAGCAACTGTAACCTTAAGTTTTATTTTTGCAGATTCCATCCAACAAGTGGTTCCCAAACTCACTAATCAATTAAGTGATGAGGATCCCTCAACCAATTTACAAATGTATTTAGTAATTGCATTGGCTCTTATTTCATTTTTGTTTATTTTAAGTGTAATGATGGTTATCATTTCCAAATGTAAAGAGTCAAAATCTTCCCCAGCCTTTGGATCTTTTAGTACTAATCTGTATTCTCAAGTGGATCCGAAAATGATATCCCAATATAACAATGGAACCTTGCCTTTTCCATACTCATACAATGTGTGTGTGGCTTTGGATTCAAGTGAAAGTGATTTTACATTCATCAAACCAAAGCAAGATGTTCCCACAGACAACCTTATTGATGCTGATGACTCTGGACTTGGAAATGAAGACCTGAAAGAAACATCTTCAAACAGTTTTGTAAAGGTAAGTACTAGATAATACAGCAGTAGAGTTTGATATTTTAAAAATATGTGGAGTTCTATAGAAGAGTACTATCTTATGCCAAATTAATCATCTACAGAAGTTACCATTAAGTTCTATGGGATTTTTTCAAGACAAGTTTTGAAACATTTAGATAACTTGTAAAATGGAGGCCTTAATGGGGTAATTCTGATATATCTAATAACTATTTTTAAATTCTAACATGGTAAGAATAAGTTGTGATATTAGAGGAAATTGGTTTGGTTGGTAAAAAATCTATTCTCACAGTACTTGGTCTCCAAGTAATCTTTATAGTGATATAATTAGATAAACAAATACGTCAAGTACCACAAGTAACAGTATTTTCATGTAACATATTTTCATTTAATTTTATATGACATCTAATAGAAACATTTACCATCAAGTACAGAAATGTAAACTGTAATTCCAAAGTTACCAATGTGATTTATATTATATGGTTGATCTTGGATTAACTTGAATCTCTGCTAAATGGGGGCGGGACTTGACTGTCAGCTAATCAGACACATGGTGCGGGAGCTTCTCATAAACCTTGCTATTAAGCCTTAAATCTTGATGCCCAGTGGACTTGAAACTGTTGTTTCTGTGATTTATTTGATATTTATAAATAAAAGTATGGATTGAAAGAGAAATATATAAATAAATATCCACTTGCCATTAGCCATTGTCAAGTGATAATTAAGAAAATTTCAATATGATTAATAGAAATTTACATTGATGAGTGTGCCATAGACCCTCTATACTTGCAGTGAAAAGTAACATTTAAGGCATGGCTAGTAGCATAGGACTTGAAATTATTATTTTTTTGTCAATCTGTGTTTTATTGAGGCAAGTTTGTAGGCATACAGATTTCAGAGTAGAGTTAGACACAATACATACATTTGCAATATCGACATTTTTAAGCATTCAACATTAGCAACCCTCTTTTACTTTTCTTATTTCATTTGTGTATTAACCGGAGCTGGGCGGTAAGATTTGTATGTAATGACTTTTCGTGTCAGGTGCAGGTACCTTGTAGGTGGTTGGTAAGGTTGATCCAAAAGAGTAAATATAATAAAGAATGTTGAGAGAGAGTAAAACTCATATTAACTGTAACAGGCGGGTCGGTCATCTGACCACTGTGGCCAGGTTGTGTGTGTGTGTCCTACTCATGAGCATGCAGGTCGGGGCGCTATTATGAGTGACACCTCTGTTTTCATACTAGGTACCTGTAGTCTATAATAACAGGTAGATTAATGACCCCTAACCAATGGGGAGGACTTGGCATGTTAAGCCTCTATAATATATATAAGGTAATGATGAAGACTTGAAAGAAGTCTTTTGAAGGTGTATGGAGAAGGTATATAGAGTATCAATTTGATACTTATGATAGGTTGAGATTACGAATGATTTATTTTGCAGGTTAATGTTATTTGGTACAGAAAACTACTCACTACAATCAGTAAAAATGGCATGTGATATTTTCTTTAGCCGGAGAAAAAATATTTTTTTTAAATGTTGACACATTATTTTAAACAATCAATAAATAAAGTATTAAAAATTTAGACTATTGTTCTACTCAAAGGATGAGTATAAAGCAGATCTTTATTTTTGTTTGCACTCATAGTCTATTATTGCCATCCAAATTTGAACAGCATTGTATGGGTAATGCAGAAGTTAAGTAGTTTTTATTCTTAAAGTTGGAGCTAGTTCTTTAATCTTTATTTTTTTTGTTAAACCAGTTAAATATTGTTTGAAAAACAATATCACTTCATACACCTGTCATTGTAGAAGGGTAATGAGAACGCTAAAGCCTCCGAAAGAATAAAGTTTTCTGGACCCTCATGTCCACAGCTCTAAATAACCAGTCAGGAGAAATGGTGCTTATGTGTTTCATTGCAAAATGTACATATTTCTTGCAATGAACAGTTCATTAACAGCAATAGGCAATTTGTGAACAAGTCAAATAAAAATGATTGAGTCAACAAATATTGTCTACTCAACTGTTCAGTCTTTAATACATACCTGGTTTTAAACCTTATATTCACCAATGGATTTATCAGTTTTGACAGCTGTAGATCAATCCATGCATCATGAATAAAACATAACATTTCACACTTAAAACCCACACAAAAAAAATGAAAAGGCCCATAAAGGTCAATATGACCCCTATTCAAAAATAAGGGTGGTATAAAACCTCCAGTATGTCTCTACCCACCGTGCCGCAGGTGGGGGCATGTCCATTATAATTGAAAACTTACTATCATTGTACCTGCAATATTACATACAGCATTATTAAGCATATTAGAAATTGAAGATATTTCTACAATAATATCATCTTTTATTGCAAATTATGATGGTTTCTACTATCATAGCCTCAATGCCTAGCCAGGGGAGTATAATATTATAAACATTGAATTTAAATGTTACTTCTAGCTTATTAGATTCAAATAATTGCTACATGAAGGGAGCGATTTTATTTAATTCATGTAAAATTAACTATTATAATTTAACCAATACTAAGAGTATGCTATTACCATATGATAAGGGAATTGCAAAATTTAGGCTAAACTAGCCAAACTAGAAAAACTCTCATTCAAACTTGTTGGTTTTTTTTTAGATCAGCTACTTTTTTGGAATTTGCTATCCTTGGAAGTTGCTTTTAAATTTTGCCCAGTTAACTTTGTAATGAATCATATGTTTAATTTGTATCATATGTGTTTGTTAACAGTGATATATGGATTATGTGATTGTACATGTGCTTTACACAGTTATTTCCAAGATGCACTCACTGGAGTGAGACACCTCCTGTTACACCCTTGGGGCTGGGATGGCAGCTGCACTGCCAGATAGCCAGCAAAAGAGCACTCTTCACTCTCACCACCTATGTATTGCAAGCATCTGTGATGGCATCACAGGGGTGGAACTATATAGTTTGCACAAGTGCTTATGGTGTTGTTTAATTTGCTGTAGTTTCCATGCAGTGAATATCTGTGAATCTCATTCGGTCAGGGTAATGCCACTGGTCACCGATTGAATGCATTTAGGTTGATGACCTTGTCAGCACAAGAGTTACTTCCAAACTGTAAAGGAAGTTTCAATGGATCATATCATTCCATTACACGGGGAGGGGGTGAAGGAATGTACTGTAACATTTCACTGTTAATATTACATTAGAATTCCAGAGATTGATACAGATTGCTATAGCAGTTGTAAATATCTGTAGTTAGGAAATATATAAGTTAACTATGTACTGTATGTGGAAATTGTGATCAAATACACAAAAATAAGTCCTGTGCTTAGACTCCCACACTACTTACATGCATAGGGATTTGGAATAGCGCACAAGTAACTTTTTTCTTTTTTTTTGTGATCAAATGCAGACCGTTTTTTGCATTCTGTTGTCATTTCAGTACAAGCTGTTACATTCGGTTGTCATTTTTAGTACCAATTTTTTCTATACAGCTTTTATTTTTCCCTTAATGTTTTATAGTGGTAGATATTACCTACTCTGTGTTTTGCTTTTTATTTAAAGTAAAGTTTTTTGTATATGAAAGTATTGGGGCTGGCTGCATTACTTCATTAGAATATATAAAATGTAGCGTTATCAGGACGCACAGCAGCATGAGAATTTGTATCGTAAACTAAACTCATAGTCACAAATGTATTCATAAAACTACGCTCTTGATTTTTAATATTAATTATGTTTCGGATTAAGTAACTTAACTATAATATTCGGAATACTATAAAAGGACTTTATGTTTCTGACACCGTGTTAGGTTTACAGTACGTGCTACATAGCTGCTTTAAAAATAAACATATTACATAGAACATAGTTATCAGCAAAAATCAGCACGGTTTTATGAAGCACAGGTCATGTCAAACTAACTTGATTGCATTCTACGAAGAAGTAAGTAGAAGTATAGATCAGGGTGTTGCAGTGGATGTGATCTGTTTGGATTTTGCCAAGGCATTTGATACAGTTCCATACAGTTCAAACTCAAGGAAATCGGTCTAGATGAAAATGCTTGTTCTAGGGTAGAACATTGGCTTAAAAACAGAGAACAAAGAGTTGGCATTAATGGGACATTTTCAAGCTGGACAGAGGTGGCAAGTGGTGTCCCTCTGTTCTGGGACCCCTTCTATTTAACATGTTTATAAATGTTGAAGACAGCATTGAAAATTGTGTTTCAGTGTTTGCAGATGACACAAATATTTGTAAAATAATACAATGTGAGCAAGATATTATGTTGCTGCAGAGGGATTTAGATAGACTGGGGGACTGGGCACTCAAATTGCAGATGAAATTTAATATTGAAAAATGCAAGGTTATGCACTTCGGCATAAAGAATACACAAGCAACGTATACCCTTAATGGAAGCGAATTAGGGATAACAACACACGAAAAGGACTTGGGAATTGTTATAGACAACAAACTATGCAACAATGTGCAATGTCAATCAGCAGTGGCCAAGGCCAGTAAGGTATTGTTCATTATATCAACGTATCTACACTAACATGTATACTTTTTACTTTTTGCATTAATACAAATATAAAGTGCAAAATAGCTTACTGTGATTGAGTATAGGTTCCATTTCTAATATATATTTCATTGGACTAATAGGGCTACAATCTCTACTCTATATATATAAACACATTAAACTTGTATTAAATAAATACAATAAAACAAACTTCTCAGTCGTGCAGTTCTCCATTTATACCTCTGAGCGCCGCTGTTTGACCAATAAGGAGAAGAATACAGAGCTGGAGATCCACTGATATTTCCATCACTAACACACACTGCAGATCTGCAAGAAGAAACACAGCCATTTTTGGATTCTCTCACAAACAAAGCACTTTGTATGAGGTTGGATTTCCTTGAAGAAGTGAAGTCAGCAGTTAATGTTTTTAAGTGGATTTTAAGTGGATTACAGACAACTGGAAATCTAAAAGAAAATTATTCCCAGAGATCAAAACCAATAGAAATGGCTGTGATGAAACCTCAGGATTCACAAAAACACAAAGGAATGAAATGGCAAGTAATATTTTCATTCTTATTTTCATGGCTTTGTCATTCAGTCTCTGGTCAGCTTCATTATTCCATTGCTGAAGAAATGAGAAAAGACTCTGTTATAGGAAATATTGCAAAAGACCTTGATTTAGATATTAAGCAGCTCTCATTTAGAAGGTTTCATATTGTTTCACGTGTTTCAGAAAAATATTTTTCTGTCAATTTGCAAGCTGGAGATTTACATGTTAAAGACAGAATAGATAGAGAGACACTGTGTGGGGCAGTAGCTCCCTGCTTATTAAGCTTTGATGCAGTGGTTGATAATCCTTTAACTGTTTTTCCTGTCACCATTGAAATTCAGGATATTAATGATAATTCTCCCATATTTTTTCATGAAACCATTACCCTGGAAATTATTGAATTTACTTCACCTGGAACACACTTCATTTTGCAAAATGCAGGCGATCCAGATATTGGCATTAATTCTGTACAAACATACAAACTCAGTGATAATCGGCATTTTACACTTAGAGAAAAATTCAGAACTGATGGCAGTAAATTTCCAGAACTTGTTTTAGAGAAACCTTTAGATCGGGAGACACAAAATATTCATGAATTAATTTTATCAGCACTGGATGGAGGAAATCCTATTAGATCTGGAACTACTCTAATCAAGATTATTATAACTGATGGAAATGATAATTTTCCAATATTTACTGAAGAAATCTATAAAGTGAGTGTAAGTGAAAATGTACCAATTAACTTTATGCTGCTTAAAGTTAGTGCAACTGATCAAGATGAAGGTTCCAATGCACAGGTCACATATTCACTTGGAAAAATATCTGGAAATGTACTTTCAGCTGGGATGTTTAAAATTAATGCTACCAATGGAGAAATAACAACAAATCAAAAATTTGATTTTGAAGTTGCACGATATTATGAAATGTCTATAGAAGCAAAGGATGGTGGTGGGCTTGTGGCCCATTCAAAGGTTTTAATAGAAATCATAGATGAAAATGACAATGCTCCAGAGATATCAATTACCTCATTAACATCTCCTATTCCTGAGGATTCAGCTCCAGGGACACGGATAGCAGTGATTGAAGTTCATGATCAAGATTCAGGAGAAAATGGAAATGTTGACTGTCAAATCATTGGGAATGCAAATGCACCCTTTCAGTTAATATTGTCATCAAGTAAATATTACAAAATTGTTACAACAGATACAATGGATAGAGAGAAAGTATCATGCTATAATATTACAATTTTAGCAACTGATAGAGGATCTCCTCCGCTTTCTATTACACAAGAAATCAGGTTGGATATATCGGATATTAATGACAATCCTCCATTATTTACAAACACTGCAAATGTTGCATATGTCCCCGAAAACAATTTACCGGGAGCCTCAATATACAGCATACAGGCTTCTGATTTAGATTCTGGAGAGAATGCTAAGATTATTTATTCAATTTTAAGTATAAACACAGAAGATATACCTGTATCATCTTATCTTTCCATTAATATAGAGACTGGAGTTCTCTACGCTCAGAGATCCTTTGATTATGAGCAGCACAAAGAGTTTCAACTACAAGTAACTGCGAAAGATAATGGATCACCATCTTTGAGTAGCAACACAACTTTACTTATCCGCATCATAGATCAGAACGATAATGCACCTAAAATTTTGTACCCTTCTTCAGGAAGTATTGATTCAGTTTCCTTTGAGATGGTCCCTTTGGCAACCAAAGACGATACGTTAATAACTAAGGTTGTTGCAGTGGATGCTGACTCAGGACATAATTCTTGGCTCTCTTATCATTTCATACAAGTGCCAGAACCATCTCCCTTCAGCATTAGTCAGCACACAGGTGAAATACGGACAGTACATATGTTTGAACACAAAGATGTTTTGAAATATAAGGTTATAGTTTTGGTGAAAGACAATGGAGTCCCCTCTCTCTCAGCATCTGTAACCTTAAGTTTTATTTTTGCAGATTCCTTCCAACAAGTGGTTCCCAAACTTACTAATCAATTAAGTGATGAGGATTCCTCAACCAATTTACAAATGTATTTAGTAATTGCATTGGCTCTTATTTCATTTTTGTTTATTTTAAGTGTAATGATGGTTATCATTTCCAAATGTAAAGAGTCAAAATCTTCTCCAGCCTTTGGATCTTTTAGTACTAATCTGTATTCTCAAGTGGATCCCAAAATTATGTCCCAATATAATAATGGAACTTTGCCTCCATACTCATATAATGTATGTGTGGCTCTGGATTCAAGTGAAAGTGATTTTACATTCATCAAACCAAAGCAAGATGTTCCCACAGACAACCTTATTGATGCTGATGACTCTGGACTTGGAAATGAAGACTTGAAAGAAACATCTTCAAACTGTTTTGTAAAGGTAAGTACTGGATAGTACAGCATTAGAGTTTGCTATTTTAAAAATATGTGGATATATGTCATAACAATATATTTAAAAATCTAGCTTATTACTATATGATAAGAATAAGGTCCAATATTAGAGGAAATTGGTTGGTAAAGTTCTACTTAGAAGTTACCAATGGCATTTATTTGTTTAGTTTTTTTCAATCTTTATACCAATGGTATTTATGTGACATGGTTGTACTTAGATTGACTTGAATTTCTGGTAAACCTAATACTCATTTTTTTTTTATTTGTCAGACTGGAATAAAGGTAAGATTTTACTATATTTAGAGGGGCAAAAGGAGTCAAGTTGACAAGTTATAGTGTTCCTTTAAGTTTGAAATTCATTTTGAATTCCTAGCAATTTGGACTTTAGTAAATAACCTTGTAAATGATGTGCTGGAACAGGGGCCATACAGGGTTGGTTAATATACCACGTAGTAGGGACCTTGAGTTACTAAAGTGACTTTTTCAAGTTTCAAGGCCAAACTGAAAGGATCGCTGAATTAGAGATTATTTCTGATTTGACTAATTTGACCTTAAATTTGAAATTCACTTTGAATTTTCAGTTTAGTGAATAACCATGATAGACACACAAAGCATGAGAATTAAATACTTGTTAGTTCTACTTTGTTTTGGACAATATTGTTTGGTTTATCAATAATGTATTATCTACATAAACAGATACAGAGATTCAGGAGTCTATAGCATAGTTTGTTTTGTTATAAAAAACAATAATAATAATAATAATAATAATAATATTTACTTGAATCATACCTGCCTAAATAGCAATGCAGGATAACAAAGCTATTGTCTGTATGAATTGCTGTTCATGGATACTATATTAAAATTGGGTAAATGTACATGGTATAGATTTACGCAGAAGTGGGATAAAAAGTGGAGGTATTTATGGTGTCTTGAACAAAAATTGTGGCCACGTCTTCGAAGAGTATCACATGGCAGGCATACCATGTATATGTTTATAGTGTAAGCCTACCTGCCAGTCAATCGATCATTTGGTTTCACTGCAGACCTAAGATCAAAGACTGGTGGCCAGGCCTTCCTACAATGTGTATTTGATCATTGGCAGATTATTCCTGGTGATCCATTTGACAATACTAGGCCAAGCCAGGTAGTGACTGAAACCCACAAGAGGAAGGGGTTAAAGGAGGGTGTTCAAGCCTTGGATAACTTCTTGGACAAGCTGTGATTGTTCTCTCACATGACAGGATTGGGGAAATGGACTCTAAACTTCTTGGGTGTTGGCTTTTTTTTAAGAAGCTTAGTATTGAACTAAAATGAGGCATCCCCTTAACATTAATCTTATATCTGGGATAGCTCATGAAATTGCAGTCTTCTGGTGGGGTTGTTGATGCCAGACAATAAGTTGTAATACTGTACAACAGTCAACAGCAATTAAAAAAAAAGGGACACAAAAATATGAAGCAAGAACGTCTCCTTTGTTTTGTCCTAGCCAAAGAAGATATGTTATATCTGCAGATTTTCTTTTAATTGTAATAAGCTTCTCTCTGAACTGAGAGTGTGGGTGCTCTTATAACCATATACTTTGCATTAACAGAAATTGTTGTGGTGCTTTGACTGACCCATGATACCCACATGCCCATGCAAAGAGTAGACCCTCTGCTTATTATTTTGTTCATACAAGCCATTATAATTGATGTGACACATTTTTATTATATTAATATTTACACAGCTGTGTTTAATCTGTTATAGTGTCTTTGCATGCTTGCCACCATCTCTGGCCCACAGCATGTCTGATCATAGCTCATACCCTACTACTGGTTCTGTTTGTTTAGCCTGAACAAACAACATTACAAATACTTTAGAGTGGTAGCTTGTCCATAGATACACTAACGGTCGCATCCCACAAGATAATTGTTGTCATATTTAAAAAAAAAAAGAATAAAAATAATTTATTTCTAGTGGTAAAATAGTAACCTGCTAACATTGCTTCCTTTGGGAACGCTTTAACTTTTTCATTATAAAAGGTAAACATACACCATACAGAACTGCTGTATCTTCCCCTTCCCTTATTCTGTATGGGACAAACTGACTCACTGATAATGAATGATGGCTTACTGTTTATGTTGTTGAGAATAACAGGGCATGTTTGGAACTTTTGACCGATTTGTGAAATCTGTCTAGTCTGAAAGCACATCAGACATGCTCCAAGGGGTGATTTCTGAAAAGCCCCATACACACTTTGTATTATAGTTCAAAAGTCATACAATTGTAAACTGATTAATCAAATTTCTATTCCAATGCTGTATGTGTTTATTGTCTTAATATAGTTAGTGAATGACCTAACTTAAACTTGGACAAACTACATCAGTTTAATTTACTGGGTTTCTGTGGAGTGAACAGCAAGAGTGAATAGCTTTATTTACTTACTATACATGTAAAATCACATATTAATGTCCTTAGATTTAATATGTCACTATCATCTCCTGCATTCTCAATGGTCTTTCACACTCCTAGCTAGCCCCACTAGAGGGACAATGAATTTTGCAACAAGGCTCATCTTTCTCTCTAACAGTCCTTGCATTGACTTCATGTAAAATATAGGGCTCAATTTAAATGTAAAATAATTTTCCTCTCTTCATAATACTGCTCCTACCTACCTATCCTCACTAATACACCAGTATGTCCCATCCAGGCCCCTACACTCTGCTAAAGACCTGCATCGATCCTCTCTTCATACTTGCATCTCTGAATCTTGTCTTCAAAACTTCTTTAGGGAAGCACCGTTCCTATGGAACTCCCTTCCCTGCTCCATCAGACTTTCACCCAGTCTCTATCCCTTGTGAATGGAAAGTCACTTTTATCAAGAAGGCATCTCAGTTAAACTGTTAACAGCTTTTCCTCCCCACACTTCCCAATGCCTCACTAATCCTTGATTGTAAACTAATCTACTACTTATTCTATTTTCCATTACATGAAATACACCTGACCCTTACCTCTTTTGTCATTTTTCCTTACTCGCCTCAGAATGTAAGCTTATTTGGGCAGGGGCCTCAGCACCTTCTATTGCTGTACATCCAACATTTATTTTTGCTACTACTCATTTTTTAGTCCACCTATTGTGTTGGTACTTTATAAAAATAAAGTTATTCAATTTAAACAATGCTGTTATAAAAAGTGTTTTATGTAGAAAATCACCCGACACTTTAATGGTGACTTCTGTAGATACATCATTTGGAAAGTTTTTTTAACAGTATTGAATAATTTGTAAATATTGTTAATTATTTTATTTTTTTTAACAAAAATCATAATTTAAAAAAATGGATTCATGTTAAACCCTGACTGAGTTTGTTAGTTAAATAGTAATCATTCTTAACCAGTAGGCTATAGAGGAACATACAGATTTTTACAGTTCAGTTTCAATACCAGCTCTACTGATAATACGTCACCCAACAACAACACTGTGCGCCTTCTGGAAATATGGCTCCTGATATCACAGTGCCAGCACTGTGTGTGTCTGTTGTAGAATGCTGCCAGACTATCCCAGCTTTCCAGGTATAGTTTCATCACAGTCTTACCCTGTGTCCTCAAGTCTTTTTAACTCTGAATTTTCTGTGCTGACAATCGTAATAATTTCATATTTTAACAAAATATTGCATTAGAACAGTAATAACAGAATTCAATAACCTGAGTAGTGTTCTACATACTATGTAAACATAATTATATGTTTTTAACTCTTGCAACTCTGGCCCTTTAGCTATTTTAATATTTTACATGAGTCAAATAGATTAGGAGGTGGGGTAGTAGAGTTTCAAAAGAGGGAAGTGAGGCGGGGCGGAGCCAACAGCCGAGCCGACCGGTCGCAACTCCAGTGAGCTCCGAGAAATAAAAGCACTAAAAGAAATAAAAGAAACAAGCAGATTAACCCCAACCATCTAGGCAGCAATGGGAAAGAAGAATAAAAAACTAAAATAGGACATGCCACGACAAGGTGCGAGTATTTGGGACCTATGGCGGAGAGCACATGGAGCCCAAGAGCCTAACATGGCAGATTATACAGACTATGTGGACGACTTCAATAACTCCGATGACCAAATCTCGGACCAAGAAGAGGTGACCTTACCCGCTGCATGACCGCCGACACAGCCCAAGACACAGTCGGTTGCTACACCGGTCACGAAGGCTGAGATGCGGGAGCTGCTGGCAGAGCTCCAACGGGACATCCAGGCCGACATGACGGACATGAGGAAAGATATCCAGGGCCTGTCGGACCGCATGGGTGTTGTGGAGTGAGATTCCAATAACCACACACAGCAACTTACCACGCTGCAGCGAGACATAGTCTCCCTACAACAGCAGCACCTGCAGGTGGAACAAAAAATGGCGGTGATGGAAGATGCACGGCGTGCCCAAAACCTGAAGATCAGGGGAATAGCGAAATCAGTCCCAGACGCTGAAGTACCTCACCTCATAAGACGTCTGGTAAGGAATAAGCATAGACGGCACATTCCGAATACACAAACCCACGACAGCCCCACTAGCCGCACCCAGGGATATAATAGTCAAACTTAAAAAATGTCAAGACAAAATAGCAATAATGGCCGCCACCAGGGGAAACACACCGTATGCCTTTGAGGACATGTCCCTCACGTTCTATACGGGTCTGTCACGGGGAACAATGGCATGGCGCGCAACCCTCAGGCCACTCACCACCTTACTCCGTGCACACAGCTTCAAATACCAGTGGCGCCCACCCCACAAACTACAGGTGCTTCATGGAGACGCTACTTACTCAATAGCCGACCTACAAGAGGCGAGAATGACCCTAGCGACCTAGGGCCTCCCACAAGATGACCTGCAGCAACCAAACAAACCCGCTAACACCCACGCATGGAACCCGGCCACCTCCGAGACATTTGTCCCAAGAAGATCCACCCAAACAGTAATGTCAACGGGCCAAACATGTGGACTTGAGGATCTGCACCACCCGCTCATTGCTGTTCCTTGGGGTATACAACATGGACACGGACAAGTTTTGTCACTACACTGTATTGCCATATCAATCTACCCAATGTAAATGCCTACTGTAGATCCCCTGGCACCGCACGAAGGAGCCTGGTTTTATATATATATATATGATTATGTTTATATGTTTATATGTTCACATGTTTACCTGTCCCTAAATCAGTAGACCGTTACAAATTGCCTACTGCGCACCCTGCGCTACCCTTAATAGGGCGGAAGCCCCATTTACCAATGGCAAAAGGGCTGACCATACTCTTAGGCACTATGCCTACAAAGCATCACAACCTAGATGTTAAGAAACTAATATCAAGCCTAGAGCTCAAACTTAAGTCGCTAAACATACCTGGTATCTAGACCAGTTCACTCCACAACACGCATGATGTGTTTAAATGGCTCAAAATCGTCTTATTATAAAATATAAAATGTGCACTATTTTCCGTGCCACTGTCAATGCTGTAATGATTAACGCATACGCTGTTGTGGAGTTACTGATATGCTCTGTAAACACATGCACAATAAAAATACAGAATTTAAAAAAAAAGAGGGAAGTGCAGTCAATTTCCATGCGTGACGACTGGCACCACACCATCTTAAAACTTCACAAGTCACCACTTTCAGTTTGTAAGCGTGAAAATACCTTTCTAAATGTAAGGATGGAGAACAGGGTTTAGCGTCTTCATGCTTTCCGTGGTCAACCCAGCCATTGAGAACAGAATTTGTGGAAGAATTCTTGGGTCAGAGATGATGCAAAGACACTCCAAATACAAGTCATTGAAGAACAAAGGCAGTGTATTGTTTTGCAGCTGCAAAAGTCTCAGTTTAGAATACCCGACTGAGCAAGCGTTTACAAGAGAACAAAGAATATATACCACAAATGACGTATTCCATTCGTATACAAAGAATATAAAAATTAGACCCACATTACAATAGTTACATCCAATTATTAAACTAAAACTTATATCTTACATTTGTTATCTAATAGTGGGCGTTCCTGACATTCCACACCTGCGCCCTCGTTCAAGATAGTTGCACAGTAGTTTTAACCATGTGAGTACTGAACTTTTTAAAAACATCTTGTAACTTCTACCATAAATTAACACCCTTTGCACAACTCCTGATATGGGTTTTTGAAGAATTTTGGGTGATGGCACCCTTAGTACAAAGCTCTACTTTGTGGATCTGTTTTCAATTAAGGGATTATAAATATAAATTTGACAAAATAATCAAATACCAAGACCTTTCTTTTAATCTAGATTATCTGTTAACTGGAACAACTGTAAAGATTGAGTCCAAGGTAATAGAAATAATAATTTGTGTCAATACACCAGATGATGGTATTATTTTGCATACAACCATAATATAAAAGACCATAATAATAATTGTAATATATTGTTCAGTACTAGATGTTTCTATTTCACTGCTTTGCTTTTTTCAAGTTAAAGGGTTAACCTGAAGTCAAATTAAAAACTGTTTTTGGTTGTAGTAATCTTTTTTTACTTTTTAATCCTGTTACAAAATTAAAAAGAAAGGCCTGTAACCCTGGGCAAAGGACAAGTTCTTCTACAACTCAAATATTTTTTGCAGAGGGAGGAATGTCAAGGGGAACAGAGATATGACTAGGTGGCACAGAGCTGGGCCATGCTGCCATGAGTCATCTGTTGCAAGCATGCTGTGTGTGCTGTTGACTGATGCCAAATATGCACAGAATCAACATTAGCCAGCCTAGAGTTGTTCCAAGCTAGGTTGACACTGCCATTTGGAGTTACACCTCAAGTAGCAAAGGGCTAAAACACTGTACGTGCAATGTTTCAAAATGAAATGCTGCACATACAGACGCCAAGCACCATGAGCACATCAAAATCACTGAAATATACTGATATTTTAATATTTTGAAAAAAATAATTTTAAGAGTTTATTTAAAAATATTAGTTTATTTGAAAAGCCTATCCAAAAATATTAAATTGGTGCCAAGTATGTTTACTCTTTTACAACTAAACTATGATTGCATTATAAATGTGCGGTCACTATGTGCTCTTTATGATGTTTTAGAAACAAAATAATAATTACAGGATATTTTACTCAAACCCAACGTTAATAATTATACAATATTTGGAAAATACCATACTTTAGCTATCTAAAAAAAAAAACCAACCTTTATAATAGTGTAGTTCTTCATTTATACCTCTGAGCGCCGCTATTTGACCAATAAGGAGAAGAATATGGAACTAGAGATCCACTGATATTTCCATCAGTAACACACACTGCAGATCTGCAAGAAGAAACACAGCCATTTTTGGATTCTCTCATAACCTGAGCACAGTCTATATGCTTATATTTTAAATAGACATTCATTCAGAATCGTTTGCTGTACTTTCAACTGGATTACAAATAAATTGTCAAACAAGGAAAACATTTACTTTGAAAATAGCTGAGATGAAAATTCAGGATTCTCAGAAATACAAGTGGATCATATGGCAAGTAATATTTTCCTTCTTATTTTCATGGCTTTGTCATTCGGTATCTGGTCAGCTTCATTATTCCATTGATGAAGAAATGAGAAAAGACTCTGTTATAGCTAATATTGCAAAAGACCTTGATTTAGATATTAAGCAGCTCACATTTAGAAAATTTCATATTGTTTCACGTGTCTCAGATAAATATTTTTCTGTAAATTTGGATAATGGAAACATATATGTTAAAGACAGGATAGATAGAGAGACACTGTGTGGGGCAGAAGATCACTGCTTACTAACCTTTGATGCAGTGGTTGATAACCCTTTAAATGTATTTCCTATTACTATTGAAATTCAGGATATAAATGATAATTCTCCATATTTCCATGACATTATTACCTTAGAAATTATTGAATTCACTTCACCAGGAACACATTTTATGTTACAAAATGCTGAAGATCCCGATATTGGTATTAATTCTGTACAGACATACAAGCTCAGTGATAATCAGCATTTTACACTGAGTGAAAAGACCAGCACTGATGGCAGCAAATTTCCAGAACTTGTCTTAGAGAAACCTTTAGATCGGGAGACACAAAACATTCATGAATTAATATTAACAGCACTGGATGGAGGAAATCCTATTAGATCAGGCACTGTTTCCATAAAGGTTATTGTTACTGATGCAAATGACAATTTTCCAATATTTACTCAAGACGTTTATAAGGCGAGTGTAAGTGAAAATGCTCCAGTCAACTCTACACTCCTTTATGTTACTGCAACTGATCAGGATGAAGGTTCTAATGCACAGATCACATATTCTTTTAGAAAGAAAACAGGAAATGTACACTCTACTGAGATGTTTACAATTAATGCTATAAATGGTGAAATTAAAACTAATGGAAAATTAGACTTTGAAACAGTGAAACATTATGAAATGTCTATACAAGCAAAGGATGGTGCTGGGCTTGTGGTCCATTCTAAAGTCTTAGTAGAAATAATAGATGATAATGACAATGCCCCTGAGATATCCATCACCTCATTAACTACACCTATTCCTGAGGATTCCGCTCCAGGAACACGGATAGCATTGATTGAAGTTCATGATCAAGATTCCGGAGAAAATGGAGATGTTGATTGTCAAATCATTGGGAATGTTCCCTTTGAGTTAATACATTCATCTAGTAAGTATTACAAAATTGTTACAAGAAATGTCATGGACAGAGAGAAAGAATCATCTTATAACATTACAATTCTAGCAACTGATAAAGGATCTCCTCCACTTACCACAACAAAATTCATTAAGTTGGATATATCAGATGTTAACGACAATCCTCCAGTATTTACAAAATCTACATATATTGCCTATGTTGCAGAAAATAATTTACCGGGAGGCTCAATATACAGCATACATGCTTCTGATCTAGATTCTGGAGAAAATGCCAAGGTTATTTATTCAATATCAAGTATTAATACAGAAAACACTTCAGTATCCTCTTATCTATCTATTAATGTAGAGACTGGGGTTCTCTATGCTCAGCGATCATTTGATTATGAGCAACACAAGGAGTTTCAACTACAAGTAACTGCCAAAGACAATGGATCACCATCTATGAGTAGCAGTACAACATTACATCTCCACATCATGGATCAGAATGATAATTCACCATTCATTTTGTTTCCATCACCAGAAAGTACTGATTCAGCTTACTTTGAGATGGTCCCTTTGGACTCCAAAGAAGGGACCATAATAACCAAGGTGGTTGCCGTAGATGCTGACTCAGGACATAATGCGTGGCTCTCTTATTTCATACAAGCATCAGAACCTTCTCCCTTTAGCATTAGCCAACAAACAGGTGAAATAAGGACATCACGTATCTTTGAACAGAAGGATGTTTTAAAATATAAGCTGGTAATTTTGGTAAAAGACAATGGTGCCCCTTCTTTGTCAGCAACAGTAACCTTAAGTTTTATTGTTGCAGATTCTTTTCAACAAGTGGTCCCCAATTTAACTAATCAACTCAGTGATGAAGATTCTCCATCCAGTTTACAAATGTATTTAGTAATTGCTTTGGTACTGATTTCCTTTTTGTTTATTTTAAGTGTTATGTTGGTTATCATATCCAAATGTAAAGAGTCAAAATCACCTCCAGTCTTTGGATCTCTCAGTACCAATCTTTATTCTCAAGTGGATCCCAGAATGCTTTCCCAATATAGTAATGGAACTTTACCTCTGCCATACTCATACAATGTGTGTGTGGCTCTGGATTCAAGTGAAAGTGATTTTACTTTTTTAAAACCAAAGCAAGATGTCCCCATAGACAATCTTATTGATGCTGATGATTCTGGACTAGGAAATGAAAACTTGACAGAACCATTACCTTCTAATAGTCTTGAGACGGTGAGTGATGATTACTGGATTAAAACAGGAACGTTTAACATATAATATGCTTGATGGCAGGGAATCTCTAACTTGTTTTTGTGGTTTATATAATATATTTTTGTTAAAAACTAAGTTGTAAAAAAAAATATTTTATAACAGTCTTGCAAAGGTGAGTACTTTTAAAATGCAAACAAATACTTCTAAAATGCAAATTCAAATTGGGATATTTCTAATAGGCTCAGTGAAAAAATGATAGAGCTACAGATGGATGGTTGGATACTTTGCAGAAAATGTGGCTTTTGAACAACTTTCGAAAGAAATATATGAGTATTTAAATCATGTGCATACAATTAACTATCTTTATGTTTTGCATTTTTTGGGGAAATATATTGAAACAATATGCATCTGGCACCATGCAAAAAAATCAAGTAATATTTCATGGTGTGCTTTCAAATGCATTCTTCCACAAGCTTGTTGACATCAATACAGACGCATGTGTCATGCCTTGTATGGAATTGTGTATCCTATTAAATCTAGGTGTTTTAGTATATTCAGAATGTTAACATAATTTAGCAGGTCATTATAATCATAGGAACCATGGTTCTAAGATCATCCATCTTCTCAATGCGAAGCGAGGCAACTAAATTAGTATCAGTGATGTACAGAACATCACAGAGACGCATGTATGTCATTCAGTTTTTACAGGAATGAAGCAAGAATAGATCTACAAAGCTAGCAATCAATACTTGCCACTGATATGAATAGTAGGCTTTCTTGCTGAACTTTTCTAAAATCTTTGAAAGTTGTACAATTTCCACACAGTAGTCTGTCTTAAGTATATTCTTTAAATCATCAGAATTTAAAGAGTAAAATAATACAACCAATGGGTGCTTTTAGTAAAGAATTTAATTGTATTCAAAGCCAGAAGGTGAAAGTTTGATGGAGGCCCTTAACACTGTCTTCATTAACGATTCAGGTCAATTTACTAAACAGTAAGTTTGTTTGCCGAACTGAATTAAGCATATACCATTCAAGTTAGTAGATACTTAGGCAGTGTTCCAATACCTACAATGAACTTATCGAGGCCTGGATAGGTACCCTGTGCGTACTGTATAGAGACGGGTAAAAGTGAGTGATGTTGCATTAGATTGCTTACAGGTGGCAACGTATATCTTAAGGCCATCTATCTATGTAATCAACCCATGGAGTCCAAGTCTGATGATATTTATCAGTGATTCCAATTAGCTTTGCAGTCAGGGACTGTATCGCATAAGTCTCCTCTGACTTCTCAATCTACTGCTAGAGGGTAGGCAAACACAGTTTTTTCAACATCTTTGGGCTCTTTGGGATGAGGGATTTGGGCAAATTTAAAAAATGTTTAGTTGATGATTTTTTTGTATTGGTATATTGGAGCTTTTATATGATACAGAAGCATTAACAAAGGTTGAAATGAGAGGTCTGTATCTATGATTATTTTGGAATGGATCAATTTACAATATGGGGCTATCTCCGAGCAAGTCCACCAAATGTATAAGCTTGTGCTGATTTCCTCCCCACACCTCCAGCAGATATCATTAACCCCTGCACACATCTGGGTGAGCTTGTCAGGTGTCGTGTACCATTGCATTGGCAATTTATAGTTAAATGCTTGGGTTTTTGAGCATATCGCACTTTGATGAAAGAGTATAAAAATTTTCTCACAATACTTCACATTGAGTGTCAACAAGCTCTTGGTCTCCCACTTATAAACAAATATAGGAGGCACCAGCGGTACGGTGGTCAGGTTCTCTAAGTACATAGTCAAGATTCCCCTAGGCAAATGTAATCTAAATGTAAAGAGAGCATAGGTCTTCAAACCTGTTAAGTTCCTGTGTACATTGTGTTTGCCATGGAGTGACAAATAGTATCTTTGCATTTGACATGTTCTGAATCAGTCTAAACTTGTAGGTGAGCCTTCTGGCAACAATTTGGGTAACTATCTAAGTAATTTCTGGATACAGAATTGCTTCCGATGTAGCCAACCACCTAAGTCAAAACTTCCAGAGAGGAACCTATCAACGGGTGTTGAGTGATCAGGTGTTTGACCACTGCTCTATCTGTCTATATCAGCGAGAGAAGTTTATTCTCCACCTGTGAGAGTTCCATTGGAACCCATTGTTTAGGGGATCTTGTCATGTGCCAATGAAGTATTCGGAGGAGATGGGTTGCTTGATATTTCTGTATTTTCTTGTAAAGAAGGCAACCGAATTCCACCTAATCGTTTTGGGAGTATTAGTTGTGCTCGTTTGACCCACACAAATCCCCTTTTCCAAATAAATCGGAGGATGGTGTTGAGTAACTTAAAATGCATCCTAGGGATCTTTATAGGAATCGTCTGAAACAAATAAAGCAGTCTGGGGAACGGTCTGTATTAAGCATCCATAGCGATATGGACTAGCATTTTAGCCCCATTCCCTTTTAAATAAATCGGAGGATGGTGTTGTAACTTGGAAAAATGCATCCTAGGGATCTTTATAGGAATCGTCTGAAACAAATAAAGCAGTCTGGGGAACGGTCTGTATTAAGCATCCATAGAAAAGGAAGGAAATGATTTTGATACAAGTAACGCAGGTTATTTGATAACCAGATCCCTTAATATCTAAGGTGGTCATCTTGTCAGGCAAAATGGAACTGAGACCAGAGGTGTGCGGTCAGTCATTTAGGTAGTGAAATTCTGGTTTGTCCAGGATATATTTAAAGAGAGACAGTATATGGATTGAGAACAGTAGGAGACCAAGGAGGGGATGCGGAGAAAAGGAAAAGCCAGAAAAGGCTATAAAAAGCTATATTTGAACAAGCAAGCCAAATGCATCCTAGGGATCTTTATAGGAATCGTCTGAAACAAATAAAGCAGTCTGGGGAACGGTCTGTATTAAGCATCCATAGAAAAGGAAGAAATGATTTTGATACAAGTAACGCAGGTTATTTGATAACCAGATCCCTTAATATCTAAGGTGGTCATCTTGTCAGGCAAAATGGAACTGAGACCAGAGGTGTGCGGTCAGTCATTTAGGTAGTGAAATTCTGGTTTGTCCAGGATATATTTAATGTATGGGAGAAGTAGGTTGCTAGAATAGTTTACAATGAAGTTTGCAATAGAACAGGTGAACAGGAAGATGAGCCTCACCACAGCATTCATTATACACTATAGTGGGGCAAGCTGGGAATGCATAATGGCAATTGGTAGTCAAGGCAAGAGAGTATAGCGATATGGACTAGCATTTTAGCCCCATTCAGTGTTAGATAGGAGTGGATGCAAACAATGTTTTTGAGATGGAAGCAGCAGGATTTGCGTGTTACCTGCATAGAAGTGATATTGGAGGCTTTGAAGAAGCTGATGAGATTATAAAGAGAGACAGTATAGATTGAGAACAGTAGGAGACCAAGGAGGGGATGCGGAGAAAAGGAAAAGCCAGAAAAGGCTATAAAAAGCTATATTTGAACAAGCAAGCCAAGTCTACTTCTATAGTGACAGACATTTCATTGTTGCCATTTCTGTTAATCTTTATTTGAACAAGCAAGCCAAGTCTACTTCTATAGTGACAGACATTTCATTGTTGCCATTTCTGTTAATCTTTATTATTGTTGCCTTCACGTTACACTGTACACAAGTTGGGGTCTATTTAGTACATACGTTTTGTAACACATGAACAACACGTACAATACATTTGTAACACATGAACCAAAACAGCCAAGTTTGAATCATTTTTCATTTTATCAGAACCTAAAGTATTTTTTAAACTCTCATAATGATCCCTTTGAGTATTGTTTAGTAGACTTGGGCATTATTTTTCAAACAAATTGCAATTCATCCAAATTATGGGAAATTAGCAGGTCATCCAAATTCTGTAACCCTGAATTGCCATATAACCAAATCATGAAGCAAAAAATGAAACCATCAAAGGATGAACAGTTTTGATTGACTTGTGATTCACTACCATCTGTTGCACCAAAAAAAGAGGGGATTGATGGGGAAAAAAGATGATTGATGGTTAGGGGACAGCTACTAAATTTCATTTACAGATCAAGTGTGAAGGGAACAATAGAGTAAATGGATGAGCAGTAAAAAAGATATATATATATATATTATATATCTTAAAAATAATATAAATATATACATGGATTTTTGTTTACTGCTCCTCTTTTTTTCCTTCTATTGGTTACTTCTTCTCACTTGATATGTGAACCAAATAGTGGGAAAATCAGTGTACTGCAAAATATATACATATTATTTATATAATGCTTATATTATCCTGAATTGTTTGCAAGGATAAAAATTGTCCGAGTCAAAACCCTACAAGGATGAATCTCCTGAACTAATAACTTTTTTCGAACGAATCGGTTTGGCTGAACCAATTTATTTTTTTGTTCACAAGTCTATTGTTTAGCTGATAGTGATGAGTTAAAAATGATCAACTTTGCACAGGCTTCACTTTTATCATTATTGTTAGTCACATGATCTTAAGATCACGTGGTTAGTGACAAATGAAACAATTTTATGAGCTTTGTCATTATGTCACAGTGGTGATGTTGATACGTGACATGACTGGCATTGTCCTATTGTGATCCCAAATCATCTGGCTATATGTGTGTGGTCAGTGTCATGGTGGCATGGTGTATCTAGTATTTTATTTTGCTCCTCTATATTGTTAAATTGGATATAAGCTGACATATGGGTCAATTTATTCAAAAGTGTTGTTAGTGGTTTATCAGTTATTTTAGTTTTTGAATTTGGTAAGGTAAAATGTATCCAATAATGTGTAGATTAACTTTATCCAGAATGATAGTGATCTCTTAACACAAAGTATAGGGCCTAATAATATACAAATAAAACAGGTAGGTGTGATTGCGTCAACTTGTTAAGGACTCCTCTGCACCTCTTACCAGGTAGATAATAATCACGCAATAGATTTGATCAAAGCCAATAAGCTTAATGATTGAGCATTCTGGATGGAAGCATGAGACCCTATAAGCCTACAATCAGATCATGGCAATATTACAGTATATTGGAAATAGCAAGTAATATAGATAAAAATCAGTATAAAGTATAGCGTCTTCACATGTCTTCTTCTAGATCTTGTCTAGTTTGATTAAATATTACTATAATAAATGCAGTTTATGTACTGAAAATATAGCTACATTATTATTAAAATGTTAATTTAACACACTTTTAATATCAATATTTAAATCTGCTATAAATAACTTGTAAATCCATAATTGTATGTTTAAATGAGGAAATACCAACTTTTTTAATTTGAGTATTCTGTTTTGTTTGTTTCCACTGTGGACATTACCATTTACTTCTTGAAATCTAGGACTACCATACTTTTATTTTATAACAACATAACAAAAAAGCAGTCATATAAATAGTGATTCCCAAACCAGTCCTTATGGCCCACCACCAATACAGGATTTATGTATTTCCCTTTTTTTATTCCAATGGAGATGCTGACAAAAAACTGGACCGTTACTGGATCGTGAGGACTGGTTTAGGAAACACTGATATAAATATCAGTTTTAAATGTTTTTATATAATAATTTGATATGGTGGGGACACATCAGGGTTTATTCACAAAATTCTGAAATTCTTGTGAGACTTAAAATCGCAAAACATTTCTAAAATTGCAAAATGTACACAATAGTAAGCAATTTGTGACTATAGCTGAGTTGGCACATTTCTCCAAATCAACAATTTTAGGCAACATGTTGAGATTCGGATTTCAGTTTGATAGAAACCATAAATAATTCCCATCTCCAAGTTGTATTGTACAACAAACCAATCTGCAACATTGACCTTTTTATAAAAAATGTTGTTTTAACTTTATGCATTGGATGATAATTTACAGTTTACTGTTGGGTTCATTCATTAAATTCTGTATTTAATGAATGACTACAGTACAGAATTATAGTCAACTGAAAACGGAGTATAGGCTAAAATAGCCCATTTGAGACTACAATTGAGTTGGAACTATTTTCCAAATAAGTATTTTTGCTTATATTTTGCAATTCAACCTTTCCTTGAATATTTAACACATTGTATATTAAAAGGTTTGTTTAACTAATTCTAAACAATTCTAAACAAAAATAATGTGCAGCACTCTATTATTGATCATAATTGAATCACGTAGGCATTTGTGACATGCCACAATGATTCAACAGGACACTGCCCAATTTACCAAAATTAAAGCAGCCATATATTTATGATTTTAAAAGATTGTGGTGAAGTTGGAATAGAGCTCTTGTCAGCCTACTAACTAAACATTAAAATAATACATGGCAGCATATTTTTAAAGATGTATTGGAGTACTAGAAGTACCAAACAACATTTATTTTTTGTTTGTCGGTTTGATTCCATTGTAAATAACAAGTGTATCTTTTTAATAATTGCTGATGAGCATATAACCCAACAGTCTTCTTATGTTGTAGGTCCTTAGTAGCAGGTTGGAGCAAAACATACTATACATGATGTTATGATGGTTTTTAGTAATTAGGTTGATATACTGCGTATATTCATAATCTAGTATAACATAGTTGTACTTGTGTTGGAATTAAAGGATCCCGCTCCCCCATTTTATTTATTCTTTATTTTTGTTGCACATAATATAACAGGCAAACTTGCATCGCCACAACAGCAGGATCAAGAAGTATAATCAGGATTATTTTTAAACTATGGATTCTTGTGTCTTAAATCCAAATGGCAGAACTGATACAAATTATAGCTAAGCTGTGACTATAGTTGACTGGTTGAAAAGTTTTTCCAAATCCATAAATTTTCCTCAGTTTTTTTCAGATTTTTTCAGATTCCCAGATTTCATTTTTAAATATTAATTAAAAAAACATATTTGCCAAAATATTTGCCTTCAATTTCTTGTGCTTGTTGCAACTCTTTTTGATTTTCACAGTGAGGCTTCCTAGCACTTGAATATGGCGGAAACTTCTCAACCAATTCCATCTTTTATTCAATGTGAACTATATGTCAGAAACCCCTTCAACAGTAATTCAGCAACTGGATGAATTACTTGTTGTCTAGTTTCATTCATAAAAAAGCATGAATAATACTGCTGCAAAAGTTAATAAAAGATATGCCATAGCTTTTATTAATTTAATGGATGGCACCAACTATGGTTTTCAGAAATGCACCAAGTTACCACTGCACAAACATGCAGCCTTACCACAAGTTGTCTCTTATCAGATGTAGATTTTTTTTTTTTTGTTATGGGTTTACACTATTCAAGGTATACTGGCAGCAGAAATCATGGAATGTTTAATACATAGTTACATAGCTGAAAAGAGACTTGCGTCCATAAAGTTCAGCCTTCCTCACATTTGTTCTTTGCTGTTGATCCAAAAGAAGGCAAAAAACAGTTGGAAGCACTTCCAATTTTGCAATAAGCTAGGAAAACAATTCCTTCTTGACCCCAGAATGGCAGTCAGATTTCACACAATGGTTTGTATTGGCCCCGAATATATTTGTATAATGTTATGATATGCCCTCTCAGGCGATGTTTTTCTAAACTAAATAGGTTAAAATTTGTTAACCTTTCTTCATAGCTGATAAGTTCCATTCCTTTTTATAAATTTTGTAGCCAGCATAGTTACATATACGTCTTGCAAAGGAAGTGCGGAAACACCCACATTAGACAAATCATGTTGTGTGTGTGTGTGTGTGTATATATATATATATGTATATATAATTTGAAAATCAATATATGTTTGTATAATAGGCTTTTGTGGTGGAAATTTTATATCACAGCCTTTAAAGGAACACTATAGTCACCTAAATTATTTTAGCTAAATAAAGCAGTTTTAGTGTATAGATCATTCCCCTGCAATTTCACTGCTCAATTCACTGTCATTTAGGAGTCAAATCACTTTGTTTCTGTTTATGCAGCCCTAGCCACACCTCCCCTGGCTATGATTGACAGAGCCTGTAAAAAAATGGTTTCGCTTTCAAACAGATGTAATTTACCTTAAATAATTGTATCTCAATCTTTAAATTGAACTTTAATCACATACAGGAGGCTCTTGCAGGATGTAGCAAGCTATTAAGAAAGCAGGGGATAAGAAAATCTTAATTAAACAGAACTTGCAATAAAGAAAGCCTAAACAGGGCTCTCTTAACAGGAAGTGTTTATGGAAGACTGTGCAAGTCACATGTAGGGAGGTGTGACTAGGGTTCATAAACAAAGGGATTTAACTCCTAAATGGCAGAGGATTGAGCAGTGAGGCTGCAGGGGCATGTTCTGTACACCAAAACTGCTTCATTAAGCTAAAGTTGTTCAGGTGACTATAGTGTCCCTTTAAGATTCCCTAACTATGCTTATCATCAGTATGGTTAATGTAGACAAGGCTTTTAGGTATGTCTAGAAGCACTAAGAATTTTGTTGCATTTGCACCCATTGTACAGCACTGCGGAATTTGTTGGCGCTTTAATAATAATAATAATTTGCTAGAAAATGTGAAAGTTAAATTGCCATATGAAAATAAAGCCCATGTAGTTCCTCATTTATGCCTCTGAGCGCCACTGTTTAACAAATAAGATGAAGAAGCTGGAAATGGAGATCCACTGATTTTTCAATCGCACAAGCATACAGCAGGTTTGTAGCATTGACAAAGAAACATTTTCCAATTCCCTTGAACTGGATGCATCTGCTAAAGGTCTTATAATCCAGGCGATTACACCAGAATATACTTTGCACATCTGGATCATTTACACAACAATTCAAATTGAATGAGAATATTGAAAATTGCTAATATGGAAATCCATCAAGACAAAGGATACAAAAGAATCCGATGGCAAGTAATATTTACCTTCTTATGGCTTTGTCATTCAGTCTCTGGGCAGCTTCATTATTCCATTGCTGAAGAAATGAGAAAAGGTTCATCAATAGGAAATTTAGCAAAAGATCTACAGTTAAATCTTAAAGAAATTTCAGCTCGAAAGCTCCGTATTGTTTCTCGTGTTTCAGAGAAATATTTTACTATAAATTCGGAGAATGGAAATCTATATGTTGCGGACAGAATAGATAGAGAGATGTTGTGTGGGGCAAATACTGATTGCTTTTTAACGTTTGATGCAGTGGTGGAAAGTCCTTTAAATGTGTTCAGTGTTAAGGTAGAAATTAAAGATATAAATGATAACCCTCCAAAGTTTATTGCTGAAAATATTGATTTAGAAATGAGTGAACATACTTTACCAGGAGCAAGGTTTGTTTTGCAAAATGCTGAAGATCTAGATATTGGTATTAATTCTCTACAAAAATATAGGCTGAGTTCAAATCAGCATTTTGTTTTGGGTAAAAAGAGCAACACAGATGGAAGCACCTTTCCTGAACTTGTACTGGAGAGTACCTTGGATCGGGAGAGTCAAATAAGCCATGAATTAATCTTAACAGCTTTTGATGGTGGTAATCCTGTGCAAACTGGTACTGCCCGAATTAGGATCACTGTTACTGATATCAATGATAATTTTCCTATATTTTTACAAGAGGTATATAAAGTGAGTGTTATGGAAAATATTCAGATGAATTCTACAATTCTCTGTGTTAATGCAAGTGATAAGGATGATGGGATAAATGGACTAATAACCTACTCTTTCAGCACAACTGCACAAAATGTCCTTCAAGCATTCACCATCAATGCCAAAAATGGAGACATTAAAGTTAAAGGGAATTTGGATTTTGAAGAGACAAACCTTTATGAGATATCTGTACAAGGCAAAGATGGTGGTGGTTTAGCTGCTCATGCCAAGGTGCTGATTCAAATTATAGATGAAAATGACAATGCACCAGAGATATCTATCACTTCATTATCTACTCCAGTTCCAGAGGATTCTATGCCTGACACAGTGGTAGCATTGATTGAAGTTCATGATATTGACTCTGGAGAAAATGGCGAAGTTGATTGTCAAATTATAGGTTCTGTCCCTTTTAAACTCATGTCATCATCTAGTAACTTCTATAAAATTATTACTAAGAGCCCTTTGGACAGAGAACAAGCATCATCCTACAGTATCACAATCGAGGCAAAAGACAAAGGATCCCCACCATTATCATGTAGAAAAATCATTAAATTAGATGTTTCAGATATAAATGACAATGCCCCTGCATTTGAAAAAAAATTCTTTGTCACCTACATTACAGAAAATAACTTACCTGGAGTCTCAATATATAGTATACAAGCAATAGACGTGGACACAGAAGAAAATGGTAGACTTGTTTATTCTTTTGAAAGTACTAATATTCAAGAGCAGACTATGTCTTCATATATTACTATCAATCCAGTAACTGGAGTTATCTATGCACAGAGATCATTTGATTATGAAAAGCACAAAGAATTTCAAGTACAAATTACTGCAAGAGACAATGGTTCCCCATCTCTAAACAGCAGTGCAGTGCTAAGAATTTGTGTTGTAGACCAAAATGATAATGCACCATTAATTCTGTACCCATCAGCAGGAACCGATGGGTCAGCAATGTTCGAGGTGGTTCCTTTTCTCTCTTTACAAGATACGTTGGTGACTAAGGTAGTGGCAGTGGATGTGGATTCTGGACATAACGCTTGGCTTTCTTATTATTTTCTACAAACTTTAGAGTCATCACTGTTTATTATTGATCAGCATACTGGTGAGACAAGAACATCCCGTGGAACTCAGGAAAAAGATATTTCACGTCATACTGTTGTTATCATTGTAAAGGACAATGGAACACCTCGTCTCTCTTCCAGTGTTACATTAAACCTGGTTGTTGCTGATAATTTTCCACAGGTGTTTCCTGAATTTGAAAGCCATCACAGCAAATCAAATTCTCAATCCAGTTTACAAATCTATTTGATAGTAGGTTTAGCCCTGATTTCTTTTCTATTCATATTAACATTGATGCTGACAGTAATATTTAAATACAGAGAATCCAAGTCTTGTACGCCATTTAGTTCATTGGGTACAAATATGTACCCTCATGTTGACCATAGGGTTCTGGCTACATTTCCAAATGGGACCTTACAATTACCTTACTCATATGATGTGTGCGTTACTCTTGATTCCAGTGAAAAGGACTATACCTTTCTTAAACCTCATCAAAGTGTACCAGTTGAAAGTCTACTTGATTCTAATGATTCAGGAATTGGAAATGAAACTGTAGTAAATCCATTACCAACATCTAGCCTCATGCAGGTAAGTCTTTCCAATAATAAAAGTCATCAAAATAGACATCTAAATGTGACTGTAATTTGGCAATCCAGGAAGCTCATGGTGGAACACATAGACAGGTAGGCAAAGATGAGTAATTGAAGACTTTGCCTGTTTAGCTGCATTAGTCTGAATGCTCATAATGGTTTACTGCAGTTTGTCCAAATTTAGGCCGATAAGCTGTTTGGCCGAATTCCAAAACTCTGAAATGCTATATGGACGTATAACCAAGTAAACAATTAAAAAAAGATAATTAATGGGGAAAAAAGATGATTTATGGCAAGGGGACAGCAACCAAATAGAGGAAAAAATTAGTAGCAGTAAAAAGAAATCACTATATTTATATATCGTATATATAATATATAAAATAGATCATTTTCCCTTTGTTAGTTATTTTTTCTGATATGATTTGTTAGACCAAATAGCAGAAAAATCAGTGTACTACAAAATATATATATAAATATGTATATATATATATATATATATATATATATAAATCACAATAGTTTCTTTTTTTGTTTACTAAATCCAATGAATGCTCTCAATTTGTTCCATTTATATATATATATATATAGTGGTCCTTTTTTGTACCCTTTTTGTCTGGTTTGTCTGGATCGTTTTTCAGAATATTTTTCATTAATTATGTTCAGATGAGCTGAACCATCAAATGAAGGAGTGACAGAGATCCTGAACTAAATGAAATTTTCTGAAAAAGTGTTTGGGCTGAACCAAATTTTCCTTTGTGAACAAGTCTAGTTTACACTATCAATGTGCAATGTACATACATACTTTGGGTTGTCTACTAAAAATGGAGAAAAAAAGTAGTAACTTAATGTATTAAGCAATAATGCTTAATATACGAAGACAATAATTCATTTTATCTGAGATAGCATAATTGCTAAATGCTACAACTTCAGTAATTGTTCAGGTCTTATTGCCACAGATCTTAGTGTCACAGATTTCACCTTTCTGTTGTTAAAATAAGTATTTGATGAGTTGGGTAATAGTAACATATATTTATCAGCTGCTTACTGTAGTATATTTGAAAGGATGTAACATCTACACTAGACTTGGGCACCACCAAAATTTGCGTTTGTATTCGGTCAAAAAACACTTTTGTTTCGTCCGAACCGAATTTCGTCTGTTTATTTATTTTTGGCCATATTTCGGCCATTATTTTTGTTTTGGAATTTTATTCAGACAAATGAAATTCCAATGCGGACTGCGGCTGTATCTTGCAGCTGTTTAGTAGATAACTCCATAAACTAGCAAAATGAGGGAGCTGTTTAGTAGACCCTTTTTGATATATTTATAGCAATCCCAAAAGGATTAGGAAGCTATTTACTACGAAAAATACTCCCTCCTGCTCCTACCCACCATGGCGAGAGTTAAGTCTGCTCGCCGTCATAAAATTTGCTGTTCACCAAAATAAGTAATTAACTGGGGCCAGCCTCCTTCATTCATAGTTTTTCAAGCCTAGCACAGTTTAACTCATGTAGCATCTTATGCTCTCATATGAGTCAACATCTTATTTTTTTTTTATATTTCCATAAAATTGTGCACTTATATTGATGGCAAATGTTATACTATGTTTTGTAGCTGAAGAGCTTGTAATTACTGTTGTGGCATTTAAAGCCATGTTTGTATATCTATGCACATGAAAAATAAAGAATGACAAAAAAAACAGAAAAATAAAACTGGGGCTACCCATCACTATCTGGCCCTTGACAAAGTCAATTAGATCTTTGTGCTTGCCCATTTTTCCTGCTTCCAACACATGAAATTCAAGAACTGATTGTTTACTTGCTGCCTAATACAGTATATGCCACTCCTTGACAGATGCCATTGTAACAATATGATCAATGTCAATCACTTCACCTGTCACTGGTTTTAATATTGTGACAGATCAGTGTATTCAGGTTGTTATCATGACTGGCTCTCTGGGTGGTCCCACTGTGATACTGGATCCAGGAAGCACTTAGAAATGTGTGGTATTTCAATGCCCACAGTAGAGTCCTCCGGCAGAATGACTATGCCTACCTGCCTTCTTCTATTACATCACAGTCACTCACACTGGGTACAGTGTGTGTGTGTGTGTGTGTGTGTGTGTGTTAATGTAATTGCCAATTGGATGATGTGGCTTCAGCAATGAAAACTGAGGGTATGTGGCTGTGGGAAAACACATTAGTGGTGGTGAGATGATTTTGAGGATACATTAGTACAATATATGAAAATGGATTGGTAGAATTGTCCTGTTAATCCACAGAGGCTATACTATATATTTCAACACTGGATCATAATATATAGAGAATGCAGAGAGATGTGAAATTAATGGGCGAAGGAATGAAATAGGTGTGTCAACTGGGGAGGGCGCGGCAAAAGATGTTGAAAATGAATAGTGGAGACGAAAGTCTAATTTTATTTTGTAATGGGTGTGGGAATTGTTTTGTGTGTGTGTGGCTTCATAAGCAGGGTTTTTGCAGTTGGGTGGGTCATGGACTGCACTTTCCCACTTAATGTAAAATGTATGTCTTGAACCAGTCCTGGTTATTTTTACTATTATTTTTATTATTATTATTCACATCTCATGGCTTATGACAAAATCCTAATAGCATTATCAATCTTACGTGTTAAGAACAATTTATTAATCTACGGAATTTAGTGCAGATACTTGGGAATTGTGCAATTACTATTTTTACATAGATATAGTGTAAATTAACAAAATGATTTGCTGTAACTATGTAGGTTGCTATATAGCATACTAATCTCTTTCTACCATTTTTAGAGATTATGAAATATATTTGTGCTCTATAAATAAAAATAATAACATGCATTGGAATATTAACATTTTTTTTAAAGTATTTAGCTTACAGCTTCTTATTTGTCATAATACAGATAAACAATATGTTTCAATGATAGTATTCAATATAGATACATATACCACGTTAAAAGGGCACTGTAAGAATCATAACCTTGGCAGTTGGCTGTAGCAGTTATGTTACAGGAAAAATAGCAACTGATGCTCCCGATGAATCTATCAGTGCTCGATCCATTAAAATATTAAATAAAAACATTTATGCAACAAAGTATGACACTAAAATAGCACTTGACAGTGATAAGCTCCCAATCGCTTAGAATTGGCAATCAATATGTTTCACGTCTACTGTCATTTATCAAGTTCAACCAAAATGTTACAGTTATAGTAACAGCTATGTTGCCTAATGTAACCATGCACCATTCCCCAGTTTAATATGAAGCTGGCACTGTTCTCAGTGCCCCCAAATCAACTCCATTACATAGTTACATAGTTACATAGCTGAAAAGAGACTTGCGTCTGTGTCGAAACCAACGCCTGGTTGCTCGCCTGTTGCCCTTGCTTCTGCATTTGGTCATTTAACCGGATGTCTGTTCATTCAGTAGTTTAACCGTATGAACAGCATTAACCCAGATAACCATGCCATGGAGCCTATTTGTGTAACAAAACACTATGTGAAAGACTTTGGCTCCATGGCGATTGAACTGTATGTATGTGATCTGAGCGCCATCCGGTAATAATGTGCGCTCAGATCTAAGCTATCTGGGGATAGGTAGAATGTATATGTTTTGTGCAACAGTTGTAACTTTATACATTTTTATGTCTTTAATTGTCTTTTACTGCCATGTGGTTAATGGAGTTTTGCCTCTGTCCTGGGAGATAATTGGATTACTTCCCAATTATCTCCAGGACAGAGGGAGGGAAATTAGGATGCATTGTGGGGATGTTTTACCTCTGTATGTCTGTCATTGGTTCATGTCTGTCCTTTGTTACAGTCTCCCATTTGGTCCCCTAGTGGAGTGTCCACCCGCGTGGAGACCTGCATAAATACTGGGCAGGTAGCCCTCGATAGATCAGACCACTGCTTGACCCCCAACACGGAGCTCTGTCTCGTTTTTGGGGGGGATTGACTGTATGCTAATAGAGACTGATTGCCAGGAGTGTAAGCCGCTTGGGTGCTTTTCCTGTTCGTCTGCTAGCAGCTATTCGTGAGGTTCGAGTTCGGGAGTTTGGAGTGCTACTTTGTATGCAGTTCGGGAGTTTGAAGCATTCCCTTGTATGCAGTTCGGGAGTTTGGAGCATTCCCTTATATGCAGTTCGGGAGTTTGGTGTTCTGCAGTAGCTGTGCATGTATCTCTGGAAGGGGAAGATCTTCTAAACGGCGGTTTAACCTTTTATGCCTGGGGGTGCCGTTACAGTGTCAAGTTCAGCCTTCCTCACATATATTTTTGATCCAAAAAGAGGCAAAAAAACCCAGTCTGAAGCGCTTCCAATTTTGCAACAAACTAAGAAAAATTCCTTTTTGACCCCAAAATTGCAGACAGATGTCTCCTTGGATCAAGCAGCTATCACCCCACTAATTAGAAATTATATCCCTGTATGTTATGACATTGATAATGCAAAATGATCACTTCCACGAAATCAGTGTAAATTGCGGTTATCCTAGATCACATTGATTGGCTGGTAGAGCTGGACTCAGCAAGGGACTTTAAAAGCCCTATTCAAATTAAAGAAAATGAAAGTGCTTCAAATAAAAGTCATATATATTTGATATTCAATAGCCTGATCACGATCACAAAACAGTGATTCCAAACTGTAAAATTGCCATTTCCATTTTTATTTTCCTTTTATTCAGAAATGCTTAAAAACAAGAGACAACGAAAGAAAAAAAGAAGCTTAGTTTGAAAATCTGATTGTAATAAAAATGCTTTTTCAGCATTACAGATCATATCTTAGATACAGTAGACACACCTGTACAATGGAAACTTAGCTAATACCATTATAACCAGAAATGAGTGCAGATGCATGTTGAGGGAATGGTACATTTTGATAAATTTGCTTCATATACTGCATCCCATAATTCAGTGAGCACAGCATGCGAATGTACATGAAATGCATCACTGAAAGAATACTATAAAATATATCATGCACAGCATTGTGGGAAAGAGATGCCCAAATGTGCTTATTGGGAAAATATCTCTTTTAATACCTTTGACACACAACTAAAGCAATGACAAAATCACAGTTAAATAAAAAAAAAAAAAAAGATACCAATCTAAATAAATACATTTGAGACATATAGCACAACAAACACATGAGCAGAAAAAAATAAGCCAAATAAATCTTACTAAATAAAAAAAAGAGAAAAAGGATGACAATCATGTAGACCTGTTGCGAGTTTTTAGGATCGTTTCTTTAGAATATTTCTTGTTAATTTACAAATTTGTCTATCTGGTGTATATCAAGCCAGTTGATTCTAATACCCCGTGGTATCTAGCTCTCAGCTGGTAATTGGCTTTGGGCATTTATGATTGTTATACATACACTCAACAAAATTATAAAGGCAACACTTTTGTTTTTGCCCCCATTTTTCATGAGCTGAACTCAAAGATCTAAGACTTTTTCTATGTACACAAAAGGCCTATTTCTCTCAAATATTGTTCATAAATCTGTCTAAATCTGTGTTAGTGAGCACTTCTCCTTTTCCGAGATAATCCATCCACCTCACAGGTGTGGCATATCAAGATACTGATTAGACAGCATGAATATTGCACAGGCGTGCCTTAGGCTGGTCACAATAAAAGGCCACTCTAAAATGTGCAGTTTTATCACACATATATTTTTTTAAGAATATTGAAAAAAAAAGAAGAAAACAATAGAATTTCAAATGAGATATAAAAAGTCAAATTTTACAGCAATGTGGCTCTTATTTTGGCACTTTGTTAATAATCCTATATTTTTATTAGATTTTACTATGCTATATTTTTATCTCGATTTTTACTAGATTTCAATTAAAATGTGATATCCATAAATAGTTAATTTGGGCTTTTTACGGTTAATAAAAATGAATATATAAAATAGCTGAATTAATGTATTACTCAGTATCCTGATGAATATATTTAAAAATCAACTCAATGGGAAAAGGTGCTTTTTTACCTCATACGGAAAATGACCTGCAATTCCTAATTTTAACACTGTGTGTCGCTGTTGTCCAGTAAGGTGAAAATGCTACACATGGAGCTCAACTAGCGTGTACAATGTGCAGATTTTGCAGATTGTGGAAAGAACACTATATCTCATGCTGGATTTCTGGGTTCCCAATCTCTAAAAAGTAATTGGATTTTATATGCTTTCTTTACCATTTTCACTGGACCTAAAGGGGTTTACTTCAACACATCTAGCTGGATTGTGTCTTCTCACAATGGTTTCCCAGAAAATGCAAGGAAGGAAGGCTGAAAGGACAATGCTGTGGCAAGTAATCTGTTTTGTGTTATTTTGCTGTTATGATTCAGTCTCTGGTCAGCTTCATTACTCAATTCCTGAAGAGACAAAGAAAGACTTTTTGGTAGGAAACCTTGCTAAGGATTTGAGCTTAAATCTAAGAGAACTTTCAGAGAGAAAATTCCGCATTTCTTCTGTTTCTTCTGAGCATTTATTCAGTGTAAATGTAGAGAATGGTAACCTCCTTGTAGCAGATAGAATTGATAGAGAGACCATTTGTGAAATGGACACAAAATGTATTCTGAACCTTGAAGCTATAGTTGAAAATCCTTTACAAGTGTTCAGTATAAACGTTGAGATTCAAGATATAAATGATAACTCTCCAGTGTTTTCTAAAAATGTTGTCAATTTAGAAATTAGTGAATTCACACAACCTAGAACACGCTTTGTACTTGGAAATGCGCTTGATCCAGATATCGGGGTCAACTCCCTGCAAAGCTACAAGATCAGTAACAATTATTATTTTAAACTAGGACAAAAAACTAGTGCTGGTGGACAAAAATATCCAGAACTTATTTTAGAAAACCCCTTAGACCGTGAAAAGCAATCAGCTCTTGAAATAATTTTAACAGCTTCAGATGGAGGGAATCCTATCAAAACAGGAACAGCTGTTATCAAAATAGTTATTAGTGATATAAATGATAATGCCCCAACATTTCAGAAAGATCTATACCAGGTTAGCATAAATGAAAATGCACCAATTAATTCATTGGTTCTTCACTTGATTGCTACAGATGAAGATGAAGGAGTAAATGGACAAATTACATATTCCTTTAGCCGGATCACCAAGGTTGGTCAACATATTTTTGCAATAAATTCTCAAACAGGTGAAATAAAAACAAAAGGAGAACTGGATTTTGAGGCAACCAAAGGTTATGAAATGACTGTAGAAGCTGAGGATGGGGGAGGCCTGGTCTCCCACTGCAAAGTAGTCATAGAAATTATTGATGCAAATGACAATTCTCCTGAAATAATACTTACATCTGTATCTTACACACTATCAGAAGACTCACTGCCTGGCACTGTTATCGCTTTGGTTAACATTCGTGATTTAGATTCCGGTGGAAATGGTGATGTCTCCTGTCAACTTGTAGGTACCATACCTTTTGAACTCATATCATCATCTAATAACTACTATAGACTTCTTACTTCAAGTTCATTGGACAGAGAAGAAATTGATTCTTACAATATTACCATTAAAGCAACAGATAAAGGGTCTTCTCCTTTGAGTACCATGAAAACAATTAAGTTGGATGTATCTGATGTGAATGATAACGCACCTGTTTTTGAACAAACACAGTATGCCGTTTTTATTCCAGAAAACAAAGAATCGGGATCATCAATCTACAGGGTACAAGCAACTGATCTGGACACTCATGACAATGCCAAAGTCACTTATTCCATTGTTAATAAAAATATTGGAGATGCACCTGTATCAGCTTACATTTCCATTAATTCAATGACAGGTGTTCTTTATGCACAGCGACAATTTGACTATGAACAATTAAGGGAGTTTGAGATCCAAATCACAGCTAAAGATAATGGTTCACCTTCTCTGCATAGCAACATCACCATGAAAATATGTATAACAGATCAAAATGATAATGCTCCTAAAATTCTGTACCCTTCTACGGGTTTTGATGGGTCAGCTTTGTTTGAGATAGTTCCATATTCTGCAAATAAAGGATACTTGGTCACTAAAGTAGTGGCTGTGGATGCAGATTCTGGACATAATGCATGGCTCTCATACAAATTTCTGCAGGTTCCAGAAAATTTTCACTTCACCATTGGCAAGCATAGTGGTGAAATCAGAACATCACATGCATTTCAATACAAAGAATCGCTGAAGCACAAAGTTGTGGTCTTGGTGAACGATAATGGAAATCCATCACTTTCTTCCACAGTAGCACTAAACTTGGTTGTCGCAGAAAATATGCAACAGGAGGTCTCTGAAATGAATAATCAGTCCCAGACCTCAAATTCACAATCTAATTTAAACATTTACTTAGTTATAGGATTAGCGCTGATTTCATTTTTATTCACTCTAACCGTGATGCTTGCAATTATATTAAGGTGTCGGAAATCTAGACACCCCAAGACATTTGGGCACCTGTCAGCAGATATGTATTCACAAGTTGGGCCTAGATTTCCATCTAATTATAATAATGGCACCATGACCCTTCCATACACATATGATGTCTGTGTATCTCTGGATTCCACTGAAAATGAATTTGCATTTCTTAAACCTGCTCAGAATGTTCCAACAGATAATCTTATTGGCACAAATGATTCAGGCATTGGAATTAGTTCTTTAAATGACATTTCAACAACTGATTTGAATACACAGGTGAGATATTTGTTTTCAATGTAAAAAAGCAAACATTAAATTACTAATATGATTTCCACAGCATGCTATACCAATGCCCGATGGATACAAGTAAAACATTGTTGAAAATGTATATGGGTGATAATATGAAGGTCTGTATAAATCTCTAAAATGCAAAGTGTCATAAATAATCTCAAAATTGGACTGGAGATTGCCCTTCAGGTATGCTAAATGCAATTTGGACATACATTTGTTTTGTGGATTAAAATATTAAGCTAGCATTTTAGAAGTGAAGTTTATGGGAGACCCTATGCCTACACATTTTTTGAGCATTGAAGTATTTTTTTGTTGAGCTCAGGTGTTCCTTATCATCAGTTTGTTACACTATTCATGTCATAGGACAAGCTTTTGCTGGCATTTGAAAAATAAAGGAATGTGAGTTTAGGTTCTGCTAATAGTATATTTTTGTAATTGTACAGATGTATATAGTATTTGCAGTTGCTGTTTAGACACTTAGTATGCTGTAAGGGATGACACATTTATAAGGGAGGAGCAAATGGGTATATAAGCGCTGGAATAGGAGGGAGCCTGAAACATGGAAAATGGAAATATAAAGCAGCCAGAAGCTCACTCATGATAAATATGGTGTTAATGGCCTTAGGGGCCCCATCCAAACAACCTTTCAGCTCTGGAACTGAGGTCTTCATTCTAGAACACTATAGTGTCTTGATCACGGTCAAATCAGATTAAGAGGTATTTGCGGCTGCTTTTTAACACTGTGTGCTCTATTCAAATTAGAGTCAATTTGTGCATGTGATTATATATTTAAAATTTTAGAATTATTATTAAATATATATATACATATATTTATATTTATAATTTTGAAATTAAAATTTCGACATGTATTAAAGGAACAATATACAAAACTGTAATTCCTAACTCTATGGTATACCCCTGTCCCTAACTTTAGGTACCCCTCACCACGGCATGATGTAAGGGATAAAAAACCTTTTTAACATTTCCCTTAATTACATCTTTTAGATCACTCTGCGTGGGCTCGGTCTCCTCCTCATGCCGATAAAGGACCTAATGTGCATGCGCGCAAAGTGCCACCCTCATTACAGTTACCCCATAGAAATGCTATCCTTGGGTATTTTAAACTCCTGCATGAGGATGCTGAACATCGTTAATTGTTAAATTTAGTGAGAATCCAGAAAGACAGCCACTAGAGGTTGTCTGAACACTGCTATATTATCCCTTAAGGGGATAATGGGACTTCACTTAGTCCACTTTAATGAGATGAAGTGGTCGGGTACCTATAGGTGAAAAGATAAACACTTGATTTAATTCCGGTGTTATTAATGTTTACACTCGGCTATTTAATTTTGTTTATTACAAATACACATATATACATACATAGGCCAGCAGGCTCAGAATGGCCATCTGGCAATCCGGGCAAATGGTCAGTGGACCACAAAAGCAATGAGCCGAGGCCGACAGGGGAGATCCATGCAGAGTCGGCCTTGCTGTCTTGCGTTCTCGGGCGAGTACTTTGTAAGAGAGTAAGGGAAGGAAGACCCTGGAGGCTGAATGTTGGCAGCTGGGAGCATTTCTTTCCATTACCACAGCAATGCTCCAACATAGTGCTGAGCTCTCATGAGGAGTGAACTCTGCCTGCAGCTGGAGGAGCTGCAGGAGTCTACCACCACCACCAGACCACCATGGCTTGTAATGTAACCCCAAGGGCAAAAGGATTGCTTTGGCTCCTTAGCAGATCTTGTTAATTTGGGCACCATCCAAGCCACCATGACTCTATTGGTTTGTGTTACTCTCATTGTATTGAGGTGGGCAGGGTATATATCATTAGATGTGTAAATATATATATAATTTTAATTTACTGTATGTTATATGTTGGTGGGGTATATGCCTATTTTAATAGAAGATTCAATCCATACAAGAAAACTGTTTGGGTTTTAATTATAGAAATACTCTAGAGCCCTAAAGCATTTTAGCTTGCTGAAGTGTTTTATGTGTTATGTGTTTTCATTTTACAAAACGTGTTATATGTGTTATGTGTTTTCATTTTACAAAAATTGCAGACTTTAATAGAAATTGCCACTTTTATAAATGAACCTTGTTATAACCCCTGGCTGTCAATCTGACAACTGGTCCTATTTCTTCCTGGTTGGTTAGTTCAGTGGAGCTAAACTCAAGAGGCAGCAATTGTTCAGAGCATCTGCCTTATAAAGACTTCTCATTGAGCTGCATTGGGAAGTCTGTGATTGGACAGCCACAAAAAGCCTGAGTTGGTTTAGAAGGGAAGGACTGGCAAAGGCAGCACACAAGAGATCTACAGCTTTTGCATACTGTTTTTAAATATACTCCCCTCCTGTTCCCCCCCTCCCCTCATTAAAAAAAAAAAATGCATAATGAAATGCATGCATGCTTTCTTTGAGGTATACAGTGATTTTGTTTTATTATTATGTAATGTAATGTATTTTAGGCATCAGAGTGTTCCCTTAATTAAAAATAACTTATGACATTTCTTTATTTATTATTTATTCTAGCATCTATATGTATAGGTTTAAAATGCATACATATAAGTGAATACTTTTTCAGTCCATATTCTGGTTTGCTCTTCCTACATATGGATGACTGTTGTTAAGTCCACCTTTTGTAAGGAACACCCCTTATCTGACCAAAGCTCATGAAGATAAACAAGAGCTAATGCTGATTTCCTAGTTCATGATGTGCAAGTTCTAGTCATCTAAAAATACAGACTGCGCCAGTTTCAAGTGTTCAAATTTACATTGTCATCATTTAGATATGATGCTTAAAGGAACACTATAGGGTCAGGAACACAAACATGTATTCCTGACCCTATAGTGTTAAACCCACCAACTAGGTGGCTTGCCTACCCTCAGACCCCTTAAAAGGAATTAAAACTCACCTTATTTCCAGCTCCGCTCAGGCCCGCCGACCCCGCTGACCCCGCCCTGATGTGAATTTAGCCAATCGACAAGGAGGCAGGATGGGGGCGGGGACAAATTATGTTCATTTGTGAAGTGCCAATCAGCTCTTCTTCATGGAAGAATCAATGCATCTCTATGAGGAAAATTCAGCAGAGCATGGAGACACTGAACGGCAGTGCTGCTTACTGGGCAGCACTGCCCCAGGAAGCACCTCCAGTGGCCATCAGAGGAGTAGCCACTTGAAGGTGTCCCTAAGGGCAATATAAATGCTCCCTTTTCTCTGAAAAGGCAGTGTTTGCATGAAAATGTGTAAAGGCAATGATTATACTCACCAGAACAACTACATTAAGCTGTAGTTGTTCTGGTGACTATAGTATCCCTTTAAGCTCTTAGATATATTAGAGATTTCCCCATTGACCAAGAATACAGCCTGAAAAGAAGATGTATGCATTACAAAATTGTTATTATTATTATCATTTACATGGCGCCAACATATTCCGCAGCGCTTTACAGTTATATGATGGGGATATTTAGAGGTGAAGAAGGACTTGTACAAGCAAGCTTATAATCTACGAGGATTTGAGTGAGGCGGATATATATTGTTAGGCTTCTTGCCCATGGATACTTACTGGTGGGATGGTCAGACTGGGATTTGTACCAGGATTTCTCAAAGGGGCTGTATCTTAAAGTGTTTTCAAGATTCTGTATATCTAAGCAATATAAAAAAAACTGATAAATTTAATAAAGAATGGCAATGGATTGGATGGATGGATGGATTTTGTTAGATTTGAAGATTCGTTTTGGTCTAAAATGCAATTCATCGAATTTGGTTTGATCTGGTGATCGGTCAAATTCACGAAATGTAGCCAAAATATTAGCCAAATTAGCCGTGCAATAGCTGAACTTTACTTTGATTCATGATTCTGAATTCTCCCTGTGGCAGCAAAAAAAGATGATTGATGGGAAAAAAGATGATTGATGGCTGTCACTAACTGTTGATTTTATTCACAGATAAATTGAGAGGTAAGAGGTAAACAAAAGGAGCTGAAAAACAAATCAATTTTTATATATTATTTAATGAAATAAGATTTGTTTTACTGTTTTTCCTTCTATGGGTTACTTTTCTCATTGATACGTGACCTAAATGGTGAGAATATGCTCCTATCAGTGTACTGCTAAATATATATATATATATATATATATATATATATATATATAAATAGAGAATTGTGAAAAGCACTCCAAGGACTTTGTATATGGTGAAAAAATCAACTTAGCTTTATTCAGCAACCACCAACTGTGATCAACGTTTGAGCTCACACATGGAGCTTTCGTCAGGATCTCCATGTGTGAGCTGAAACGTTGATCACAGTTGGTGGTTGCTGAATAAAGCTAAGTTGATTTTTTCACCATATACAAAGTCCTTGGAGTGCTTTTCACAATTCTCTATTTATCATTTGTGCCGATTAGCACCGGGCTATATTTGTTGTTGTACAGGAGTGCAAGCATTGGACAATTTTATATATATATATATATATATATATATATATACACACACAATACTATACTATGTATATATTTTGCAGTACACTGATTGGCCCATTTTTGTGTCCTTTTGGTTTGTCTTATTCATTTTACCAAACCAAACTGATATAAAGCCAAAATTGGGGGGTCCTAGAAAATTGTTTGGCCAAACCAAATTTTCCCATCGTGCAAAAGTCCAGATTATTCTATACATGATGTATGCCACATAATCTTCGTTTAGGGCACGCAGCAGTGCTTTTCCTCGTGTCAAAATAGGAATTTCTTTTGCAAGTGCATTAGGATGAGGACCTAAAGGTCAATAAAGTGGTAAAGTAGAAGAAAAAACAGCTACATTTAGCGCAGGCGATGCTGATACAATTATATTTGTCTCTGAAACCAAATTAGATATTTAGGAAATGTGGAAAAATTGTTTTACTAATTTCTATATTAATTATATTAATGCAAAGAGCACTTCTGCCAAAGTTGGACCTAATCTCGATTTTATCTAACTAATTACATAACTGCATATACAAGGATAAATATGTGGCCATTCCCCTGCACGCCCTGTGACAGTTCCAACACAGGTCTGATTTAGTAACAAGTATCGCTTGAAAAAACTGGAGGGAGTGTTGTTATCTTCTCAAACTGTAATTTAAAGCAAGCATAGTGTAGCATGATAGAATTAAATATAGTTAGCGTTAGCAATCACTATTCAGTTCACCTGCCCATTTTCCTAATGACTTTACAGTTTATGCATCCAAGTGCCTAATTATGTTACTCTGTGCAACATTTTTCACTAAAAAACTAACTTATCATTGAATTTACTTTGAATTTTCAGCAATTTACACTTTAGCAAGTTCAAGAGTTTGCCGTAAACACAAAAAGTAATAATTAAACATAAAAATCAAAACGCGTAATTGTTCGCAGATTTTATTAGTGAAAAGGTGATCGGTTTTGTATTTTAGTATATTAATGACAGGTAATGTAATAAAATAAAATTAGATTTATGAGTTGTACTTTTTAATAGTTCACATTACTGTTATACATTATTTTCATTTTAACTGAATATATAAGATAGGGGAAATGGAAACTGTGTGCTTATTCTTGAAAATATACAACTTGCTTTCTTATCTGAGAACATTTTGAAGCTATTTCCAGGTTTATTGTAATGTTGAATAGACATCCATCATGCAGTCATTAGGTTTCGAGTTAAATGTTGGTGAGAAAAAACAGCATAGACATGCAGAAAATCTCACAAAGAGAGTTCTTCACTTAAGTGATACTTGTCAAAAATTCAAAGTTAAATTCAAATTTAAGACAAAAATAGCTGAAATGAAAAAACAATCTCTTAAATTTGAAATTTACTTTTGATTCAACAACTTCAAATTTACTGAATAACCTTGAAAATATTATTGAAACTATTAAAACATGATCAATGAGCATTACTCTGTATTCCACACCAAACACCAGAAAAACAAATAATAACTTTACACCTGGCACCTCATGATAATGATTCTGAGATTTAAAACTATGGACTCCCCATAGAAAACTATGACATTTGACAGATACACTCTTGATTTTTTTTAAAGGTATTTTTTTTTTTTTATGTAACCTTGCTAAATATTGCATAGCACAGATGTTCCAAGCCTTGTAAGGATAATCATTTAATACATATTAAAATTATACAGTGAGCCTTGCACGAATCTTTCAATGACACTCTTTAATTGAATTCGCTTGTGAAGATGAAAACAGTACATAGACAAAATGATTTATCGCAAACAAGATTATCCCACTGTTGAATAAGATACTAACATAGAAGGAAAGGAAAATAAGAAAATTTATTGAATATGTATGTGGTGGTAATTTGCATTATTTATATAGGAAGCATATAGATGTGTTTCTTTTTATTTTGATTAATGTAATGAATGCCATTTTATATTGAGAGGGAGGCAGTTATAAAATCAGAGTTGGTTATTAAAATTAAAATAAAATAATGAATATGTTTTCCTTAAACAGAGAAGATTCACTTACTAGTTAATACATAAATCAAATATGTGTTTAAAAAAAAAAAAGCTGAAATCATGAATATCAACAGGGATCGTACAGTACACTATAAAGTGTGTAATATAACCAAAGTCTCTAATAAAGAGGAATGTTTTGCACCCTTAAGTACTTTTTCCTGGAGTCTTCTATTCACAGATGGTTTTTTTTTTTTTGGGGGGGGGGGAGAGAGGGAAGCAGGGTTGTTCAGACTTCTTGAAGTTACTAATTCTGTTTTAGAATGCTGGACATGACTCCATAATAGAGATGTTTATATCATGCATGCATTGTTCTATGTATTTCCATGCTAATATCTATGTTGTAAGCATTTCTTAGCTGTGATGCATTAATGGTACTTCTTTATGTATTACTGATACGTCTGTTGGAGGAGCAAATATTCACTTTTTGATGTATTATTTTAATAAACATATTTGATTTGATATAGATACTATTATTATTTACCAGTTAGTCACCTGTAGTATTTGAGGTTTTGCTGCAAGTATTAAACAGCTGGTTTACTAACTTTTATCAGTATTAAAAGTTAATGCAATTTAGACTGACTTTTATATTAGATTTTAGTTTAATTTTAATAATATTTTTGTACTTTCTTGTAAATGCATATTTGATAGTGGTCATAGATGTTCTGGTAAATGTATGGGTGGAAGTATATGAGATGAGGTTTCATTTTCCACCACTAGATGGCACTGTGTTTTCTTCTCACAGTTATTTTTCAGTGAATGCGTTTTTATGATGCTGTGTATCTGACTCTAAGGTAATGAGTTCACAAGCCCAAGTCTTGCAGACACACCGGAGTAGACAGACCAGTTTTGCTCTGTGCTGCTTAGTTTGTATCCATTTGTTGCTAGAATAGGCCTATGAGAGAAGCCTTTTATTTTATTATATGCTCTACAATTTTTAGTTTGTGAAAGATGAATTCAAGAAGAAACCAAAAGACCTGGAAATTGCAAGTAATCTGTTTATTTTTTATTCAAAATTGGGCATTAATAACGGCACAGTTTAGGTATTCTTTAATTGAAGAAACAGAGCCTGGAACAATCGTAGGAAATGTTGTTCAGGATCTAGAATTAAACACTGCAATGATCGCTCAACGTGGGTTGCAATTGGGATCTAAACAAAGCAGTGATTATTTTGTACTGAATCCAGAGAGTGGAGAACTCACTGTTAAAAATAAGATAGATAGAGAAAATTTATGTGGATCTAGTCTAAGCTGTCTGTTAATGGTGGAAATTGTTGTTGAAAAGCCTTTGGAGCTATTTCGTTTGGAGGTGGATATACTTGATAAGAATGACAACGCCCCTGTTTTTCATAACACTGAGCGCCTGATCAGGATTACAGAACTAGCTGCAGTAGGAACATATTTTCCTCTTGAAAGAGCCCATGACCCTGATGTGGGTATTAATGCAGTTAACTTATACAAATTAAGTGGCAATAGTTATTTTTCTCTAAAAGTACAAAATCGCAAAGATGACAAACCTTTTCCTATGCTGGTTTTAGCAAAGCCCCTTGACAGAGAGCAAGAAGATTTACATCAACTAATCTTGACTGCCATTGATGGTGGAAATCCTGCCAGAACTGGGACAATTTTAATTTCTGTCAAAGTTCTAGACAGCAATGACAATGCTCCTGTCTTTGACCAAGCAGTATACAAAATTAGCCTGAAAGAAAATACTCAGCTTAACTCTGTAGTAATAAAACTAAATGCAACAGATATTGATGAAGGACCAAATGGAGAAATTAGTTATTACTTTGAAGATCACTTTTCAGAGACAGTTACCAACATTTTCAGCTTGGATCACCAGACAGGTGAGATACGAGTCCAAGGGAATGTGGATTTTGAAGAGCACAGTTCATATGAAATAACAGTTAAGGCCATTGATCATGGAGTACCAGAGATGGAAGGACATTGTCTTATCCAACTGCATATAGTGGATATAAATGATAATGCACCTGAAATTCTACTTTCTTCTTTAGTGACCTCTATTCCTGAGGATACACCCATTGGTTCAACTGTGGGGCTTATAAGAATTAAAGACGAAGATAGTGGTGAAAATGGAGAAGTGCACTTACAAATATCCCCAAACATTCCATTTGCCATCAAATTGGTCCAAAACCATTATTCCTTCATCACAGATGGATTGTTGGACAGAGAACATAACAGCCAGTACATAATTGAGATGACGGCAGTAGATTTGGGGACACCACAGCTTTATACAAAGACAAGAATATGCATAAACATCACAGATATCAATGATAACCCTCCAACATTTGACCAAAAAAATATTAAGGTTTCTATACAAGAAAATAATAAACCAGGTGCTGCACTTGGTACCGTCTCTGCGTTTGACAAAGATGATGGAGAAAATGCTCATATCACATATTACATAAATAACAGCCTTATTGCAGGCTCCCCAGTGCAGTCTTTTATTTACCTGGATTCTAAAACTGGTGACTTTTATGCTCAGCAATCCTTTGATTATGAACATGTTCAAGTTTTAGAATTTGCGATAGTAGCAGAAGATTCTGGATCTCCAATGCTCTGTTCCAACATTACAGTCTATTTATACATTTTAGATAAAAATGATAATGAGCCTCTTATATTACATCCAGGAAATTCATCAGAGCTCCAATCTCAACAATTTATCCCTAAATCTCTTTCAAAAGATTCATTAGTGTCCAAGATCATAGCAATCGATAGGGATTCTGGGTATAATGCACATCTTTCATATAGTATAGTCAAAGCAACAGATCTCTCATTATTTAAAATAACTATGCACTCAGGGGAAATAAAAATGGCCAGAAGATTTGAAAGCACAGATTTGCCTTTGCAAAGCCTACATATTTTGGTTAAAGATAACGGAAACCCTCCATTGTCATCCACAGCTATGTTACTTGTTTCTTTGGAGGACAACATTTTCAAAGATAGTTTATATACTAACGATCATGTTGCAAAGTCCACACCTGACTTAACAATATATTTAATGATTTCACTTGCTGCAGTTAGTGTAGTGTCATTGGTTTCATTTATCCTACTACTGACAAAATGCCTTAGAAAGAAAAATAAAATGGATGAGTCTGAACGTGATGTCTTAAGACAATTAACATCTACTCAATATTTAGGACATACACGCAAAATGTTGCAGTGGGACCCTAATGGAACTATGACGTATGTGGAGGTCTCCACAAGTCCAGCAGATCAGCAAAATCAGTTGTGTGAGACATATTATTCAGACATCAACAAGGGTACCTTAAATTTTATGAAGTCATTGAATTTTCCTCAATTAAAAGAATTGGTCAATGGAACTCAAACATTGTCTGGGCATGCTGGTCAAAATGAATCTACACAGGTGAAATAGTAAAGTATTCTTTTTGTTTATGAGAGGTATATTGTAGCTGTTTTCTTGTGTTGCATATTAGGTTAAAACATTTTGGAGTTTTTTCAGTGAACTAGAAGTGGTGGGGAATTGACAAATCTATTTAAAACATTTAGTCCACACATTTTCAAACTGGATACATTTTCCAACAGAGTTAATTGTACAATTTGGCTTTTTCAGCCTAAAACATGTAATTCCACTGTCAGTCTTCCACAATTCCCAGTTTAGTGAGTAAAGCTCTATGTTTTCTTGATCACCATAGTTTTGGTACAGTACCTAGATCCCTTGCAACATCCACCTGGTTGCATTGCTTATTTATTTCCTCCTTTCAATCCTTCAAGTTGCCATATTTGCATCGGGGTGATGTCTCATACCTGCTTGCCAGAAAGTATCACTTGGACTTCATGCATCTACTTGCATCATTTGTTCACATGCATATTTGAACCTTTTGCTGTCATAGTAATGATGCCAGTATTTGATTTTAGAAATATACATGTCATTTAGACCACTATGTCCTAACATGGTCTTAGCTTCTTGTGGCCTTTATCCTTTTGCTATTGCTTTTGCATGTTTTACAGTTTGGCACTAACTTGTTTTCATGGTTCTGAATATCCGTTGTTTCAGACCTGGCTAGTATTTTATTGTTATGATTTTCGGTGTCCTGACCTTGGCAAATTATTGGGTTTCAGTTATGTGAAAACATATAACTATTGATTATCAGATTTATGATATTGACATACATAAGACATTTATCCATTTGGTTTTCAACACCATTTAATGAGTTTGAAATTATCCTTATCCAGCAGAAGGCAGTAGTTTTCATTCACTGGTGCTACAAATAATACTTCCAACTGGTGAGAAGATAGAGTATCATAAGTTGCCCAAAATTCCATTAATCTTTACCTTATTTATCACTTTAATTAGTAGCAGTTACCCATAGTTACTTTTTACACCAATAACAATATGCTTGAGAATCACTTACATAAATATGTTTATCTTTGGTAACATTTTACCACCAAACACAGAATGCACACTAAAAGTAACAGATAAGTAAAATGTATGTACAATTTATTTTCCAATAAGCCTGAATAAAAATAGTATTTATACCTAATCACATTTTCTAAAATGAGTGTAAGATGTGAATGCTTTCAAGTGAAGATGTGTATCTAGCGTTATTTAGCCATAGTGCAACAATCGTGTAATAAAGCATGTGACAAAATCCTTCATAACAGAATTTCCAGTAAGTGATATCTAAGGCCTATCTCCTAGGAATTATACCCAAAAGCAAATGTCATCTCCTTTTCCACTACTTTCTGCACTGGGTCAGATGTCCATAAATAATAAAGAACATCTTTATATATTGTTTATTACTACTATGTACCATGGAATGTCCGTTATTAGTATTTAGATTGATTTTTAAAGCATTAACATACATGAGTAGTGGAAAGTGCATAGTGAATGTGTTGACTTTTAAAATATACTGATTGTTTATAATAGCTTCCATGCTAAAATAATAATGTTACACAGCACATTCATGTTTTATGTATCTATATGATTGTTTTAAACATTAAAGGACCTTTATAGTGCCAGGAAAACAAACTCATTTTCCTGGCACTATGTAGTCCTTAGGTCCCCTCCACCCTCACTGCACCCGTCCCGCTGAGCTAAATGGGTTAGAACCCCTGTGAGACAGCCACTAGAGGCTGGACTAATCCCCAGTGAGACAGCCACTAGAGGCTGGACTAACCCTGCATTGTAAAACTGCTATGTTTTCAGCTGCAAGGTTAAAACTAGAGGGACCTGGCACCCAGACCACTTCATTGAGCTGAAGTAGTCTGGGTGCCTATAGTGGTCCTTTAAACAGAAAGATGATAACTTGATTTTATTATCTGAAAATGGTACTGATAACTAATGTTATTACTCAATTAACTTAAATACCAAAGTTGTAACATTAATGCTATTTTACACATTCCGCACCAATGTTTTTATGTAAATAGTTTTATTCTTTAACCTACAGAAGTCTCAAACAATTCCTGTTCGTATCACTTTTCAACCAATGATAAAAAATTATGATTAAAGAACAATTTGTAATTTCCTAGAAACAAGGACTTTGTGTGAAAACATCTTGTCTCATAAAGGACAGAATGATAATTATTTTTGGTAATATTTTAACACATATAATGGAAGCAGACTGTACTATGTAATCAGTTTTCCTTGCTAAATGATTAGACTAATATTTAAAGGAATATTCTCAGAACAAAACAATGTTTATTGAAGTGGTTTTGGTGTATATATCCTGTCCCTGCAGTCTCATTGCTCAGTTTTCTCAGAGGTTACATTACTGTGTATACACAGCCCTAGCCACACTTCCCATGGCTAAGACTTACAGTCTCCCTTCACACTTCCTGAAAATATACCTCTTAAGACTGGGAGAATGCAAATCGGGATGGGTGGTGGGCCTGAACCCACTGTTGCTTGTCCACTGAAGGGCTGAAGGAGCCTGCTTCTCTGGCCCCTAGCCTGCAGGAGCTTCTGAGAGCACTGCAAAGCACATGCACAGTGCAGTGCTTAATGACAGTTCCCTGGTAAACCCAGATGCGGGAATTAAATTGGGATGGCAGGACAGGACCCTGAAATCGGGACTGTTGGGGGGCCTGCTGAAAAGATCATTTTTTTAGCTTCTTTTATTGCACAGTGTATTTCATTTAGATTTCTGTGAACTGCCTGTTATAGCCTACAGCAGCCTCCTGTGTATGATTAATGTTCAATTAATAGAACCCTTAATAGAACACTTCAAAATAAAGTACAATTTGCTGTAGAATAAAAATGTTTTTTACTGAAGCTGTGTGAGTCACAGAGTTAATGTGGCCAAGGCTCTATACGCAAAGTAATTAAACTCATAAAAAAAGAGAACTATGCACAAAAACTGTTTTGTTAAGCTAAAGGTGTTTTGGGGTTTAGAGTATCCCTTTAAGTGCATTATCATTGCAACCATATTTGATTACTCGTCTGTAGTTAAATCCTGCTACCCATAGTTTATATATTTACATCATTACTGAACAATAGTAGGATTCCTTACTAACATACATAGAGCAGGAGTTTGGTGTACTTTTGAACAAGCTGGAAAACTCAGCACTGATCAATCCATAGTAGCACATTTTTTGTACATTATTGCCATTATAATATGTGCATAGTTCTCAAATTCCATATCGCCCATCAATTGGGACAGGGCCCTGAGGGGCGTCAATAGCGATGCCCTACTATTTTAGGACCATGCAGGGAACTCTACCAAAGTGCTTCCTGCATGGTCCTAGTTCCTGTTGCACAGAGTGAGCGCATCTAATGACATGCTCGTGCCGTGCTGTCTGGGGACAGTTCCGTGGTGTCCACACCCCGATGCGAGACACAAGGGAAATAAAGCGGGGCCATGGAACAGGACTCTAAAAGCATGACTGTCCCACCAAAAAAAGACTTGTGGGAGTCCTGACTTGGTATACACTAGACAGCACTAGACCCAGTCCTCAAGTACCCCCTATTAGTGCAGGATTTAGGGTTTACCCTGTTTTGTCTAAGGCTTTTTTCTTTCTAAAAATACCTTAAACACAACTGGGTATTCCCTAAATCCTGGACTGCTAGGGTATACTTGAGGACTGGGTTGGGAACCACTGCTCTAGAATATAAGCACGTTTGAGCAGGGCCCTCAACGCCCTCTGCTCCTGTTCATAGTTTGGTTTTACTGCTGATGAGTGTCTGGGGCCTCCATAAGACACAAGGTTCTCCTTTTTTGAACTTTTTAATTTTTATTAAAAATAGCGCTGATGTCACTTTTGGTTCTTCGGATCCAGTCCATGATGGCTCTAACACATGAATGGCAGTTTCTGGTTTATGTAATGTTTGATATTCACTACTCTAAGATTGTGCCTTCATTATTAATTGTGCCTTCATAATTATTGTATTAGTATTGTATTAGAAGTGTGTATGTATGTATATATGTGTATATATATATATATTCACTTGTTTTTTGTGGCCTGAGAAAGGCTCTTGTTTGTGCCAAAATGCTGCCTATTTCTCTCATGGATCTATGTGACATCTTTTGTTATTTTGATCTATTATTAGGGTCTTGGAGTCACCCTAGTTTGCATTGTACCATAGCTTTTAAATTCATTTTTTCGAATAGTGAGAGCCGGTCCTGTTAATTGTTGGAAGCCTGACTTTGTTAAATATAAAATCAGGAGGGGGAAGGAGTAAGAGGGGCAGGGGTTGCCAGTTGGGAACCACGGACAATGTGCCAGCCTATAAAAAGGTCGTGCCATGACCCGTATACTGCCAATATAGTGAGTGCATTCAGAGCATCCCAAGGGCTAGGTACACTCAAAGCTGCCAATATAGTGAGTCCTGCTGAAGCACTTCAATACGAGCTTTGATACCCTGAAACAAATCCAAACTATTAATCATCCGTTCACACTGCACTCTCTCAGTCCTACATCAGAGGACAGAGCCAGTCTGTTTGTTGAGGGGAAATCCTGAATCACACAAGAACACTGTGTGACTTGGCAGGTCCTATGTACATTGTATTTATTATGATGCTAGCATATTATTTAGTTCACATTGGTGATAATATAAGTTGACCAGATCTTGATGCACTGTATTATCTTTTATGGGGAGAGGGAGTGTTTGTTCTTTTTTACTTCTGTTCATTTTCAATAACTTCTATACCATTGCAATTCTTCATTCATTTGAAGCCAATCTCTTCAAATGAATGAAAATCTGGTGAAAATCTCAAATCTAAACTGTTTCAGATTTGTAAAGTTTAAGATGTTATTTTTGTCACATATTTCACAGGGTGAAAATAACCAACAACAAAAACAGTTTAATTGAGACTGTTGAAGATCTAAAATAAATGTTAAGTAATGGTACACCTCATATTTGCGTGGGGTCATTATGGATTATTGTGAACTAAGTCATGTATCTGGTTTTGTTTGTAAAATACAAATTACAGCAAAGCTATACTACAAAAAGGAACAAATAATATAATGTTTTCTGCACCGATAGGGTTAATGGGTATAATTGGATATTACAAGCTCCCTCACTGCGTTTCTTAATTAAATTTAGAAACTGATAGAAAATATGTCTACACTTGCCCTGGTATGGTCATTTATTTTAATTACGTACAATGTCAACATTTACTTTCTGATTATTTTAAGTTGATGTGCTAATTGGATATGTCATAGGAAATATTTTGTTACTAAACTGGCTTTTGCATACGCATTTGTGTATTGAATCCTTTCAAGCATGCAGATAAATTAGTTTTAATCCAATATATGTAGTATATTAAAAACTCATTCACCCTCTTTATATGCTAGAAGTTGGAAGTGTGAGAGACAGAACTACAAAAACTATAAAGAAAATACAAAGATATCAGGAGCTTTAATATTTAATGCTACCTGCTAAGACACCTAAGTGTTCTTCATTCAAGCAAGCTACCAACCTCAATGTGTGGGCTGTATGCATTCTAATGCACCAATGTGTAGGAGCATTAAATTAGATGTTTCATTGATCCACTATGTCTATAAAGTTGTCACCTGGTCTTGGATCACTGTTTAGAATAAATAATCTGTTGCTATAGCTGGGCTACACTAAGTTAGCTACATGTTTTCATTGATGTAATAAATACACATTGTACAATTTTCATTATGAACTCGGTTTACTGTGTTCTATGTGATCACATCACCAGGCCCAGATTTTTGCCAACAACAGTAAAGGTGGGGACCAATAATGTGACTTTGTCCTCATGAAAGGCAGGTGGGACAGAAAGAGTCCTTAAGAAGAAAGGGTTCTGAGAGAGACATTTGATTCCAGAGATATGTTTTATTTTGTAGTTTATGGTGCTATGTCATTAAATGCCATTATACTATAATAACACATCAAAATAATTACATAACATTCAATCAAATGTGTTCTTTAGTTTTCAATTTAGATTTCTATTTTTATTGTTCTCTGTAATATTGCGATACATTGTTTGAAATTGCGGAAACTAACTTTGCTTTATGACATACTTATGTTCAAATATGGTGAATGATTGGAATTGTAGTTGTTTTCTTCCTCAAAAGCTGGGGGATTGGACAGTTCAACAAATCTAAACACAAAGTAGATTTATGTCCAAATGGCATGTACATTGATATTTGTTTTATATAGGCAGTATTTTGTATGCTCTCTGAACATTTCAGAATAAATATCTAATATGGATTATTTGATTTAATAATCAATGAACATCAATTAAAAACACCATTCTGTTTCTTTCAGCAGGCTCAACCTAACACAGACTGGCGATTTTCACAGGCTCAAAGACCAGGACCCAGTGGGTAAGTCACATGAGATTTTATGTTTTTTTTTAATGTTTTTATTTTAATTTTGTTTTATTTGTAATAGTAGCAGAGTCATCTGTTACAAATGTATTGTTACAAAAAAGGGACATGCAACACATTTTTTTTTAATTTTTTTTTTTTTTTTTTTAAACCTGCAAGGAAAACACTTTTAAACAAATATAAAAGCTAAAGTAAAGCAAGAAAAGTTTGAGAAGTATGTAAAATAAAGTTTTTAAAACTTTCTATAAACTTTGTCAGGTTATATAATCTAGCACGCCTCTGAGCTGGGGAGATATTCTTCAGCCTCCCCCGTGCCTCTTACCTGCCTCTCGTCAGCCCACTATTCTTATTTTCACATGAACTGTGCATGGGAAAGTATGTGCACAGTGATGACTTTTGCAAACAAAAAAACCAAAGGATGCTGAGATTCAGGAATCCAGTGTACTTACTCACTAAATATTCTCATGAATCCTATGTATAATCATATGCTGTTACTAAATTCCCATTATTTTCGCCTTAGTAAGGTGTTTTAAAATGTTTTAAATTGTGTGAGCTATGAAGTTGCTATTTAGTGAGTGAGTATGCTGGATCTTATATATTGTATGAATTGACCTCAGTAGCACCCTGCGAAATATAATATACAGATATATACAGAGGCCTGATTAACCCCATCCAGGGCCGGATTAACATAGGAATAGGCCCATTGTTTAAAAAAAAAAAAGATTGTTTTTTTACTACTCTTCACGTGTTCTTGTTTAAGTATGGAAACTTAAAAGGGATGTAGAGGAACAAAACTTATGTTTATAAACTGGCTGACAATGGAATTAGTTAAGGTAAAGTTGTGCACTATGCAAAAGCTCTTGCTGCTTCAGTCTCTCTAATACTGTAACATGTCCCCTTTCTTCTACACTCACTACATACACCTTTCCTCTGTCCCAGACTGTATAACAGGAACTTCTGCCTGCTAGTAAGGAGAGGAGTGGACAAGTGAGTGCTAGGGGATAGTCCTTAGAAAGCGTGGAGCAAGTGCATCATTATGCCAAGCTCAGGGTGCTGTCTGCATGGTAGGCCTTTTGTTGGTCATCCTGCATGATTGGCAGGCAGCCTGTCATGTATTTACACCAGAATGACCTAATTCTTCGGGCAGACACGCCCCCTTCATGGACACGTTTGCCCCTTTGGGCAGTTCTGGTTATGTGACTCGCCCTTTTACCCTGTCCACCGACTTTCTGCTTCACGGGACAGGTCTTTTTTGCCACATAAACAGGTAGGTTTTATTAACTCATTCACTGCCATACAGAGGCAGCCATTATTAACCTCTTCACTGCCCCACACAGGCATTAAAACATTCTCCGCTACAAAAAGAAGCAGCCACTACTGCTACATAGAGAGATAGGCATCAACCTCTTAACTGCTCTGTAGATAGGCAGGATTTATTAGTCATTTACTGCTAAAATGGAAAGTAGATGTATACTTAGCCCTTTAGTTGCCAGAGAGATATAGCATCTATTAACTCCTTCTCATCCACTGAGAGAAGAGACTACTTAACATTAAGTTCTCAAGAGACAGACATGCATATTGCCTCTGTCAAATACAGAAGCCACATTCCAGCCTGTCTAATACAGAAGCCACATTTCTGTTTTAATCTGCCATCACTTGAGATCATTACATACCTGTAAAGTATGGTCGTGAGGTTGTGCTGTTGCTGTGTAAAGTATGGTTGTGATGGTAATGCCAAAACATGAAGCAGGTATCGCAAATCACAATGGGTACACAAGCAAGTTGATAAACAATGATGATGGCGACTAAACAATGCTTTTGCCGGACGGATGTGCTGCCCGTACGCATTCATTGGCAATGCGCGCCCTAGGACGTCATCAGTAATACTTATTTTTATTATTTGCAAAGTATTTTGCTAAAAAATATTTAGAATATCTTTCTATATTTAACATAGAAACATAGAAACATAGAATGTGACGGCAGATGAAAACCATTCGGCTCATCTAGTCTGGCCAATTTTCTAAATACTTTCATTAGTCCCTGGCCTTATCTTATAGTTAGGATAACCTTATGCCTATCCCACGCATACTTAAACTCCTTTACTGTGTTAACCTCTACCACTTCAGCTGGAAGGCTATTCCATGCATCCACTACCCTCTCAGTAAAGTAATACTTCCTGATATTATTTTTAAACCTTTGCCCCTCTAATTTAAGACTATGTGCTCTTGTTGTGGTAGTTTTTCTTCTTTTAAATATGGTCTCCTTCTTTACTGTGTTGATTCCCTTTATGTATTTAAATGTTTCTATCATATCCCCCCTGTCTCGTCTTTCCTCCAAGCTATACATGTTAAGATCCTTTAACCTTTCCTGGTAAGTTTTATCCTGCAATCCATGAACCAGTTTAGTAGCCCTTCTCTGAACCCTCTCTAAGGTATCAATATCCTTCTGAAGATACGGTCTCCAGTACTGTGTACAATACTCCAAGTGAGGTCTCACCAGTGTTCTGTACAATGGCATGAGCACTTCCCTCTTTCTACTGCTAATACCTCTCCCTATACAACCAAGCATTCTGCTAGCATTTCCTGCTGCTCTATTACATTGTCTGCCTACCTTTAAGTCATCAGAAATAATCACCCCTAAATCCCTTTCCTCAGATGTTGAGGTTAGGACTCTATCAAATATTCTATACTCTGCCCTTGGGTTTTTACATCCAAGGTGCATTATCTTGCACTTATCCACATTAAATGTCAGTTGCCACAACCATTTTTCTAGTTTACCTAAATCATTTGTCATTTGGCTTATCCCTCCTGGAACATCAACCCTGTTACATATCTTAGTATCATCAGCAAAAAGACATACCTTACCATCAAGACCTTCTGCAATATCACTAATAAAAACATTAAAGAGAATGGGTCCAAGTACAGATCCCTGAGGTACCCCACTGGTGACAAGCCCAAGCTTCAAATATACAAGCCCAAGCTTTAAATACACGTGAGCGGTCGCATGGTGACAGAGTTGTCTCAGATTAAAACTGATTCACTCATACAATTCGAATCATGAACCAGATCTTTCACAAGAACAGGAACAGGTACATGAAGATCAGACACAGATTATACAGAATATTCCATTTTAAAATGAGCATTTCTAAACATATAAGCACCGAAGTATAACATAATTTTACTCTACTCACTCTATTCTACTAAAGAAATCACTAAGAAATCCCCCACATTAAAGGAACACTGTAATGTTTCTGTATTAAAAAGATTGCATTATTATTATATCACTGTTTATAATGACAGGCAGGGCCAGACTGGGAAGAAAATTCTGCCCGGGCATTTTTTAATTACAGTGGCCCACTGAAAAGGGGGCGAGGCCAGATAGGGTGTGTTTTGTCATCACCAATGACAAGCACGCCCCATCACAAAGTGAACATGTTGGTTCAATGCCCTTCCAGGGCAGACCATGCACAGAGCTCTGCTGAAGAGCTCTAGTATGAGAAAAAGGACCTGTATTTGTTCTGCACAGCACAAGCAAATTTAATAACATGCTTGCACTGTGTTTGCTTGAAATTTGTCTCTGGCATCTCCATAGATGGGATACCAGGAGACAAAAATGCCAGGAAAGAGTATTGTGCAGTGCTTGTGTGAAGGTGCTGGGTGATGTGTGTGAGGGGTGTAGTGTGTGTTCAAGAAGGGTGCAGTGTGTGTGAGGGTGCTGTATGGCTAAGGGTGCAGTGTGTAAAGAGTGCAGTATGTTTGTGAGGGTGCTGTGTTTGAGTGAGGGTGCTATGTGCATGTGAGGAAGCTGTGTGTGAGGGTGCAGTGTGTGTGTGTTTGTGTGTGTGAGAGGGTGCTGTGAGTGTCAGGGGTGCAGTGTGTGTGGGGGGGTGCTGTGAGTGTCAGGGGTGCAGTGAGTGTGTGTAAGTGAGGGTGCTGTGTGTGTGTGAGTGAGGGTGCTGGTGTGTGAATATGTTTGGAGGGCTTGTGTGTTGGGGGGGCAGATTATTATCAGTATATATTAATTTAAAAAAAATAAACAAGCATTATATCCCCCCTCCCTTGTTACCTGTAGCCAGGGAGGAGGACCGTGCTGCCATCTCTGGTGGTGTCAGTGGTGAGTGAACTCTAGCCTGTGGGGCTAGAGCTCACTCTCCCGAGACCTGGAGCGTTGCCATGGCAGCACTCTGGATCTCGAGAGAGGAACGCGGCGGAGCTGCAAGATAGAGCTCTTCCGGGCCCTCTCTCTGCTGCCGGTGGCTGCATCATACTGCATGTGGGCCGGCGCTCGGATAGAGCCGGCCCTGCATGGACCAGCCGGGGAGATCCTGTGATCTCCCCTGCCGGCTTCGGCCCATGGCCATCGCAGCCCACCGGGCATTTGCCCGGTGTGCCCGATGGCCAGTCCGGGCCTGGTGACAGGGGTCATTACATCACTGAGTACACTGCTCTACCTGTAGTGATAAAAATTACATCAGTGCCCTAGATTTAACACTAGATGGCTTTGAGGTGGTTTTAGCGTTAGATGAGGTAAGGGTTTAGTGATAAGGATAAGTAAGATGTTGTAACTGTAATGCTGATCACTCTCTGCCAAGAGAATAATAGAATTTACAGTTCACAATATGTTGAAAGTCAGTACCCCCACAGCCCAATGTCCCCTGTTACCTTATATCAGGGTTGCCTAAAAACTAGATGCATAGATGTTTTAAAACTACAGCTTCCATGATACTTTGTCATTCTGAAAGCATTCTAAAGGCACGCAACACATCATGGGAGTTGTAGTTCTTCAACTTCTGGGGATCTACCTTTTAGGCAACCCTGCATTAGCTACCCATTATGCAAATAAGTCATTACCCTTAACTTTAACTTAATCGCCTGATTCTAACCTCCTCCCTACACTTCCCTTTGTGGTTTTGTTAAGTGTCAATGTTAACTTTCTTTGGACAGCAGCAACATATCTGGATTATTCTAGGCTTGGCATTTAATGGCATTTAAATCCCACTGTTTTGGCACTGACATTTTACATGTATATACCATCTCCTATATTGAATAGTTAAAACTAAATGAAGCATTTTAGATTATTCCATTAATGTTTTCAATTCGGCTACTTTGGTCTTAAAATTGAAATTCACTTTAAATTCAGTAAAGTCTCACATTAGTGAATAACCATGTATGTATTTGTCACAATATGTTAATGGCCATCATGTTACAAACATCATGCTCAATTGATAAAGGCAATCCTGCCGAAATGTTGGGAGCTATTTTGACTTTCTCACTACTTCTGACAATTTTTTATCCTTCTCTTTTGGTATGTATTTTTATGTTGGGTAGCTTGTTTTAGGTATCATTGTGACTCTATACTGCTAATAGCATTATTGTACTTTTTTGGTTGTTTTCCATGAATACATGTAATTATTGTATACCTTGTATGCTTTTTTGTATTGAGCATTGTTTTGACATTATTGCTAATGTTGTTTAGTATAACCTTGGGATACCTAGTGTACCGGACCCAACTAATAAAGTAATGTTTTTATTTATATAGATGTGTGCCTCATTTGGTATTATCTATAGATTGTTTAGGTCCTTGGGAGAATAGGACCTTTCAGGGAGCATCAGGTCCATATGTTTTGTTTCTACTGATATATCTTTATGTCATTCAATTAGTGTGCCTACCTTCTTAATTATATTGCATCATGTTACAAAAATCCATGGGTATTCAGGTTTTCACATTTTTGTGTCTCTTCTACTTCTTTTTTATTTACCTACTGATGATGTTTGCCCTTTAACTTTATTTGTGAAATGTCTTTCTTTCTTATAACATCTAAATGCAGGCACTAGGCACTAGTTGCTTTGGTCCTATCCCTTATAGTGGAGGACTAATACTAAAACCTAGAAGTGAATAGTTAACGATTAGTTAAGTGGTTAGGTTAGCTTTCTAGAAAATTAAAAACATAATCAAATGTGAAGGGTGAAGGTAACGTGTGAATTGGAGCCTATCTTTTAACATATAACAATGTTGGTTATTAGTAAAAAGGATAAAGAGACATAATGAGTGAAAATGTGGGGAAAATCCTCTATATTATACACAAAGAGGTTTTAAGTTAATAAATGCATGGTCTGTAAAGAGTATATGTTGTATGTTAATATGGTGGGTGAAAAGTCCTAACAATTATTTCATTTCAGTTTAGCCATTGGCTTATGTCGCCAAACGTTTTAATAGTATATTCAGTATAGAGACCTAGAAATAAGGATCCAGTCTGATGTGGGAATGGCATAGCTAAACAAAAAACAATCTAATTCTGTATGCAGTTCAGACACAAATAGCCATGGCCAGAGTGATTCATGGTACGTCAATATGACTCCGTGTTATCAATACAGAGTAAAAATAACACATTAAAATGTAAATATATATTACGGGGACATATTGAAATATGGTAACAGTACAAGGTAAATGCTTAATTCCTTGTGCCCCAACACACAGTGATATAACAGGCACACCCGTGGCATTCAAAGTGTTAATGTTTTGCATGATGATAGCTGAGTTACAACAGAATACAGTCTCTTAATCAGTATGAGCACATTGGAGAATCAGCTTTTGTTTTACACATTGTACTGTGAATTTTAAATAAACTCTATAACAGTCATTAAGACCTACTCTATGTACTTAGCCTCCACAGGAATTCAGTCTTTTGTGTGATGCTTTCACGAATATTCTTGACTCTGTAGGATATAACTATTTCGCAATCAGATTTAATGTTCTTTACTCACTCTTTGGTTACTGACCATAAAGACCCTTTTAATGTTAGCACACGTTATGTTCTGGCTGTAGAAACTGCTGTGGTTCTTTTACAAACCATTCTGAAATGATGTATTAATAAAGGGTAGAAGAGTACTGCTTATCACCTTTACATAATTCCATAAGATGCAATGTGCAGCTGTTTATATGTTCCTTATGCTGTTCCTTACTGAAAATATTTGTGGTTTCTTTAGAGCTCAGCCTACAGAAGAAGCTGGAGTGTGGCCAAACAATCAGTTTGAAACCGAGAGACTTCAAGCAATGATCTTGGCATCAGCAAATGGTCAGTTTTTATTGTAGCAAATACTCGAGCTGTCTGATGAAATTGACTTTGTTCCAGGAATTTTCTCAGCTAGCTTAGAACTGGAGAATTCCGGGAATGGGAATTTGAATTTTAATGACATTTGCACTACAAATATTCAATTTTTAATGGTGTAGTATTGAAATAACATTCCACAATGCTCTTTAAACATTGGCAGGAACATTTTCCTACATGTTTGAACACTAATGATTACATTCATTTTTAATTCATTCGCTTATTATATTAAATTGAGCACAGACTGATGGGAGCATCCAGTTAATAGAACTGAGTGAAGGGGAGCTTTTTACACACGTTGCTAACAACTATATGTTTATTGAAATTAAAGGGACACCATAGTCACTACAATCACTTTAATATCTGGGAATTGGTTAGGGTGCCTGAAGTCCCATTGCACTAGGCCTCTATTCCAAATTAAACCATTTTCAAGCAGTTTTACTCCCTTCCCACAACCCCTTCGGACTACTACTGGAGGTGTGGGTAATGCAGAGATTACACACTTATTTGTAGTCATAGCCATTCCTGCTGACAATGGATGCTGTGACAGGCTAAAATCAGTCAGGTGAAACTCTCAGCCAATCACAGCTGCTCATTGATGCTCAGGCATCCAGGGACTCTCATTTAGCATTACAACATAATGAATTTAAAACCTGTTTAAAGGGACTCTCCAGTGCCAGGAAAACGTTTGTTTTCCTGGCAGTGCAGGTCCCCTCCCACCCCCCATCCCAGGTTGCTGAAGGGGTTAAAAGCCCTTCTGTGACTTACCTGTATCCAGCGCCGATGTCCCTCGGTGCTAATTCAGGGTCCGCCCAGGCTTCTCCCACGCTGATGTCATGCGGCGGGGGAGATCTATTGCGCATGCGCGGCCGGAAGACCTAATGCGCATGCGCAGCAGTTCCGCCCACGCGCATTAGACCTCCCCATAGGAAAGCATTGAAAGATGCTTTCAATGCTTTCCTATGGGGATTTCAGCGATGCTGGAGGTCCTCACATAGCGTGAGGACGTCCAGCGACGCTATAGCACAGAAAATCTGTCCTATAAACCCCAAAGAGCCCTCTAGTGGCTGTCTAGTAGACAGCCACTAGAGGAGGAGGTAACCCTGCAAGGTAATTATTGCAGTTTATGAAAATTGCAATATTTACAGTTGCAGGGTTAAGGGTAGTGGAAGTTGGCACCCAGACCACTTCAATGGGCAGAAGTGGTCTGGATGCCTGGAGTGTCCCTTTAAAGTTGATTAAAAGGCACCAGTTGACTCCAGACACTATAACCAGTTCAGTGAGATGAGGCAGATACAGTGCCTACAGTGAGTGTTGTATCTATTACAAGGCTAGCAAGTCATTTACTTTACACTTTCATAGAAACATAGAATGTGACGGCAGGTAAGAACCATTCAGCCCATCTAGTCTGCCCAATTTTCTAAATCCTTTCATTAGTCTCTGGCCTTATCTTATAGTTAGGATAGCCTTATGCCTATCCCACGCATGCTTAAACCCCTTCAGTGTGTTAACCTCTACCACTTCAGCTGGAAGGCTATTCCATGCATCCATTACCCTCTCAGTAAAGTAATACCTCCTTAATCTTTTTTACTTTATTTTACTCTATGTCCTTTCTTTTCTGATAACAAACACGGTGCACAGCGCTGCTAGAGAATTTTGAGGAACAAATAGCTCTCTCTCATCCCCCCCCGCCTCTAACTCGCTGTATGCTTATTTAATCAAGCATTTTAAAGCCCAGAGGCGTAAAACACGCCTAGGCAATCAAAAGCCCATCCGGAGTCTACCTACTGCACAGCAAGAGTTCTGGCTGGATTGCAGGTATATGACTACGGTTCTTGTTGCTCATTACACTTACTTAGACACCCAAGCTAATGTAGGGCAAGAAGCCAGTTGCTGAAAAGATTGTCAGCCCCAAATAGTCCCTGATTCCACCACATAAGGCTGCCTAGTTTGATCTGTCTATAGTTTACTCCTTACTACTATTACAATCATAAGCTCACAGACTCCCCCATCACTGTACACTGCAAGCGTATATATACTTATGTCTTATGGCAATTTCTCACCCCCATAGCACTGTTTTCTTATTTCTGCCAAGCATCTGTGAGTTGAGCACAAATGACCTTGTTATTATATTCCAAAACTTGTGCATGTTTTGAATTTGAAAATCCCAAGTGTTCTGCATGATGCAAAGCTTGTGGTATGCTGTTTGTATCTTTCTGCACTGCAAAAATATATATATATATTTTTTAAAAGTACTACTCCCTGATATTATTTTTAAACCTTTGCACCTTTAATTTAAGACTATGTCCTCTTGTTGTGGTAGTTTTTCTTCTTTTAAATATAGTCCCGGGGTCTGGCAAAAAAAACACCACCTATACGCACCCTGGTAACTTTATTAAATGCCTTGTTAGCCTCATGTCATGGGGGGCACAAAGAAAAGGATTAACACTGGACCCCAGGGAAAGGAGCCCCACTGGATCCCATGGAAATAATCCACTCCAGCTCTCAGACAGGTAGAGAGACTGGGTGACTTAAATAAAAAATAATTATAATAATTAGTGAGTATATGATCAAATGTGTGTGTGTGTGTGTGTGTGTCAGTATCAGTGTGTGTCTGTCAGTGAATATGCTTATGTCAGTCAGTGAATGAGTGTGTGTGTGTGTGTGTGTGTGTGTGTGTGTGTGTGTGTGTCAGTGAGCGAATGTCTGTCACTGTATGTGTGTGTCTGTCAGTGAGTGTGAATGCTGGTTTGTAAGTGACTTGCTTATGAAGAATGTCCTCAATAAACGCAGAAATGTCCATTCTCAATGAAGGAAAGGAACTGTCCATGCTAATTAGATGTTTATTTAATTCATTCTCTTTGCACTGTGGTAACATTCTGTTCCTGTTTGTCTAGCTTATCTTTGTTTCAAGTTAGAAGTATGTTTTGTTAATCCACCTATTTCACAGCAATGCAAAACATGTAGGATTTTTTTTTTTAAATAATGATAATATATGATATTTTAACAAAGTTATGGAGATTCAACAGCAGAAGTCTACCATAGTCTTGAAATAGCACACTTAGTACTAACTGTATATTTGTGTATGTGTCCAGAAACAATAAACTGTCAAATTTGCTTGATCGTTATTTTTTACTTTCTGCCCTACAGAAGCTGCCGAAGGAGCCTCTGCCATGGGTGGAGGAAATGGGACCATGGGACTTAGTGCTCGCTATGGACCTCAGTTCACTCTGCAGCATGTACCTGACTACAGACAGAACATCTACATTCCAGGAACAACATCAACGCTCACTAACGCTGCTGGGAAACGTGATGGAAAATCAGCTGCACCTTCAGGAGGGAACAAGAAAAAGTCTGGCAAAAAAGAAAAGAAGTAATGGCCTAAAAAATTAGAGATATACAGCAACCGGGCAGAATTGTAACAAGTCATTCCCCATCCAAAAACAGTGGTATACTGAATATCACCTTTGAAATAATGAAAAAATAAGAGTAGCAAGAGAAAAATGGCAGCCCCATGATCATAGGAGCTACTCGTGGGATTTCTTGCTACTGCAACTCATGATGAATCTGTTAAACTTGAAAGCTGAAGTCATAGCCCTATCAAAACAATTGTCAAGATAATTCGACTTTTCAAGATCTGTTCTCAACAGATATCAACATTATACACTCATTTTCTATACTGTTAGGATTTCCCTCATAATTGTAGAATTTCTTCCAGTGTATATAATTATTGCTATATAGTTATTTATCATTTATAAGCAAAAGAGAATTTGTGAAATATTCTAAGCTTGTCAACCCACACTGCACATTTATATTTTATTTTAATTGGAGGATTAATATTTTCAGACACCACAAATGCTTTTTATGATAATTAACAGTAATACAAGGCACTCAGTTTTTAGAAGGTTTGTTAGAAACTTCTCTTCAGAGAGCCACGGGGCACAAACATCCTTTTCTGTTATTTGAAAGAAATTGTCTCTGAAAAATGATCAGAATAAAGCAATGGAACAGAGTTATTTTAAAAAAAAAAGTCTTGATTTTGCACAAATACTTCATCAACAGTCTTGTGCAGTATGAATTGGAATGCCATACACTCAAATGTAAGATGAAAGGAAGGGGAGAAGCGTGGGGGAAATGAGTGAAGAATTAGAAAATGTATGAGATATCTTCTCTGGACTAAGAAATTTATTTAAAGCTGCTATGTAGAAAATTTGATGTCAGGCCAAAATGTTTGTCTCTGCTCTTAAAGAGTAACTAACAAAGGAATTTATATTTCTGCACATAGAACTGCATGTCTACAAATTCACTCAATATTAAAAATATCCACTGGAACGTAGAACTTTTTTTGCATTTAAGTATTCAGCATGGGGGATGGACTGATTATTATAGAATGACAAATATCTGAGCCTAGTTAGTACAGGTCAAATATGTATAGATCGAAAAGGAATTAAGAAATTATTTTAGAGGTCAGTGAATACACATAGCATTGCTCAAGAACCTGATGATAAATTCCATATTGATACCTAATTATCTTAACTGTAGATATTAGGTGCTAGACTTTGAAAAGATGCATTGTAGGTGACCCGATTTATTTAATATTAATTAAAACCTATTTAGTACACGTCAAATATTAAGGAATAGAAAAATAATGAACAAATTAATAGGGGAGAGCATGGAATAAAAGGCACGGTTGTCTAGAAACCAGATAGAAACAAAATTGAAATGGATTCCCTATTATCTTGCTATTGGGAATATTGAAGATAAACCGAACTATTTAATATAAATGGATATGATATTAAGTTGATGTATTAATGACCACTGGAATTAGTAAAGCATGGGACAATTCTTTAAGATGGATTCGTTAACGTTGTCAGTTGACTGTTACAAGAGAATGTAGACAAGTTTTAACCACAAATTAAATTTAGTCCAGCTGAACTTAATTTATTTTTAAATACCTTGTGGGAGATCTGGAATCACATTTAATAGTAAGATCTTTTCTGAGGCTGCCAAAAAAAAAAAACCACGGGACTAATGTAAAACGAACTTAAGGACAAATTTAGTTGTATGATTTGTTTTTTTTAAACAAGTATATGTATTTCAGATAGCACTATTTAGATAAGTGTTTTTGTAAATCTTTTTTTTAAATAGACAAACCTTATTTCTTAAGTTCTTAAAATAGTATTTGTGTTTTTCCTTTTTTGTTTTGTTTTTTGTTTTGTAATAGTTTTTTTTTTTTACTTTATTCATTAAGTAGCTGCAAAGAATAACTGCCACATACACATTGCTTATTCTAGTGACAAGATCTCATTTATAATACAGTTGCACATTGCGCAGTTAAAGATTCCTGAAAAATTAAAAGGAGCCAAATGGATGCACTCATAGCAATTAGCATAAATATGATAACTGTATGGATGCTTTTAATAGCTTGTGGCTTATTTCTGCAGGTTGAACTCACTATTTTCCAATGCCTACAGCAGCAAAGGGGTGCTCAGATGCTGGGCAGTAAAACTGCACCAATTTTTGCCTGGTTTTATTGTGATAAGATGTCTATGCTTCCTATGCCATTAGTGTCCCACTGTATGTACAGCTTCAAAGGAACACATTGGGAGCATCATTTTACCCTATCCAAGGGTACACTAACTACTACAATATTTTACACAGCTTCAGATTTTTGAAATAATGCAGTTATATGGATGATTTAGCAGTAGGATACATTTTGCAATTTTTATTTTCTTTGTAACAAAAAAAAATATTGTAGAATAGCTTGTAGTGTACAATAGTAACGTGATCCTTTCATCCTTGTATCTAACTTGTGGGCAGCAGTATTTGAAATCCTCTCGTATCTTTCTGTGTGGTTTGTGATATAAATGTACATGAAATTAAATGCACCTGTCCTTTCAATGTGTCTTAATACTGATCTGTACCTACTATTATAAATATGCTTTCACTCTTATGATATCCATGTAGACTAATGTCAATGTACTACACGCAAGTTTTATACTCTGATATTTATATTGCTTTTCTTTCTTTGGAAAAAATAAAATGTTTTCTTCCAAAAAAAATAAACTAATTCTGTGTAATTTTCTTTTGGATGCTAAATATTAGTATTTATGTGTATTTAATTGGGCAAATAGTGTACATATTTCCATTTGTAGTATAGCATATGTCAAATTGACGTAACTACCATGGTAGCAGGGGTCACAACTGTGACCCCTGCAACCGTGTGCCACCAGCATCACCTCAGGTCTGGAGCCTGGTCATACCCGGGGCCATGGTTGCCGGGTGATTGGCAGGAGGGGAGCGCTATGCTGCTCCCCTCCTGCTGCTGTGTGTAGCTTGGCCAAGCAGACCATGGTCTGACAGGAAGTGCTCACTGAGAGAGCAATTCCTGTCAGACTGTGTACCTCAGTGAGCAGGTACAGTACGGGAGGTGGGAGAGACACATGGAGAGGCTGGGGATGGAAGGAATGAGACACATGGATGGGCTGGGGAGAGAGGGAATAAAACACATGGAGGGGCTGAGGGGAAAAGGGAATGAGATACATAGAGGGGCTGGGGGAGAGGGAATGAAACACATGGAGGGGCTGGGGGTGGGGAGAAGAAATAAAACACGGAGATGGAATGAGACACATGAAGGGTAGGTGGGGCATAAGACATATGGGGGGCCCAGGGTCATTTCACCTTGGGGACCAGTGGTTTCTAGTTATTTCTCATAGATTAACTCATGTAGCTCACAAATAAGAATCTACATGAGTTAATCTATGAGCGCATTAAACTACAGTTGTCAGAAATCTTGTCTATATCATTAATTATCAATTGCAAATAGATTTCTATGTATGGTGTGCTCTGTAAAATAAAATAGGACTTGATGAGTTCACTTCCAAAAGCTGATCGTTGAAGGTATATTAACTTAATATAGACAACATAATGGCTGTTTTCAGGAGTCCAAATAACTGTAAAGCATAATTGTATATTTCATTATTTTGCATGTACATTGCTGGATTCATACAAAAACTAAAACATCATGATTACTCAGAGTAAAATCTATATATGTCTGTGCAAGGATGGAAATAGTGCTGCCTACACAAGTCCTCTTGTCTGCACAAGTTCTTAGATTCTGCAAGGTTAAGAAAGTGACTTGCACTGTGTCAGCGGGCAGCTTGTTCTCACAGGTTCTTGCATGTACTTGGACTGTTCAAATTAAACGGAAATCCCCCATTAGAAATTATATCCAGGAATAGGGTAGGTGTTTTGGCAAAAAAATAAACAAAGATAACTGCAGGGCTGAATAATACAATATAAATACTAGTTTTTACACGTTCTCAAAGTATACATTTTAAATATGATTAACATTGTATATGATGAGCAATGTATAAAGATGTACAAATCTATGTAATATGAAATCATTATAACACAGTATATACAATATAAAACAGTGCTAAATCTAACATCAAAAAATATATACGTGTTAGTGGTGTTGTGGATCCAAATAATGTTCTTTGTTATATTCAGAGGAAGCCCAAATTATTATTACAAGTGCACTTGGAGAAGCGAGAATTAGACACCAGACACCTGTTGGTATTCAAAATAAGCCTCTGCCGTTTTATTCATCAGCTGGGTTTTATACATTAAAAAGTAAGTGCTTACGTGCAAATACTCTTAGAACAGTAATAGGAAGTGAGTACAGATAAGACATAGGGATGAGCGCCATGTACACATAACAAATAAGTTCCAAGGTAAGAAATAACACAAATAGAGACATCTCAGGTGGGGGCTCTCTGCTTCCAGAACTAGACATATATGGTCTTAAGTGTTGTGTTAAGCATCAAGCATTTCCTGAGTCCAAGTTAGCCAATTTTAATATAGGATATCATTATATGACACCTATAGGCTTGAGCCTTGGAATCAAGATAAATTCTATCACAATCCCCTCTTTTGATCCAAGGGTCACCCAAATGTCCAAGGTATTTCTAGGCCTGCTAGCCAAAGCCTGTGGGACTTTCATTTATTGCTTCACCATGGTTCCCTTGACTGAGAGACCACCAGAATCAGCGGAGGAGAGTTCCTTCATTTGTTAGGCGAGGTAACATCATAAAACCCTTCCAAAGTCGAAGCTGGAATGTAAGTTAAGGTACGACAAACAGTAGGTTTGTTGTTACATAGAGAGGTTAGTAGACATGAGAAAAATCTAAAGGTTAGAAAAATGGACATAACAAATACGGCTAATAGCAAAAAGTACAAATTTTTCTTAATTAGTAAAGTCAATGGCTGCTTTATTCTCAAGAATTGCCTTCTTATTTGCCTGGTTGTCCATAAGTAGCTTTTCTAGGGCCTGTGAAGTGGCATTTAAACACTTTGCAAGGGAACAGGCTACAGC